TGCAGGGTTTCGAGTTCACCTCAAACTTCCCGAAGCTGTTTTTGTGCAGATTATTAAAGACCCCTTACAATAAAGTAGATCCGCCTCCAAGTTATCAAGGTTTTGGACGGTTTGTGCAGGACCTCGTTTTAACCCATGCCTAGGGTTCAGGCGATAGGGTCTAGGCTCAGATCTGCCGTAAAGCGTATCAATGCGACCTTGCTAATTGAAACTAGGTTGCTTAGCTAAAAGAGGTTTGGAGTCTCCGGGTAAAGCGCTTTTGCGCTTGAAGGCTCGAGATAGCTTCGTTTCAGGCAGGGTTGTTAGGGCATTTCGGACAACATTTTAGCCCAGGGTTTCAGGTTCTCAAATTAAAATTTTTATGGAGATCCTAAGGAGTTTAGGGTAAAGGACCGTGCTGTAGAACGCTCACTAAACGAACCCAATGTGTGTGGAGATCCTAGGGGGTTTAGGGTCAAAGACCTTGTTGTAGAACGCTTACTAAACGAGCCCAAGTGTACTTGCTCAGTCACCGATCTTCGTCGAAGCCATGCGGCAACCGCGAGCGCAAAGTGTAGCCCTCCTGATGCAGTGCAAGATGGAGACAGAGCTTACTTGGAGGAACATGGGACTTTGTATGGGGTACTTTAGGGTTCCTTTAAAGGGTTACTATAAGGGGTACTATAAGGATTATTTTAAGGGCTCTATAAGGGTTTAGAGTTTCCGAAAATTAGGGGTACCTTATTTTGGAGTCTCTATAGTAAGGATCCTACTATTTAAAGGGAACTCCAGAAAGTTGGAATATGGATTAATGGTAGGATCCCCTATAATTTACCTTAAAGGGGTTACGATAATGATATTCCAACTTTCTGGCTTCTACCGCAGGGTACTATATTAGGGTCCCCTAATTTCCGGAAACTCCCAGATCGAGGAAGAGCTTACTTAGAGGAACATGGGACTTAGTACCTAGGTTATAGTTGGAGTTATAAGTCCCCTAAGTGGGGTAATCCTAACCCCACTATAAGCTATGTACTATGTCCCTTGAACCTTCAAGTATGAAAGTTGCTCAAAATACCCCAAGTTTAGCACATCCAGCCGGCAAGCTTCTCCGGGAGTCGCATCAGATGAGAGGGTTACCGACAATCACAGCATGCCCTAAAAAAAAAAACCTTTTTTGGGGTGCTTATTGTGCGTTCCTTCTGAAACTCCTCCCAAAGGTAGGTAGGTTTTCTGGGCTACAGGTAAGCCCTCAGCCCTCAATCCTAAGCGCCGAACCCTGAAACCCTAAACCTTCAACTCCAGGAGTCTCCGAAGGACCAATGTTCACAGGGATCCTTAGGGGTGTAGGGGGGAGGGGTGTAGGGGACTATATTTCCTTAAATAGGCCTTATTAGTCCTTATTATGGGCCTTAAGGCCCCCTACCCCCCTCCCCCTACACCCCTAAGGATCCCTATGAAATGTTCAATGATGTGCATCATGTCCGACCGCCTCTGAGGTTCCGGAACTATGACAAGGCTCCTTTTGAGGGTACTATGGGGTTCGATGATAAGGCTCCCTTTAAGGGTTTGGGGTTTAGGGTCCACTCGAACGCTCATGGGACGTAGTAAGGTTATACGTAGGCTATCTATATATATATATATAAGATAACCCCACTTAGGGGACTTACAGCCCCAATTATACTTATATCCTACTTACCAAGTCCCTTGACCCTCTAAGTGCAGCTCCGGAAGCATTATAAGAGCCATATGAATATGAAGGCCTGAAGCCTTAGATCCAAATTTTTTGCGATACTACTTGAAGGCTCCTTCAAGGGCTCAGGGGTTTAGGATGTAGACTTAGGGCTTTAAGCGTCTAAGCCTTAGAGTTGTCGGGTTTTAGGGACGGCCTAGGGGCTTGCATGAAGGCTCAGAGTGGAATTCGTAAGTAGGTGATGATTCAGGACATTAATTAAGGTTTAGGGTTTAGGGGTTAAGGTTTAGTAAGTAGCTTATGATGAGGATACGCCGACTCGGGCAACCTACTTGCTAGATCCACAGAGCCTTTACTTACTTGTTGAGTATCCTCGGGGAACTAAAAGTTAACCGTTAGCCTTTGCGATGATACAGGAATTGTAACACCCCAAGGTTAAAGGATGCCTGGACGTTTCCGAAAATTAGGGGACCGTATTTTGGGGTCCTTATAATAAGTGTCCTACTATTTAGGGTATTATATTAGGGTCCCCTATTTTCGGAAGCGAAATCCATACTGCCACCTCTGTAAGCCCGTAAACCCCAAACCCTCAAATCCTAAACTTCCAACCCCTGAACCCCAAGGGATGGCCTCCTCCAGCGCTGCCGCAAGGGTCGGCAACTCAGGGAAGTCGTAGTCCGGATTTACCTCTTATAGCACTCTTAGAGTTGTTTTATTGTTTCGGGGCCAGGGGTTAAGGGGTTTAGGCTCTACGGCTCAGGGGTTAAGATCCTAAGCCCTAGGCCTTAGGGTTTTGGGTTCAGGGTTTAGGGTTCAGGGTTGCAGGTTTAGGGGCTGTCAGAGTGGAGGGTTTCGGGCTTGGGGATTAGGCCATTGTATTTTTGTTGAGGGGGTTTAGGGTTCAGGACTTGTGCAAGGCGCAGCAGGCGTGCTTGGCAAAGTCGATGACATGTGTTCGGCTGCGGACGAAGAGGCCGAGTCCAGAATCGACCATTTCTTCTGAGTCGGGGACTGACACGTCAGAGTCAATGGCCTCTCCGAGCCCCCTTGCAGTTTGGCTGGTTGTTTCATCTTGTAGTTACTCTTTTTTGCACTGTTACCTTGATGTCGTGACGCTCGCAGAGGTTGTGGTGCGCACTGCCTCGACAAAGACACCTGTTTATTTTTCTGCAGGGGGGGCGGCTACTGCGCTTACAGACCGGTCTCAGCCATTCATCTAAACCCAAAACCCTCAAATCCCTAAACCATAATAAGGAATATTCCTTAATTATGAGGGATATTGGTGTCTCTGCGGACTGCGCGCCTTGAGTCGGCCGCTTCAGTCTTTTTTCTCCCAGCCCGAAGGTTGAAATCTGGAGCTGGGATCCCTACTGTTGATGATATAAATCCTGCATTACCTTAAGGACCCTAAACTATGGGAATTATGGTATATTCCTTATTATGGGTCATGCAGGATTTACATCATCAACCGTATTTTACGGGTTTAGGGCTTAGGGCTTGAGGCTTAGGGATTTAGGGGTTTGGGGGTTGAGGGTTTAAGGCTTTAGGGGTTTAGGGTTTGGGGCTTCAACGTGGGAAAAAAAGGGCTCCCTCTTTGGCTCTGGGTACTGGTATCCCCAACAAGGGAAAAAGGGCCCACTGGGAGACATAGGGAAAACTACTGGCGGGGGTTTAGGGCTTCGGGTTCAAAGTTTAGGGTGTGGAGCCGGGGGGTTCAGGGTTCAGGGCCGGGGTTTAAGTCTTTCAGGGTTACCGCCCCTGCTTCCGTGAGTCGACGTCTACCTTAAGCTTTTAGCCTTAATTTAACCCTTGAGCCGCAACAAGAAACCTTAGGTTCTATGTAGGGCTTTGGAGGTTGAGGGTGTAGAGTTAATACAGGGGCCTTAATAAGTAGAAAAGGATTTCGGGGCTCATTATGGTATAGTTCTAGTAAGGAACCCCCAAAATAGTGTAGGTAGATTGTTCAGGCCCCTCTACTAAACCCCCCCCCATAATAGCCCTTAGAGTAGCCCTGATAGATGCCTTCGAAGGAACCCTGGGAACCTTTAGCTCCAAAGTTTTCACGGAGGAAACCCTGCTGCCACCTCGTCTCGTGGCGAGATGCCGCCCAAGTCCCGTGCTCCTTCCGGTTTAGGGTTTAGGGTTCGGGTTTAGGGTTTGAGGTGCAGGGTTTAAGGGTTTAGGGTTTGGGGCTTGGGGTTTAGGGCTTAGAGTTGCCGCCCCGGAGGATCTACAGCTACCTTGGCTGCTTTACAGGTTCTATCAGGGTTCATCCCATGTTCTAGAATAAAGAGTTCTACAAGCTTGATTAAGAATAAAGGTTTTACAGAGTTTCTATAAGGACTCTATGAGTCTGTGAAGGTCTAAACAATGCTTAACCAGAACCCGAAGCCCCTAAATAGAGGAGCTCTGACCCTCATCGCATGTAATCCGAGGCCCCTGCCTAAGCCTAGACCCCAAAATATTGAAACCTATCCTTAAGACAGCTCGGGATTTTCAGAGGCTCTGATTAAGGATGTGGCTAGTCCCGTTAAGGAATACACCTTACCTTATCACATGCAAAGATCATCTATGATAGTTACTGTCAAAATCATGGTTTTTGAGGACTCTATATAATTCTACTCTTAACACGGGGCTTTCCAGCAGCCCGAGTAACCTTTTCAATATATGGACCTTAGGAATGAGGGCTCTTACACTACAGTACGAATAACAGAGTGATACAACAAAACGTGTTAATAGTATTTACCATTACATCAGTAGAACTTTTACTCATCAGTATAGGCTAGAACGAATAGTATGACTAATGATTCATGCTGCTATAGCCAGGCAAAATCCTGAAACGCACTCCTCGCTCCAGGCACTCCAGCAGCGTGTCCCAGCCCAGGCCTGTGCACAAATGTTCGGTGCTCAGCATTCGGCTAAAGGGCATATACGGTTTGGTGTTTCGGGAAAGACCCTGGGAAGCCCGACAAATATCCATACGGTTGACTTTCAACCGTATCCATAATGTGCATGAAACCACATTGCGACACCTTTGTAAACCGCCTGCACACAGATTCACAAAATACATGGAAAATCAGATCTTCTGGGCAATCTGGCTTTCTACTATAGGGGCCTTTGCCAATGCTCAAAAACAGTGTTTGAGTGTACAGTATCGTGTTTTCCTTAAGAGATTTCGTACCGGGACTGTAAGGGGGTACAATGATGTTGCTCATATTGAAACCTATCCTTAAGACAGCTCGTCGGGGTTTTCAGAGGCTCACATTAAGGATGTGGCTAATCCCGTTAAGGAATACACCTTACCTCATCACATGTAAAGATCATCTATGATTCAAGGTATCTCATGCTTGACCCCTGGAGGAGCATTCTGATGATAATCGATTTCACGCATCACCCCAGCTTTCTCCCAAGCCTCCATTGCAGTGAACATTGGGTTCTGCATCAAGCTGTCCCACTCGCTGCGCGGCGGCACGCCATGTTGGAACTCTGCCTGAAAGTCTCCTGCCATTATGAGCACGTCGCCATCTTCTTGGAACAACATCTTTGTTTGCTCGGCCTTCTTCTTTTTGCTGCCCAAAGTCAACACACCTCCATGGCCAAAGGAAAGCGACGTGATCGGATCACGAGTGCTGTAAGTGTCGGAGGAGTTCGAATGAGGCTCGATTCCATGATTCGCACATTCAGACCGCCAAATTTAGCCACTCGGCCGACCGCGCTTCACAGATTCGAGCTGAAAGTGTACCAGGTCCTGAACCCTGAACCATAAAGCATCCTACACCCTAAACCCGGAACCCTACCCTAAACCCTAAACCCTAAACCCCTAAACCCTAAACCCTCTACACCCTGAGCCCTGAACCCCTAAACCCTCAACCCTAAACCCTCTACACCCTAAGCCCTGAACCCATGAAGGAACCCTAAAAGGAACCCTGTAGTACCCTTGAGCGGAACCCTATTGAAGAATGATCCATAAGACTCTTGTATCACCGACCCTACACCCGTAAACTAGAGACTGGACTTGAAGTAACCAGGGAGAAAAACGTATAGACTGGTTCCTTCTAGGGTTTAAGGTTTAGGGTTTGGGGGAACAGTTCCAAAAAAAAGCATTCAAGCATGGTGCTCTAAACCCAATAAAATTGCGCAAAACCCTTCGACCCATACCCTAAACCCTAAATCTCTATACCCTCAAGCTATGAGATCCCTGCGAGCCTTTGAAGCATCCTGCCTTGGAAAAGCTTCCATGCAGGAAGAGGTTCGGAGGCACCTCAAGTTCAGGGGTCGAGGAAGTCTTGGGTTTAGGGTCTAGGGAATCTGGGGTTCATCATAGGGATCCTTAGGGGTGTAGAGGGAGGGGGGTAGGGGGCCTTAAGGCCCATAATAAGGACTAATAAGGCCTATTTAAGGAAATATAGTCCCCTACACCCCTCCCCCCTACACCCCTAAGGATCCCTATGAGTTTAGGGTCTAGGGTTCAGGGCTTTGTTGACCCTAAACCTTGGCCATAGAGCCTACATCTTACTTCCAAAACTCTAAATCCTATATACCGACTTCTAAACTTCAATGTCCTAAGTGCTAGATTGTACACCCTCAACCCTACACCCTAAACCCTCAACCCTAGCCCTACCTGTACCCTGAATAACTTACCTGTTTAGGACCTATATAAAGACATCATAACAAGGAGCTCCAGAAAGGTAGGTTCTTTAGGGTCCATGTAAAGCCAACAGCTTCAAGGGCCAGACCCGATAATGAGCATGATCACAACCTACTCTTTTGCCGGGTTGGTGGCGGTACACCCTACCGCCCTCGTTGGGATGGTCGAGGTGACGCATGGAAATCACATATACAGACCTGAAAGAAGCCCTTCCCTACAGGCTAACAACACACACCAAAAAGCACACTGAACGCCAAGCAACAAAACTAGAAGCCCCTAACGTCAAACCCGAACCCCCCCAAAGCCTAAAACCTCAAGCCCGCAGCCTAAACTGAACCTAAACCCTAAACCCTCATACTTAGGATAACCCCACTTAGGGGACTTATAACCCCAATCATAACCTACTTACCAAGTCCCATGATCCCTTAAGTAAACCCCAAAACCCCAGGCCTCCCTCACCCCCAAAAAAAGGCACAGTCAGCGCCTGGATTTGGACCTCTTGGGGGAGCATCTTCCGTGCCTCGGTCACCTCAAAGAGAGGCCACGGTGGGCAGGGTTCGGTCTACCTCTTTCGAGGTATGCACTTAATCCCTCACTCAGGAATGCCGTGATCGATCTTTAGGGTTTAGGGTTTGGGTGTTTAGAGTTCAGGGTTTGGTGTTATACATGCGCCAGGAAGAGTCCAAACAAAGACGCTTGGGTAGGTATCCAAACTAGGGTCCCTTTCAGGCTTCTTCTGGTAAGGGTGCCGACTATTTTGGGTGACCTAAACAGGGAGCCTGATTTAGAAACTCCTCATTTCCAGAAACCCTCTAAAATCCAGCAAAGGCCTGATGCAGCCTTCTTCACGTTCTTTACATTAGGTTCCCTGTGTAGGTCCCAAAATACTACGGCACCCTCATTCAAAACAAGGACCCTGAAGGGGATCGTAATTTAACTACTGACTTAGATCCTGATAAACCCATATTCTATTCCAAGCCCCTGACATACCGAAGATCCAAAACCGGCACAAAACTTGAGACAAGCCTGGCATACCCGGACAGCCCAATACCCCTTGAATAAGGAATAGACCTTGAATTACAACGGGCTTCATGACTGAAGCTATATTCCCTAATGAAGGGTGTCTTGGGCTACGGGAAAGGGAACCCTTTCAAGGAACCCGGAATCAGCCCTTGAGAGGAATACAACAAGAACCTGGCCCTACACCCCTGACTGTAAACCCTAAACCCTTAACCCTGAAATGGAAAGCCCTGGGAACCTAAACCCTAAAACAAGACCCCTAATTCTGATCCTCAGACCCTGAAACCTGAAAACCCTAGACAGCAAACCCTACTCACTCCACCTCTACACCCTCAACCTTAAACCCCAAACCCGAAATTTATGAAGGGAATCTCCAAAACTAGTGTTTAACGTCGCCCACAGGCCATAAACAACTGCAAAACCCGGTTCCCTTTAAAGGAACCCTCCCTAAACCCTAAACCCTAGACCCTAAACCCTTACAACCCTTACAACCCTAAACCCTTACAACCGGAAACCCTTAAACCCTTACAACCCGAAACCCTTACAACCCTTACAACAATTACAACCCTTACAACCCTAAACCCTAAAACCCTTACAACCTTAAACCCGAAAGCCCGAAAACCCTTACAACCCTTACAACCCTAAACCCTAGACCCTAAACCCTAAACCCTACAAGGGATGCTGTTACTCTAAACCCCTTACGACCCTAAACCCTAAAACCTTACAACCCTAAACTCTGAACCCTCACAACCCTAAACCCTGCACCCTAAAACCCTTACAACCTTAAACCCTTACAACCTTAAACCCTTACAACCCTTACAACCCTCACAACCCCTAAAACCTACAAGGGATCCTCTTACCGTCCGGGTCGCCAGGTCGGGAAGCGCATCTAAAGCCTCCCGGCCGAATAGAGCCTTCGGCGACTCCTCCAAAAGAGGGCTTTCCTTTAAGGGCTCCTTCTTTATTAAGGGTTCTATGAGGGGTTCCTTTAAGGGCTCCTTTTTAAGGGCTTTCCTTTAAGGGCTCCTTTTTTGAAGGGTTCCGTAGAGATTCCTTTAAGGGTCCCTTTTAAGAAAGGGCTCAGGGTTCCGTGGGGATTCCGATAAGGGTTCCTTCAGAATTTACGAGGGGTTCCTTTTAAGGGCTCCTGTTTTAAAGGTTCCATGAGGGCTTACTTTAAGGGCTCCTTTTTAAGGGCTTTATGAGGGCTTTCCTTTAAGGGCTCCTTTTTTGAAGGGTTCCGTAGAGATTCCTAGGGGTTCCTTTAAGGGTCCTTTTTTTAAGGGTTCTATGAGGGGTTCCTTTTTAGGTTATCCTACAGTAAACCCCATAAAGTTGGAAACCGGATTAAGGCAAAATAGTGCTGGGATTCCTTGTTCTTGGCTCTTAAGGATTGAAGCTATTGGGTTTCCAACTTTTAGGCTTCGACTGTAAGGACTCTATGAAGGGTTCCGTTTAAGGGCTCCCGGTTTAGGGCCTTCCTTTAAGGGCTTCTTCTTCAGGGCTCTATGAGGGGTTCCTTTTAAGGGCTCCCGGTTTAGGGCTTTCCTTTCAGGGCTCCTTTTCTAAGGGTTCCATGCGGAGTTCCTTTTAAGGGCTCCCGGTTTAGGGCTTTCCTTTAAGGGTTCCTGTTTGAGGGTTCCGTCGGGCTTTTCTTTGAGGGTTCCTTGCAAGCGTGCTACAGGGTTCTATAATAGGGTGCCCCTTAAGGGTACGACTATAGGGCTCTATCATTGGGTCCTCTTTGAGGGTACTATCGGGTTCCTTTGAAGGGTTCCGTATAGGGATTCCTTTAAAGGGTTCCTTAAAGACGGTTCACGCGGTTCACATGAGCTCTACCTCCAGCAGACCACCAAGACACTGCCTAAATTCCCAGGGTAAAAGGAGGGACCCTGAATGAGGACCCGTAGGTATTTACCCTTCATATAGCTATTATATACACATTATATAGCCCATTATAGGGTAGGGGTCCCCATTAAGGGTCCCTCCTTTTCCTCTTTGATAAATGCTTTCCCAACCAAACTTCCCGAACCCCTAAACCCTAAACCCCTAAACCCCTGAACCCTAAGCCCTAAACCCCAAAACCTTAAACCCCTAAACCCTAAACTCTTCACTCTAAACCCCTTTCTGGACAACAGCTCTTCGGGATCCAGAAGAGCACCCCAAAAATCCTTTCTCTCAAGTACTGCTTGGATTCAAGGTCGTCGGCAGGCAGAAAGTGGTCCATATGCTACATAATTTGCAATGAGACCAGACCCCTTAAGCAAGGAAACTAGCTCAAATTATAGTATGAAGCCCGGAAGCCTCCGTCTAATTAAAGGTGTATTCCTTACCTGGACCTTACACAAAATTTTGTTATGGTTCCCTATACTGATTTCCGTATATAAGTCCTTAAGAAGGTAGGATATTCAGGGTTGAGGTAACTAACGGAATTAAAGGGTATTGGGCTCTTTGAGGAATAGTGGCCGCAAGCGACGTGCAGCACGCCGATTCCCTTTTGAATGATTGGACACAAGCGAAAACTGTGCACTGCACCACAGCGGGAGATGCATGCTACGTGCATGATAGGCCGGCTGTAGATGTGGGCAGCCAATTTGGCGCGCGCTGCACGGCTACCTCAATCGGTTCTCTTTCCCCTACAAATACGGAACCCAGAGAATAGACAGCCACCTATTGCACTTGTCATCTAAAGCTCTTACAAATCTCACTTCACATAGACAGCCTGAAAACAACCCTTAGACCAAGTAATCAATAAAAACCCCCGTAGAATCATGTTTAAAGCGATTAAACCCCACGCCCTACACCCTAAACCCCAAACCCTAAACTCAATTCCTCAACCCCTAAGCTGAATGGAAACCTTGGCTTTTTTCAGTCAAAGACGCATAGCACACTGGAGCCTAGAAATGCCTCCTTGGACCCAGAAACCCGTTATACGGTTTAGGGCTTTTTTAAAGTGTACTGGCGAGATCTCCCCAGTCTGTCTTTACAGACATACACTGTGTGAAACCTGACGATCTTCAACAAAAGGCCACCCAGGAGAGACTCAATCAAAAAGTGAGGCCACTTTGCCCTTCACTGTTTTTTTTAAAGTGCAGGGTCTAGGGTTTAGAGTCTAAAGAGAAGCCCGTTAAACAATGAAACTATGTTATAAAACGTTTCAAACCAAAAGGCGCCACTACGAGACAAAAAGGACGTAAAACTCTACACCCTTTTAGCCCGAAGCCCCTAAAACCTGAAACCGAAACCCTAAACCCCTAAACCCTAAACCTACAAAATCCGCTGGACCATCTCTCCTGGCTCTGCGTCTCTGGCTGTAGCCGCTGGCTGGTTCCCAGCGAGTGCGGCTGCAGGATCACTTCCTGCTTAAGTCTTAGATGGGGATCCAATAACCTACCATTTCTACCATTTAAGGGTTGTACCCAGTAATTAATTAAGAAGTCATGACCTATATGGGAGATTCCGAAAATAGGGGACCCTAATATAGTAACATAGTACCCGAAATAGTAGGATCCTTATTATAAGGACCCCAAAATAAGGTACCCCCAGTTTTCGGAAACTCCCATATACAATTTTGTGGGGTTTGGAGCTACCACGTAGTTAGGGTTTATGACTTAGGGCTGAGGGCTATTATCCAAAACACGTTGTAACATGGGTTTAGGGTTTAGGTTTAGGGTTTATGTAGGGCGTCATAATAAGAATTTTTGTACGGGGGACCTTGTTGATTTCTTTTAGGGTTCTACGGAGGCAAAATGCGCAAGATAGGAAACCACAAAAGCTCCAAAACTGAAGCGCTTGAAGCCGGACTGATTGGAGTAGAGTTTGGGTGCCTGCTATGCTATCCTTATTTCAGGACTACATGGGCTTTTATTACGATAGTTGTTCACGAATCTCAGGAACACTGTATCTTAGGGGCTGAGTACTGGGTGCCCCAGCCCGACAGGGTCAGCCTTTCGAGTTATAGTAGGAATATGTAAGAGCCAAAAGGTTAAAGGTTACCGACGTACTCAGCCCCTATGCAAAAGAGAAACCCCATAAACGCGCTGAAACCCTAAACCCTATAAACTCTAAACCCTGACACCCTAAATCCTTACACTTGCAATTACGTGGAAGCCCCGAGCGGGAAAGCCAATGCTTCAACCCCATAGATAGGTTTAGGGTTTAGGGTTTCGAGTTTCGGGTTCAGGGTTTCGGGTTTAGGGTTCTGCGCTAATTCAGCCTCCCAGCCACGATCCCCTTTCTCCAAAGCACCCGAACCAATGAGTCCACATCTCAACTGAACATGTACAAAACGAAAAGGAATTAACAGTATAGACCCTAAACCCTAACCCCTAAGCACTAAACCCTAAGCCCGATTAAACCCAAAACCCCTAAAACCCCAAACTCAAAGCCCTAAACCTAAACGCTGCCCTCGTGCAGGAGGCCTGGATGTGCCAAAACTCCTCGGCCAGCTGTGCAAGGAGCTCCAGAGAATGAAGCCTGACATTTCGGTGGGCCCTCTTTTATTTAGGGTTTAGGGCCTTTTATTTAGGGTTTAGGGTTTAGTGCTTGGGGTTGTACGTCAAGCTGTGGAGTTTCGGTTTAGGTTTCTTGTTCACGTTAGGGTTCCAATTAGGGTTTCTTATTCTCGAGGGTCTTTGAAGCATCAAGAAGGATAATTGTATGGTTTTGGGGGTTGCTTAGGGTTTAGATTTTCCGGGTTTTGGGTTTTGCGTTTTAGTGTTCATTATTTTGAGTTTACGGCTTCTTTTACGGATTTCTCAGGGCTTTGCACACCATTGGTTTTCCAAGTGTTGCCGTTTGAGGTTTTTTGCAAAGCTTTTGAGACTCTCTTCACAGTCTTTTGCCGAGTTCACAGAGTTTCGCTTAAGCTTCTCGGAAGTTCGCTTATCGTTTGTTGAATGTTTATCATGCTTTTGAGGGCTTTTGAAGTTTAAAGAATGTGTTGTATGAGCTGCTTCAAAGCCGTAAACCACGAAAGCCCGGTATGCCCTAATACCCCAAAACCTCAATGCCAGGCTGCAATCCCCAGCACGAAACCCTCGTTTGGCTTCAGCAAGGGCCCAAAAAAGCACATAAGCAAAACTAAGGATAGGGATATCCCATATACAACCCCTTCTCATCAAGCCCAATAAAGTGGGGATATCCCCATGAAATGTATATGCTTATGTGCTTTTGGGGTCCCTAATCAGCGTCCTTATCAGTCCCTAACGCGGCTCTGTCCTTCGTATTGCTCCCAAGTAGGAGGTGCTCGCAAGCCGTTCTTATAAGCTTACTTGCGAAGGCTTCTGTTCCCCCTGATAAGTGCTTCTTGGAGTCTGGAATACTGCGTGCTACATACGGGACAGGGTGATTCGTAACAGCGCCTCCACGACATCCACAACGAATGGTTCAAGTTCGATGGCCGGATCCCGGATGCAGCTATTCCCTTCGAAGGTTCCAGGATATCGTTGGTCTACTTCAGCATCCGGCCCAAGCCACAAATTCGGACTGCCGCTGCCGACGCCCGAATGGCTGCAGCGCGCAGGTAGCTGCGGCGATGGCAGTGAGAGGAGATGATGGATTCGACCCGAAGGTCATCGAGCAATCTCGCCCACGGCCGCCTTGTGCCGCCGTGGGATCTTCTTTTCTCCTCCTGCTGCCTGCCTGCCCTTGGCATTGCTCGCTGCTGCGCTTGCCTTCATCTGCTCCCTACTAGCTTTTGTGGTTCATTGGCATTGGGGTTGTAGGCAAGGCCCGACTGACAACCACACAACATGGGTGTAGGTAGGACACATTCTCGGTTATAGGGGCCCCGTAGATTTCATTCGGGTTTCATCAGGGTTGGGAAACAACCCCTGCTTCTGCTGCTTTGCTGCTTTCACGGGGGTGGTTTACAATTTTCTTATCACTCTTCTAGGTTCTCTTCTGGGATGTTGAGGGTTGCAGTTTTAATCTCCAAGTTCGGGGTAGGGCACAGACGCCCGAATTGTGGTTTGCCAAGAAGCTCGGAACCTTCTGATTCAAAACCTTAAGCCCTACCTGGACCCTGAAGAACCTACCTGTTAAGGACATGTGTAAGGAAACAATATTAAGGAATCCTAAACAGGTAGGTTCATCAGGGTTCAGGCAAACCCTGATTCTGGGTTTTCCAGGGTTCAGGCAGGCTTAGGGATTTCGGCTGCGGGCGTAAGGTACTGTAGGGCTCAGGGGGTTTCGGCTGAAGGTCTTTTAGGGTGTCAGGGTTTTGGGTCTAGGGTTGAAGGTTTGAGGGTTTCAATGTTCAGGATTAAGGCTTGGAGCTTAGTTGCTGAGTTCATAAGCCCCAAGAGATATACACTTTCAGCTCTAATAGGCGACAAGACTATCCCCAAAAATGTTAATTAATTCCCTACCTAAACCCCTAAACCCTAATCCCTATACCCTAAACCTTAACTACGTAAGGAAATTTTAGGAAAGGCCTCTGGCTGGCGTCCTCGCCGACGCCGATGAGAAGTCCAGTGGTGAACGGCACCCGGAGCTCGCCGGCCTGCAGAAAAAAGTCTCCAAAAAAAGCTTCATTAAGGAATCTGCCTGAAATTGCATGAACGATCTCCTATTTTGCGAAACCCTAAAACCTAAACCCTAAACCATGTTAATGTAGTTGCTTAGTGCAGGGGTTTCGGAGACTTTGCCGTTTAGTTGTCGAGTTCACGATGCCCTAGACTCTAAGGATAATGTAGGGGCCTTGATAATTGGGATAGGGTTTGGGGGTTCATTATAGTATAATCATAGTAAGGAACCCCCAAGATAGTTTTGGTAATCATTTAGGCCCCTACATTGCATAAACGCTATAGAATCAAGAGCCCAAAAACACCAAACTCTCAACCCCAACGCCAGCAACATTGCTTCAACCTCGACAGCCTTCACAAGCAGTATAGACCTCAAAAACCTAGGGTTTAGGGTTTGGGGGTTTTAGGGTTTAGGGCTGGGGTTGTTGAAAGGAAATTCTGCCAGCATCTTGGGATGCGGAACACCCAAGACTGGGCCCCGTTTCATCCGTTCTTTCCTGTGTGATGTCCAGCCCTTCTTCGCCATGCTGTCGTTGATGAACTTCGTCTTTGCAGCCTTCCTGCTCGTCCCCTCGTTGTACTTCTCTTTTATCGGATTCGGGCAGCTCGCTCCACTTCGTCTTGCTGGCCGGCCACCAGCGTTAATTTCACACTCTTGAGGCGTACACATACTTCCAACCCTTTTCTTGTTGGATCGTGCCACACACAGGATTCAGCTTGTCCCGGTTCTCCTCTGGCTCGTTGTCGGCAGGCTCGGACAGTTCCCTCCTCCTCCATGAAATCCAACCTCCACGGGCCCAAACCCTTGATGCTTGAACCCCAACCGCCGAAGCCTACACCCGCACAATCCCGTCAGATCTTTAGGAGATATAAGGCCAGTTCTGCATAAAATCGCAAAGCAATCAACTCCAAACAACAAACATCCCTGCACCCCTCACGGCGCCTCCCACCCCCCACAAACGAAGGGTTTGCGGTTTCTGATTTTGGGTTTAGGCACCATGTATGACAGCCTACTTCGAGTTTCATGGGACTTAGTAAGTACAGTTATAAAGTAATTATAAGTATAGTTACCGTATTTATAACCCCAGTTACTAAGAGTATGACCTGTGCAGGAATGCTTCTGCGCCTGGCGAAGCTGCTCAAGACGAACGGAAGGTTGCTTGCCTCAGGTTGCGACAGGGGATGCCAACACAAATGTGAGAGTTTCCGAAAATGAGGGGTACCTTGTCTGGGGTCCGTACAATCAGGATCCTACTACTTAGCGTGCTTTATTAGGGTCCCCTACTTTGCTTGCAGCAGGTTGCGAAAGGGGATGCCAACACAGCTGTCCCAAACCCCGTTTGGAGGATCCAAAAAGTAGATCCCTTCATGGGGGTTCCCATAAGGTAAAGTACCCTTAGTAGTTTAGGGCCCCAAATCAGGGGATCAACTTTCAAGATCCTAAACCTTAAGCCCTAAACCCCTAAACCCTAAACCTTAGATCCCTGTAAAGGAACCCTAGAGATCCCTTTAAAGGAACTCTAGATCCTCCCGGGAGTCTTGGGTCCCAAACCCAGCAACCTTGAAGCCCTGCGCCTTGAATCGCTATGTTGAAGAAAAGCCTCCGCACCTAGGGTTTAGGGGGATGATGGTTTAAGGGTTTAGGGGTTTAGGGTTTAAGGGTTTAGGCGGTTTAGGGTTGAGGGGTTTAGGGTTTTACTTAAAGGCCCATGGGACTTCGTAAGTAAGGTTATAAGTAGGTTAAGTTAGAATAACCCTCTTATAGGGGACTTAGAACCCCAATTATCACCTACTCACTAAGTCCCCTGACCCCTCTAAGTACCCCCCAAATCCCCAAACCAAACACGTTAGCCCGAACACAAACCCTAAGTGGTTCAGGGTCTCAAGATTAACTGATGGGAGGCCATAAGGGGGGTTTAAAATTCTTGGGGGTAGGGATTCCTTAATATGAACCCGATTAATAGGCTAAAACCCCTTTTGGATTAGCGTTCAGGGCTTCAGATTATGGCTTCAGCCCGACCCTCGATGAGTAGTTCTCTAAATTAGGGCCCCTTCCTAGGCCCCAAAACTTCTACGGCACCACTTTACAAACAGGACCCCCAAAGGGGCCCTAATTTAGAGAACTGCCCGTAACACTCAGAGCCTGGTGACCCCTCAGCCGGCGCCCTGTCCACGGCACTCTAGCTCGAGGAAATTGCCAGTGTCTCCCTTTGGTTGGGAGTTCGCAAGGGCCAGCGGCGGGGGCCTGCCCTGGCCCTTTAGCTCGCACGCGGCCTAAGATGAAGAGGAGCTCCTTTGGCATGTAGTGCCACAGGGTCGTGGGGTACTTCTGGTTGGGCTGTGCAGGCCCCAACCCTATGACCCTCAGAGTCTGGTCCCTTGGGGCCGGTGCATGGTCAAAGAGCCTAGAAACCAGCTTCGTTGGATCGAACTTCACGGTCTGTTCCTGATCCTCAGAGGCCGGATGTTAGCGGGCATCCCACGCATCTTGTAGCGCCTTCGCCGTCTGTAGCACCTCCTTGACCATGCGGAGGTAGCTTTCTGGCTCATCAAACAGCGACGTCCAGGTGTGGGCCATCACATTCCGGACTTTGTTAGGTCCAGAATGGATTTACTGTGTCACTATGGCCGCGGAAGACAAACCAAACAACCAGCCCGGAGCCTTCTCAAACCCTCTAGAAAGCCGAAGCCGTAAAACCCTATGACTACCTTGCAGACCCGTAAAGAAAGGGTTAAGGTTTAGACTTATGTAAACAATTCTCTCACTTCTTGGCTCGGGGCTGGGTGCGAAGCGGTGCACCGACAAGGAAGCGGCCTGAACACAATGGGATGGTGAAAGGTACTAAAGGGGCTTTGCTACAGTCATTCTTCGGAGAAGTAACTATGATCATGGCGGAATACTTGAGAATGTATTCCGACCTCTATAGTATGCGAAGGCTGTTCGAAGGGTCCTTTCAAGGGAGGGAGCATTGGGACGACGTTTCATGTCAAGGAAAACTTATAGCCGCCCTAGAGGGCCTGAGGACTTTTTTGACCTGGTTTTTTTGGGTTCTTGGTCTTGCATCGTGGCATTTAGGGTTAATGGTATAGTGTTTAGGGTTCAGGTATTTAGGGGGTAGGGTTTAGGGGTCCTTCATGCTGGTATTTAGGGCTGATTAGAACGTAGCTTTGGGGTCAAAGTAGGCATGAGCTTGGGACCTAGTGCTTCTACGGTAAACCCCCATAAAGTTGAAGAGCCCGGCTTAAGGCCAAATAGTGCTGGGCTTCCCTATACATTGCTCTAAGGGATTGAGGCTACGGGGTTTCCAACTTTTGGGCTTCTAGCGTCCGGGCTCAAAGTTTGATTATCGGGCTTTTGGTTCCGAGTTTGGGGGGGGGGGGGGGGGGGGGGGGGGGGGGGCTATCTGAGGCTTAGGGGGTCGAGGGGGTTTGGGGGCTTTAGGATCTTAGGGTCCAGGGTTCAGGGGCCCTAAACCCTACTTAAAGGCGCATGGGACGTCGTAAGGTTGTAAGATATAAGTAGGTTATACTTGTTTTGATAACACCACTTGGGGGACTTGTAACCCCAAAAAAGCCTACTTGCTAAGTCCCGTGCTCTTTTCAGTAACGTAAACTCCCCGTTATAGAACCCCTTATACATCCCTTGCAGGAACCCCGTAAGGATAGGTCCCTTGAAGGAGCCCTTAAAGGATCCCTGAAAGAAACTCTTATAGATCCCTTAAAGGAACCAAGATGGTTTTCGCAAGGGCTCCTCTTTAAGGCTTCCATTGACAGGGGCCCTAAACCCTAAACCCTAAGCCCTAAACCCTAAACCACTAAACCCTAAACCACTAAGTACCACCCATATAGCTATTATATACCCATTATATAGCCCATTATAGGGTAGGGGTCCCCATTAAGGGTCCCTCCTTCTCCGCTTTGATTTAAGTAAACCCTAAACCACTAATCCCATGATCCTTTAAGTGATCTAATCTCCGCCTTGTAGAACCCTTACAGATCCCTTAAAGGAACCCTGTAAGGAATAGTTACTACGTGGCCTGCTCCAGCATCAGGCCCATCGAGGCGTTCACCGCCCTGAGGCGGGCCATCTCATCACGGCTGAGTGGCCCAATATTCCTGAGCTTTTAGGGTTTTAAGGTTTAGGGTTTGGGGTTTAGGGATTAAGGTTTAAAGTCTGGGGATTAGGGTTTAGGGTTTCGGGTTTAGGGATGAGGGTTTAGGGATGAGCTTTTAGGGATTTATTTAGGGATTAGGGTTTAGGGATGAGGATTTAGGTTGGCTCGCCAGGCTTTAACGGGTTTGAAAGGATTTTCTAAGGGTGCAAGCTACCACACCAGGGACATGCGAGGTCAACAAGATGCTTCGGCATGTATTGTAGCTTGCACCCTAAACCGATAACGCAGGCTCCGTTTAGTTTGGCTAGCCTGAGTGCGGTCCTTATCAAGGGACAGAGATTTACATCAAAGGATTCTGTTCTAAACGTCATATAAGAACCTTCATAACTGGAATAAGTCTTTAGGCCATGTTATAATACAAATATGGTTTTGCCCCCGGAGGAATTCTATTGGCAATTATTCAGGCCCCTAGATTTAAAACCCGTACGTCCTGCATCCACAAGCCGCAAAACAACCTGGATCCTAAACCCCTAAACCCTAAAACCTGCACCTTAAACCCTAAACCCTGAACCCTAAACCCTAAACCCTGAACCCTAAACCCGAAACCTTAAACCACCTAAATTCTGAACTTCACTCTGCCCTTGCCGAGTCTCGTGTGGGGAAGGAAGCCGCACTCTAAAGCAAGCGAGCAGATACTCTCCTTGGGTATAGCAGCGCTTTAGGCTTTGGGGGCAGGTTAGCCTATACTGAACTTGGAACCCTAGCAAGAATTTCAATTTTAGCTGTTTCTTAGGGGTTATAATAACCAAACATTAAACATCATTTCTAAGTACCCCTAAGGGCAGCAAGTGAGTACCTGGGAGCGATAAGGGACTTGTGGCTGTGCTCTGACAAACTATTGCTAAGTACGCCTAAGTTTAGGCTTTGGGGGCAGGTTTGGGGTTTAGGTTTCAGATTATGGGGTTATGGGGTTTAGGGTCCAGGGGTTTAGTGTTTAGGGCTTTAGTATAGGGGCCTTATGGTTCCTGAATACTGTAGAAAAGGACTCCTTCAAAAGGAGTCTTTTTAGGATTTGGGAGTTTCCGAAAATTAGGGGTACCTTATTTAGGGGTCCCTTATAATAAGGATTCTACTATTTAGGGTACTATATTTGGCTCCCCTATTTTCGGAAACTCCTCAAGGCATTTAGATGATCTGACAGTTTTGGAAAGCGTTTTCTAGATGTTTCTGGTACAGGGCTGAGGGGCTTGAATCGAGGTTTGTGGCAGAGTGTTACCCGCAGAACCCAATAGCCCTTAGTTAAGCAATGTATCTTAAACTGAACGAGGCTTCATAGTATGATTTAAGTGTATTCCTTAATTGCAGGATATTTGACTCCTCTAAGCTCCAAACCCCTAAGCCCTAAACCCTAAACCCCTAAACCTGTAGATCCTGTAAAGGTGCCCTCAAGGACCGTGACAGTACCTCGAAATCCGAAAGCTTCACTCCCAAACCCTTACATAACAAAGGGCCTCCGACAATCGGCGTTTATCAGCGAAGGGTTTAAGGTTTTGGGTTTAGGGGTTTAGGGTTTAGGGTGATACTGTGACTACCCAGACCTCCGGGAGGATCTAGAAAGCAGATCCCCTAATTTGAGGCCCTATACTACTAAGGGTACTTTATTGGAACCCCCATTAAGGGATCTACTTTTTGGATACTCCCGGGGGTCTGGGTATTTTCAGGAACCCTAAAGCATGCTATGCTCCTAAGACCCAGACCCCTGCACCTAAATCTCAAACATCCCGAATCGCCACCCAATCCTTCCAAAACACCGCAGCCAAGAAAAGAACCAAAATCGACTCAAACCAGTATACAACTATAGGGGCCTGCGATTGAATGACAATACTGGGACTATACCGTAATCGTACTAGTCATTACTCAGGCGCCTATCCCACAACCCTGGGAGGATCTAGAAAGTAGAAACACGAAACACTAAAGGGTACTTAGCAAGCACTCCCTTAATGGATCTACCTTCTTGGATGCTCCCACGGGTCTGCTGAACCCTACTTAAAGGCTCATGGGACTTAGTAAGAAAGGCTATAAGCAGGTTATAGTTAGGATGGCCCCACTTAGGGGCCTTCTAAACCAAATTATAACCTACTTACTAAGTCCCATGATGCTCTAAGTAACCTAAACTCCCCCTTATAGAACCCTTATAGACTCATAGATCGCTTAAAGGAGCCCTTTAAAGGAACCCTAGGGTTTCTTACTAAGTCCCATGATCCTGTAAGTAAACCCTAAGCCCGATATTTACCATCAACGCCTAAAACCCTAAACCGCCAAGACTCGGCCCTTGAAACCCACGCCGCCCGGTTGGGCGCCTTGGGATGCACCTCCCCGGCCATAACCAGAATCTCCTGAGCTTGTCCAGGGTTTAGGGTTCAGATGTTTAGGGGTTTAGGATTTCGGGTGTAAAATTTGGATTTAGGGTATAGGGTTTAGGATTTAGGGTATAGGGTGTAGGGTTTAGGGTCTATGGTCTAGGGCTTTTGTTATACTTGAAGAGAAGTTCAAGGGTGGATTTATGCTACGTGTAAAGAAGTCCTTCTGCACTGTCATAAGTGGCATAACTACAGAGTTATGCTGTTTTTACGTGTAGAGATTGTGGTTTGGAAGGGCTTCATATAAGAGTCCGTAGACAGCTATGGGCATGAACAGGGCATTTGGGCTTCGATCGGGACTTGTAGATCTCAAGGTGTGGAGCCTGGGGTTTAGAGGCTGGGCCATGCCCCCAAACGCTGTTAGTGTTTTCTACGCGCCGTTAGTGTGAAGGCTAGAGGTTGTGAACGTTTTGATGTCTTTGTGTGGGTTTGCCGCTGTTGCGGGAGTTCTTTTCGCATAGCTTCGGGAACGCCTTCGTCATAAGGTTTTGAAAGCGTGAAGCAGTCTTTGGAGACTCTCTTGAGATTTCATACAAGCGTCTTGTAGGCCTGCATACGGCTTGAACAACGTCGAAGTAGAGCTGTTTCCCTACATCCTGAACCTAAGGCCTAAAGGTGCCATATCAAGGACCTAGGGTTTGTAGCTTCTCAAGAAGCTAAATGCCGGTTTGCAGGTTCCGGGACTTCCCTGAACCTCTAAGCCCCAAACCCTAACCCTAAACCTTTTAACCCCTGAGCCCTAAAGCCTAAACCCCTAAACCCTAAACCCCTAAACTGCATTGCTCTCTCGAGGGACCCACGGCTTCGAAAGGCCGAAGATAGAGCTAGGGATATCCCATATAGACCCTCTTCTGAAGCCCAATCAGGTAAGGAAAATGCTTATTCTTATGTTCTTCCTTAACCCAAAACCCTAAGACCTAAAAGGTTCTTTGCGGGTCCCTAACTTTAAGGACAAAATGACCCGTAAATGTAGGGACACTATACACTTATACTATGAATCCCTTTAAGGAATATGAACCCTAAACCCTTTTAGGGTTCTTTGCGTCCTTAAGGAACAAATAGCCCCAATTATAAACTACTTACTAAGTCCCCTTATAGACAGAACCCTTATAGATCCCTGACCCTAAACCCTAAAGGATCTCTTAAAGGAGCCTTTAAAGGAACCCTACTAGGTCCCATGATCCTCTAAGAAAGAAGAGGCGCGTCGACCCCGGCGGCGCGGAGGCTCGGGGCATCGAGGCGCTGGCGGGCCACCTCCTGAGCCGCAGGGTTCGTTCTAAAGGGCTCCCTAAAGGGCTCCTTAAAGGGATCCTTGCAGGGATCCTTGAAGGGATCCTTTAAGGGGTCTAGCTTCAGGATCATGGGACTTAGTAAGGTTCCTTAAAGGGCTCCTTTAAGGGATCTATAAGGGTTTAGGGTTTAGGGATTTTTAAGGGTTCTATAAGGGGGAGTTTAGGGAACTTAGAGGATCATGGGACTTAGTAAGTAGGTTATAAATGGGGTTATAAGTCCCCGAAGTGGGGTTATCCTAATTATAACCTACTTATAACCTTACTTACTAAGTCCCAGGAGCCTTTAAGTACGGTTTAGGGGATTCAGATTCAGGAAACCCTGTGAAGCACCCTACTTAAGAGCTTAGGGGACTTGGTTTTAAGTCCCCGAAATGACTAAATGAGGTTCCCCTACATATAACCCAACTTAGAAGTTACCGACTGAGTCCCCTGAGCCTTGTTTAGGGTTTAGGGTTTAGGGATTTAGGGTTTAGGGTTTTGGGTTTTAGGGGTTTAGGGGTTTCGGGTTTGGGGTTTAGGGGTTTAGGGTTTAGGGGTTTAGGGTTTAGGGTTTAGGGTGTTTAACCCAAGGCCCTGAACGCCGATCGCCCCAAACTTCTGAGCCAGGCCACATCGGACATCCAGTCTCGCCCCTCCTTCCAAGAAGTTCCCAGAGAGCCCAGTTGAGGGTTTAGGGTTTAGGGTTTAGGGTTTAGGGTTAATTAAGGAATATACCTTAAATTATCAGCGGCTTCATACTATGAGTTAAACTAAAGTAGATTCCTTCATTAAGGGTTATTGGCCTCTCTGGGTTGAGTCTTAGTGCTTAGAAGTTTAGGGCTTAGCATCCACCCTCGAGGATCATTGGTTTAAGGTTTAGGGTTTTGCGTCTAGGGGTTTAGAGGTTTAGGGATTAGGGGATTAGGGGTTTAGGGTTTTAGGGGTTTAGAGGTTTAGGGATTAGGGGCTTAGGGGTTTAGGGGTTTAGGGGGTTAGGGGTTTAGAGTCTGGGACCTTAGGGTTTAGGGTTTTGGGACCTTAGGGTTTAGAGTTTGGGACCTTAGGGTTTAGGGTTTGGGACCTTAGGGTTTAGGCTTTAGGGTTGAAAATTCAGGAATCGAGCTTCACAAGAAAGGATGCTTTAAAACCCGGCAAATGCCCCACAACCCCCAGTTCTACTTGAGATCCATGCCAACAATCTGAAAAGTGCCTGAACCGAGAGCCCTAAACTTTGAAAAACCCTAAGCGTATTACGGGATTCTAAAACAGGGTCCCTTCGGGGGATCCTTTAAGGGTTCCTTTAAAGGGATCCCCTGAGGAATCGTTTAAGGCTTCCTTTAAAGGGAACCCCATGGTAGAACCCCCAAACCCTGTGAATCTCAGGACTCATATATTAAGGCTTTTGGGCCCAAAGACCATACTACATAAGGCTTTTGGGCTATTTTGATCCCTAGGGAAAGTAGCCTTAAAGGGACCCCATTACAGTATTTAACCCGATCGCACCCTTACAGGGAACCCTATTATTTAACCCTATAAACCCTTACAAGGAACCCTATAGTACCCTTTCGGGGAACCCTATTCCTCAACACTATACCTCCCTTACCCTAGGGATCAAAATAGCCCAAAAGCCTTATATCGTAGTCTTTTGGCCCAAACGCCTTAATATATGAGTCCTTAGATCCCCAGGGTTAGAGGGTTCTACCATGGAGTTCCCTTTAAAGGAAGCCTTAAGAAATTCCTCAAAGGATCCCTGATTCAACCCTATAGCACCCTTAGAGGAAGCCTCAGAGGAAACTAGGAGACCCAGTAACCTAAGAATAAAAAGGCCTCTCTTTTTGGTATTGGGTAACTTTATAAGGAACCTAGGACTACAAAAAGGGAATAAGGGTACTACCCGGCGTCCCAGGAAAGCTTTAAACAGCGCCAAGCGCGTCGTTGTCAAGCGTGAGGATGGGGGAAACCCCGGAGCCGAACCGGCAATTTAGGGTTTAGAGGGTTCGGGTTTAGGGCTTAGGGGTTCCTTTAAGGGACCTATAGGGTTTAGGGATTTGGGGTTTAGGGTTTGGGATTCAGGGTTTGGGGTTTAGGGCTCAGAGTTTAGGGCCTAGCGACTGCTTCCAGACCGTCTCGCAGATCGCGAAGCACTCTGTTTGTCTGGATTCTCAACTTGAGCCCCTAAACCCTAGACCCTAAACCCTCAACCCCTAAACCCCTAAACCCTAGACCCCTAAACCTTCAACCCCTAAACCCCTAAACCAGACTCGGAACGAAAGTGCACTTCGCTTTGCTTCTCTTGGGCTGGATTTCAGGTTGGTTCTACGAGTTTGGCGAGTTGAGGGCTGAAGGTTTCGCGCCTTTAAGGGTTCCTCTAAGGGAGCTACAGGGTTTAGGGTTTAGGGGTTTATGGCCTATATAGGGTTTGGTATGGATTCAGGTTTAGAGGGTTTGAGGTTTGGAGTTTTATGTGTTGAAGGTTTCTACTTTAGCTTGATTTCTCAATCTACCGGTTTCATGAAGGTCTAGGGATACTGTTGATGATATAAATCTGACTGACCTATTATAAGGGATATACCATAATTCCCTTAGTTTAGGGTCCTTAAGGTAATCAGGATTCATATCATCAACCGTAGTTTTGTGGGCTTAGCCTTCGCAGCTGCAGGGCGAATCTTTGTAGAAGCTCCACAGTCCCTCTGTCTTTTCTTTTGTTGAGGGTTTCGGGCTTTAGGGTTTAGGGTGTAGGGTTTGGGTTTAGTCCGAGGTGAGACAGGTGCTTATAAGTTTTATAAGGTTTAGGGTCCAGTGTAAAACGAAACCCGGAAAGTTGCAACATCATGTTCCTTATGCCCTCGAAATATAAAAATAATAAACCCTAAACCCAAAACCCCAAACCCTGAACCCTACCTAAAGGATTATGGAATTTGGTAGGTTATACTTGGGGTTATAAGTCCCCCAAGTGGGGTATCCTAGTTATGACCTACTTATAACCTTACTTACTTCCTAAGTCCCATGAGCCTTCAAGTAGACCATACTTGGAGGTCGGGGGACGTAGTAAGTAGATGCTTATAGACAGGTCAATAACATAAACCCAATTAGGATGCCTTTTGGGTACCTGTAACTCTACTTAAAAGTCTACTTCTAACCCTCAACCCTAAGCCGTCCTTAAACCCTGAACTCTAAGTCCCCTGACCCTCCAAGTAGCAGCCCGTCCTTCGTCACTGGGCTGCGGAAATTGCAGTAAGTGCACGTGTTGAAGCACTCGTAGCTAGGGATCATGGTGTAGGATGGAGAGTACGTAACCTGACACAGAGTGTTTCTAGGCTTCATCGGGTTTTTCAACTAGGAGTTGTTTAGCTAGATTCCCCAGTATCCCCTTGATACTAGGGGTGCCGTTTTCGGTGGTTTTCAATTTTGTAACCGTGGGAACAAAAAACAAAGGCATAAGCGTACTGCCGGAGAACCTGGCAAGCCTCTTGAGGCTTCAGGCAGTGAGGACTGGCTTGGGCCGGGGTCTTTATAAATGGGTAGTTGTCAAAAAATAGGGGTCCCTTTTTGGGTATCCTAAATACTAGGTGCCGTACTATAATAAGGACCCAAAAAGGGACCATAGTTTTGACAACCACCCAAATCGCGAGCATGCTTCATTTATATAGGTGGTCCGTATACGAACCCTCCGGAACAACGCAGCGGTAGACTTTGCAACCGTACCCTTATTTTTCTGTAGCATCTAGGGCTTTGTGAGTTTCGTTGAAGTCCGTCGTCACTCCATCTTCAATCTGAGGCACACAGCCTGTTTAAAGGCTATTGAGCTGTCTTAGTTTAATTAAGTACTCTCATCCCTAAACCCTAAATCTTCTACGCCCAACGCGTAAACAGCTAAACCCTAAATACTAAACCCCCTTACTCCAAAACCCTAGACGCCTAAACCATAAAGCCAGAACCCAGGTCCCAAACACAAAGACGGAAACCAAAACGCCACAAAAGACGAAACCCACAAAACCCCACGGAGCACTGCATGGAAAACCTTCAACGTGTATAAATCCCTTACTACAGAACCTTTTTTGCAACCCTTAAGCAAACCTTACACCCTGAACCCTCAAACTCCGAACATGAAATCAGGATCCCCAAACCCTGAATGTAGGGTTTAGGGTTTAGGACCCACTGAAGGAGTCTAATATTCCTTCAGTAGTGGGGATTTGGAGTCCCTACCCTAAGCTCTCTACAGCCCTAAGCCGAACTGAACCCGTACCTAGACCCCCCAACTACCCTCTAATATACCCTAAATACAAACCAGTAAAGACCATAAGGGTTCCATTAAAGGGCCATTGGGGGGTCGTGGTAAAGGAACCCGTGAGAAACGCGAGGACCAGCTCCCAGCGCCAGGCGACCACGCGCCCCGCGGCGCGCGGAGACGCGAAGAAGCGCTGCGCGCCGGAGCCCGGGGCTTTTGGGAGGGAGCCGCCTGCCTTCGGTTTCCCAGAGACTCCGATATCCCTTGATTAAGGAATATACTTTAAAATAATTATGGGAGGACCCTTAATATGATTTAAGGAATATTCCTTAACTAAGGGATATTGGAGTCTCTGGGTTTAGGGCTCCCCTTTTGAAGGTTCTTTTTCAGGGTTCCTGCTAGGCTCCAGATCCCCTTATAGTGAAGGAACAGACCTTTAATCATAATATCAAGGATCCCCTGTCTGGTTGAATGTACATTCCTTAGTTAAGGGGCTGGGTAGGGTTCCCTTTAAAAGTTCCACGGAGTTCATCGTGTCTAGAAGGGGTTGTTTAAACTCTGAAACTCCCGCTAACTGAAATAACCGTATACCCTGAAACCTAACCCCGAACCCCCAAAACCCAAACCCCAAACCTCCAAACTCCATGAACATCGTTCGTGATGTTTGTTTTGTAGACACGGTTTTCAGAGCGCGCGCTCAGATGTCGCGGACTCCAGGCTTTTCTGTTTATCGTGAACGTTTACGCTTTAGGGTTTAAGTTATCAGTTTGGCCCCAATATTATAGTACCCTTAACTTACAGAAACCCCTATAGACCCCTTTAAAGGAGCCTTGCTCTATAATTATTAAGGCCCCTTTGTTTTTTAAGGCCTCTGGAGGCGGAACGAGCCCTGGAACAGGAATCATCCCAGAGACTCCAATATCCCTTAATTAAGGAATATTCCTTAAATTATAGTAGGATCCCTGATATGATTTAAGGAATATTCCTTAATTGAGGGATATTGGAGTCTCTGGGATCCTATGCTTTTAGGGTTTTGCGTGATCTAGGGGCCCTAATTATTTAGAATAGGGGCTAGGGGCCTATTATAGGGGGCTTGATAATTGGAATAGGTTTTAGCGGCCTCTTATGCTATAATACTATAATTCATAACAAGGAACCCCCAAAACATTATAGGTAATTATTTAGGCCACTATACTAAACCCGCCATAATATCCCCTTTTGTAATCCTTATAGACCCCTTTGAAAGGAACCCATAAATTGAAGGAAGCCAAACCTTACAGGCTTCTACTGTATGCTTCATAAGCAAAAATTGGGATAGGGATATCCCATACAAACCCTCCAAGTAAGGAAAATGCTCATTCTTATTGTGTTCTTCCTAAACCCTAAACCCTAAGACCTAAAAGGTTCTTTGTGGGTCCCTACTTACGGGGTCATGGGACCTAGTCCTTATAATGAAGACTAACAAGGTAGGGATGCCAGGGCCCCAAACCCTATGGTAGAAGCCCAAAAGTTGGAAACCCAATAGCCTCAGTCCTTCACTATTTGTCCTTAATCCGGCTTCCAACTTTCTGGGGTTTACCATAAACCTTAAACCCTAAAACCTGAACCCCCCAAACCCTAAACCCTAAATCCCTAAACCCCTAGCTTATGTCCTTTCTGGGTCCCTGAAACCAGAGTACGAGATGAGCTGCTTCTGGACACGGCGACAGAAGAAACGAGCAAAGATATCGTAGGTGCCTTAATTGGGCTTAGGGGGCGGCGGTAAGACTCCAGGGGATTCTATGAGTCTTCGTCTGACCTTTGAACTATGCCGAACTGTTTGTTTGCTACTCGTAGCTGTTGTGCAGCTGATTTCGAAGGCCCTTGCTGTCCCCACCTGCGTGAGACGCGCCCCAGGTCACGACGGAGCCATCGACGAGGATTGCCGCAAAGGCCTGAAAAGTTGCTTGAATCTGCTGCACATTCTTCAGCTGATCTCGGATGCCACTGCTGTCCCCCCCGGCGGTGGCATCGCCCCAGGTCACGACGGAGCCATCACCAAGGATTGCAGCAAAGGCAGACTTCGTCGCTTGAATCTGCTGTACATTCTGCAGCTGATCTCTTACAGCACTGCTGTCACCACCAGCGTCAGCATGGCCCCAGCACACGACGGAGCCATCCCCCAGAATGGCAGCAAAGGCACACCTAGTTGCTCGAATCTGCTGCACATTCTTCAGCTGATCTCGCGCAGCACTGCTGTCACCACCGGAGCTAACACAGCCCCAGGTCACGACGGATCCATCTCCAAGAATTGCAGCAAAGGCCTCATCAGCTGATTGAACCTGCTGTACATTCCTGAGCTGATCTCGCACAGCGCTGCTATCACCACCAGCGTCAGGGTGGCCCCAGCTCAGGACGGACTTGTCCCCCAAAATCGCAGCGAAGGCGAAACGATTTGCTTGAATCCGCCGCACATTCCTTAGCTGATCTCGCACAGCACTGCTGTCACCACCGATGCCAGCACGGCCCCAGCTCACGACGGATCCGTCCCCAAGAATCGCAGCAAACGCCTCATCAGTTGCTTGAATCTGTTGCACATTTTCTAGCTGATCTCGAACGGCATTGCTGTCACCGCCGCATTCAGCACTGCCCCAGGACACGACGGAACCATCCCCCACAATCGCAGCAAAGGCAAAACGAGTTGCTTGAATCTGCTGCACATTCTTCAGCTGATTTTGCACAGCACTGCTGTCACCACCGTAGCCAACACGGCCCCAGGTCACGACAGCTCTGTCGCTAAGAATCGCAGCAAAGACCTCGTCATTTGCTTGAATCAGATGTACATTCTTTAGCTGATCTCTTACAGCACTGCTATCACCACCAGAGCCGGCAAGGCCCCAGGTCACGACAGATCCGTCCCCAAGAATCGCAGCAAATGCAAAACCAGTTGCTCGAATCTGCTGTACATTCTTCAGCTGATCTCGCACGGCATTGCTGTCACCACCAGCTGGAGGAGTGCCCCAGGACACGACGGAGCCATCCCCCACGATCGCTGCAAACGCGGAACAGGTTGCTTGAATATCCACTCTTCGAATGTGGAATGTTAGTGTTAGATTCTGCAGCCTGGCACTTTTTAGTCGGGCCTCGCCATCCAGAACACTTCCGGTGGAGGTCAAGAGTCGACCTTTGCCAGCTCTCAGGGCTCTCTGCGCACGCATCCTCAATGATTCGACAGATTCGTCCTCATGTGTCTCCAGGGACACAGTCTTGCCACTTATGAGACTCACCTCAAGAGTCAGGGACATGATGACTGTAGACTCGGATCAAACCATGGCCAACACTCCGAATACCAGGACTGTTTTGTATCGAGCGGCGCAGGTAAGTAAAGTCCTTTGCGAATCTCCCTTGTGTTTTGGTTGATGGTCTCTGTCTCTGTCTCTGTCTCTGTCTCTCTCTCTCTCTCTCTATCGTTCGCTCTCCTTGTGAAAATTGCTGAGTGGAGCTACCCTTTCGGCAGCATGGCAAATGGCTTTGGCTTTTTGCATGTGGGCCTCTCCGGAAGCCGACGCTAAACCTCAAGCCCCTAAACCCTAAACCCCGCCCTTTGCCTGGGGCGTTGGGGCTGCAGACTGCCACTAAAGAAGCCTGAAGCAAGAGACCCAGGTTTCGGGTTTATGGTTGTGTGGGTCTCCATATATCGTACATGCTACGCCGCAAGAGATGTCAGTAACAACACCAGCTTTCGTTGCTGCCTTCCTTACGCTCTACGCCAGTACCGTCTAAGACAAAAACCTGAACCCTAAAATCTAGACACACCCTAAACCCCAAACCCTAAACACTAGACCCGAAGCCCAAGGCTTCGAAATGTGTCCCCTAAACCCTGAACCCCTACACCCTTAACCCTAAACTACACCTCTAAACCCTTATCCCTAAACCCTAAACCCCTAAACCCTAAACCCTGAACCCTAAACCCCTAGAAAGGCTCCTGCATTGCGTGCCTGCCGGAACGCGGTCCGGCCGTCAGAGGGCCGCCGATCACGGAACCTCGCTTTCCCAGACCCCCGGGAGCTGTATCCTTTAAAGGGATCTATAGGGTTCCTTTAAAGGGATCTATAGGGCTATCTATAGGGTTCCTTTAAAGGGATCTATAGGGTTCCTTGAAGGGGATCTATAGAGCTTATAGGGATTTTTAAAGGTTCAGGGTATCATGGGGAACTAAAGGTTAACCTTTTTGGCTATATAGGGATTATATAGGGACTATATTACCCAAAAAAAGGTTAAAGGTTGCCTACTCGACTACTAGGAGTATGTGGGATCTTGGGGAATGATTAGAGCAGGGCTCCGGTAAGCCCTAAAAAATAAACTCGATTCCTCAGGGTTCCTTTAAGCCCTTCCTTTTCGGGATTCCTTTAAGGGCATCCGTGATAGGCTTCCTTTCAAGGCTCCTTTAAAGAGGCATCTGAGGTTCCTACTTAGAGAATCATGGGGTGGGGGGGTGTGGGTTCCGAAGAGGATCATGGGCCGTAGTAAGTAGGTCTTAATTGGGGCTACAAGTCCTCTAAGTGGGGATATCCTAACCCTAACAAGGTCTAAAGGCTCCCAGCCAGAGCTCTCCCAGGTTCCTCTGTAACGTCGGGGCCGTAATAACTAGAATAGGGTTTTGGGCTCCTAGATACTATAAGTCCTATAAGGAACCCTAAGCGTGCACCCGTCGGCCCAGACGTGACGCTTAGCTTTTTAGTCGTAGGAAGTTGTCTACTACAGTCCCTGTGACGAAGACCTTGCCTCTAAGGCGAATAGACAGCCTGTGGCCCAAAAGACCTACCGTTTAAGGAACTATAATATAGAAACCATAATAAGAAATCCTAAAAAGGTAGGTCTTTTCGGCTACAGGAGAAACCTAGTGTCCGGAAAATCTTTCTCAACCCCCAGCATTAGAAGCTTCGAGACCTGCGTACTGTAGCAGCAGAAAATGTGTACATGCACGCATGAACACATGCAAGCATGCACACATACACGCGTACACACACACATATATATACGCAAATACTGCCGTACACACATACAAACATACAAACAAACATACATACATACATACATACATGCTTCCATAAGTACATACAAACATAAACACACTTCAAGATTGCCGTATGATTGTGTGTTTAACTTCCTTCCTCAAGTAATCGTATACCCATATACACGAACACACGACCTTGAGAATAGCCCTGAAAACTAAGCCCTAAACCCTAAACCCGAAGTCCCAAACCACTCGAGCACGGCACACGTATAATACGGACCCTAAATGGGGACCGAATTACTTAAAAGGAACCCTAACCCTAACTTATATGTACCCCAAAACGTAAGCCCTTTTCCAATCCCATGAGCCTTTAAGCAGACCCTAAACCCTAAACCTTAGAAGCTGCCCCCACCCTGTAATAGTGACTATAAGGATTATATTAGGGCCCTATTATATTCCTATTATACCACTATTACAGGGTGGGGGCCCCTTCTCACCTAAACCCTTAAAGGAAGTTCCTAGGCCTACGCAAGAGTAACCTAGGAACAAAAAGGGTGCCCTTTTCGGTTTAATAGAAGGTATAAGGGAAACTAAACCCTAAAAAAAGAAGCAAGGGCCTACCCTGGGTCCTAGGTTCTATGATAGAACCCTATAGTACCCTTAAGGAACCTAAACCTTACTTACTAAGTCCCGTGAGCCTTTAAGTATAGATCCTTTAAAGGAACCCTGATAGACCCCCTAGAGGAACCCTTATATACCCCTTAAACGGGACCCTTATGGACCCTAGATACCCACTTCCCAGACCCCGGGAGGATCTAGAAAGTAGATCCCCTAATTTGGGGCCCTATACCACTAAGGGTACTTTATAGGAACCTCCATTAAGGAATTAAGGGATCTACTTGTTGGATCCTCCCGGGGGTCTGGGTTCAAGCCTAGTATGTGGGAACTTTGAGATATGATTTCAGCAGGGCTCCTGTAAGCCCTAAACCCTAAACTCGATTCCTTAAAGTTCCTTTAAGCCCTTCCTTTCCGGGATTCCTTTCAGGGCGTCCGTGATAGGCTTCATTTTAAGGCTCCTTTAAAGAGGCATCTGAGGTTCCTACTTAGAGAATCATGGGACATATATAGTAATTAGGGTTCCTTAAAGGGCTCCTTTAAGGGATCAGGGTTTGGGGTTTTGGGTTTAGAGTTCTATAGAAGGCATCTATAAGGGGGGGGGGGGGGGTTGGGGGGTTAGGGTTTACTAAGAGGATCATGGGCCTTCGTAAGTAGGTTAAGCCCGTCCTTTCCACTTTAAAAGACCAAGGGACCGATAGTCCGAGGAGGAGATCATCTTGTGGAAAGACCCAAAGGTGGCTGTGGAGTCAGAGATCTGAATCAGGTTGATGAAGGGGTTTATTTTTATTTTTTTAAGGGCCCCTTTTCGATCTGCAGGGGTTTAGGGTTGAGGGTTTACAATTTAGGGTTGGGGGGTTAGGGTTTAGGGCTTAGGGTTGAGGGGATAGGGTTTAGGGTGGAAGAGGGTTGAGGGGTTAGGGTTTAGGGGTTAGGGTGTAGGGGTTAGAGTTCAAGGTTTTTTAGGGTTTGGGGAGAAGGGGTTAGGGGTTAGGGTGTCGGGTTTAGGGCGTAGGGTGTAGGGTTTATGGTTTTAGGGTTTAGGGGTTTGGGCCTAGATCTGAGGCGCCAGGTTTTTTTGTGGGTTTATTAAGTTAAGGGGTTAGGGAATTTTTTGGGGGGCTTTAAGCTTCATTTAGACTGGATCCAACAGGGCTTTAGGATTTTATGTGTCTTAGGCTTTGGTGGTTTTGATGCGGGCGGGGGGGTGGGGGGGGGGGGTGTTTGTGCTTTTAGCGTGCTTCTTTCTTCTAGGGTTTCGGCCGTGGAACCTGAAATCCAGACACTCGAAACCCCCTAAAAACACTCATAGGAATCCTACGCCATAGTGCCTAAAAACGTTATTTGAAGCCATCCCTAAATTAAAGGCTTATGGGATTTAGTTAGTAAGGTTATAGCTAGGTTGTAATTAGGATAACCCCCCTTAGGGGACTTATAACCTTAATCAAAACCTACATACTAAGTCCCATGATCCTTTTAGTAACCCAATCTCCCCCTTGTAGAACCCTGATAGATCCCTTAAAGGAACCCCTTTAAGGAACCCTAGTTACTACGTCCCATGACCCTTCAAGTGACCTTAGCACTCTGAAGCACGCAACCCCTCATAAGGCTCGCCTTCTCCAACGACTCCGCGGGGGCATCCCGGGATGTCTCTGCGCGGGCTTCGGCCTCCAGGGGGTTCGGGGTTTAGGGTCTAGGGTTCAGCTCTTGAGGGGACTTAGTGCCCCAAGTGGGGCTAGCCCCGAGTGGGCTTGTCCTAACTGTAACCATAGTTACAACCTGACTTATCAAGTCCCTTGGGCACTTAAGTTCTCAGTGTGTTTCAACACTTAAAGACTCATGGGACTGAGTAAGTCGGGTGACCAGTAGGTGTCAATTAGGAAAACCCCCCTTCGGAGACTCATAACTCACTTTATAGCCTACTTACTAAGTCCCATGACCCTTCAAGTAACCTAAACCCTTACAGAACCCTGAACAGATCCCTTAATAAAGGAACCCTTTAACGAACTCCAGACCCATGAGTAGCCTAGGAATAAAACGGGTGCCCGTTTTGCGTTAAAGGGGCTTACAAGGGAACCTGAACCCTAAAAAAGGGAATATGGGCTTACTCTGGGTCCTAGATTTTATTGTAGAACCCTATAGTGCCCTTATAGTAACCCGTTAAAGGAACCCTTATACCACCCTTCTAGTAGCCCTTTAAAGGATCCTGTATATGAATTCTTACAAGGCTGAAGGGCCATACTGTTGATGATTTAAATCCTGCATTACCTTAAGGACCGTAAACAACGGGAATAATGGCATATTCCTTTTTATGGGTAATGCAAGATTTTATATTATCAGCCGTACATCTTGGTGCCAAAGGCTGAGTTAACCGCGCTTGGGGCTTGGGGTATGAGAGCTGCTGCCTTGTAAGAAACCATATGAGTGGTTGTCAAAATTAGGGTCCCTTTTTGGGTACCCTACATATTAGGTGCCGTACTATATTAAGGACCCAAAAAGGGACCCTAAGTGTGACAACCACCCATATACAGGTTTAGAGTTTAGGGTTTAAGGGTTGAGAGTCTAGAGTTTAGGGTTTAGGGAGTTTGGGGTCTGGGGAGTTTCCGAAAATGAGGGATACCTTTATTGTGGGGTCTTTATAATAAGTATCTTCTATCCAGGGTACTATATTTGGGTCCCACAGGGTTTAGGGTTTAGGGAACTCCCATATGGTACCATGCAGCTTTTGCAGAGTTTAAAGAAGGCTTGTAGCGGTGTTGTAAGTTCATTGCGTGTTTTCTGGGTCCTGTAAGGACTTAGGGCTTTAGGGGCTCGGGACTTCCAGAGCCCTTCCTTTTTTAGTTTCAGTGAGGGTTGTATGGTGGGTGTACTGGAACTTGAGAGGTCGGCGTATACCGTAAACCCTGAAGCGTGCTCCTGGTCAGGCTATGATCCCATAATGTAAGGGCCTTAATAACCAGCCTTAGTAAAAAAAAAAAAAACTATTCTAAAGCTTCCTTTTTCTACTTATAGTATAATGGCCCCAAAACCCTATTCTAATTATTGAGGCGCCTATGGTATGTATTTGCTATAACCCACAAGACAGCATTTGCCGATCCAAAGGCAGACCCTGAACTCTGAACCCGAAGTTCGAAACGCCCTAACCCCAAACCCCTGAACCCCAAACCCCAAACCGAGCCCTAAACCCTAGACCCCTGACCCCAAACACTGAACCCCGACCCCTGTGGAGGTTTGGCTTTAAGTCTGAAGGGCGCCGAAACCTAGATCCTAAAATCCACTAAAGCGGATTCCTTGAAGCTGTTCCGTTAAGGGTTTACGGTTGAGGGTTTCGGTGTTTCTGGATTTGGGGTTTTTAGGGTTTAGGGGGGATGAGAGTAACCTGTTTAGGGTTGCAGGTTTTCGGCTGTTCTACATATTGGGCCTTTCTGCTCGGACAGAAGGCAGCAAGTCCCTAAACCCGAAACCCTAGAAAACCCGTAAAGATCCCTTACAGGGACCTATGCCCCCTGAGCCCTTTCCCCCTAAAAGGGAACCCTCACAGGGACCCAAGTCCCCTCAATCCTAATCCCTGAACCCTAAATCCCTAGGTCCCCTATGTCCCCTAAGTCCCCAAAACCCTAAGCCCTAACTCCCAAACCCTAAACCCGAAACCCCAAACCCTAAACCCCAAACCCTAAATCCCCAAACAACTCTAAACCCCAAAGCCTAAATTCTGACTCCCCAAACCCCAAACCCTAAACCCGAAACCCCAAACTCCAAACCCTAAATTTTAAATCCCCAAACCCTAAATTTTAAATCCCCCAAACCCTCAATCCCAAAGTCACCTCAAGGGCTCCCTCCTTCGGCCTCATCGAGATCTTCCCACGAGTCGGACGCCGGGCTCTCGAAGCCTCAATCTTGGGTATTAAAAAATACATCGTAGGTTCTTAGGGTTTAGGGTTTAGGGTTTAGGGTTTTTAGGGTTGATAGGTTCAGGACTTCGGGTTTATAGGTTCAGGGATTTTCCAACGGGGTGCTGACATCTAGACTCCTATTAGGAGTCTGTTCATCAAGAGGGCTCTATGTTACGAAGTGTGATAGGGCTGCGGACTTCGGCCGACAATTACTCATCAAAACGTCCGGTACCCCTGAACACAGGATAGTGAAATTCCAGCTGCCCTTTGGTGGTTGCACGGGGTTTTTGGATTGTGTAAGAACCTATAAGGTGATATTCCTTGCTCACTGTTTAGGCCCCGAGTTTGAGGGTTTCGGGCTTGAGGTAGCAGGGCATCGACTGGTGTTCATGTGGCTTGTGGCTCCATCGAGGCATAGGGTGGCGAATGGGTAGGTCATTTCAGGCTTGAAAACGACTTTGCAGGGTACCCTAAACCCTAAAACTTAATCCCAAAATCCCCAAACCCTAAACCAAAAAACTTAAACCCCAAACCCCCAAACCCTAAATCCTACTGAAAAGGAGGTTCTATGGATTGCCAGGGGTGTGGTAAACGGCAAAGAATAAAACGGCCTCTCTTTTTGGTATTGGGTAGCTTTATAAGGAACCTAGGACCACAAAAAGGGAATAAAGGTACTACCGGGCATCCTAGCCCCCAATTTTTCGGAAACCCTAAACCCTCTATAGAACCCTTATGGATCCCTTTAAGGAAGCCCTCATAGATCCCTTTAAAGGTACCCCTACTACCGGGCATCCTAGAAAATGTTGCAGGGAGCTTAATCTCTCAGCATGGAGCTTCCAGGTTCGGGAACTTAGGCGTCACCAGGGTTTAGGGTTTAGGGCTTTAGGGTTTTAGGGTTTTAGGGTTTAGGGTTTTAGGGTTTTAGGTTTTAGGGTTTAGGGTTTTAGGGGTTAGAGTTTTAAAGTTTTTTTTAGGGTTGAGGGGTAAGGGTTTGGGGGTGATAGGGTTTTAGGGTTTAGGGTTTGGGATCCCCACCCATTAAGACGATCTCCCTGGGAGGGGTCGGCTCGTGGGGCGGTGATTTAACACTACTTAGAGGATCATGGGACTTAGTAAGTAGGTTATAATTGGGGTTATAAGTCCCCTAAGTGGGGTTATCCTAATTATAGCCTATTTATTACTACGTCCCATGAGCCTTTAAGTAGACGTCCGGGAGGGTCGGGTGATTTAATGCTTGGCTCTGGGGCTGGATTTCTCAAGATTCGGCCTCTATTAAATCAAATCACCGTGGGGGGGGGGGGGTCGAACGACATTAAGGACCTTTCGAATCAAAATGGTGGAATTCCGCAGAAAAATCACCGAACCTCTGCTTTAGGGCGATACCCTTCCCATGGTGATTGAGGCCCAAGGAGGGGGTGATGGGTTTAGGGTACTTATACTTAGTTGCTGAGTTCATAAGGCCCAAGAAGTCTATACTTTTAGTTTTATAGTGGGTAATATTATCCCCAAAAGTGTCAAGGGTATCCACTCAGCTACCACGAAGACGACGAAACGCGCGACGTGTGCCGAACTGCTTTGTTTGCTACTCGTCGCAGCTTCTCAGCTGATCTCGCACACCACTGCTGTCACCGCCAGCGTCAGCACGGCCCCAGGTCACGACGGAGCCATCCTCACGGATTGCAGCAAAGGCACACTGCGTCGCTTGAATCTGCTGTACATGTTGCAGCTGATCTCTTACGGCACTGCTGTCACCACCAGCGTCAGCATGGCCCCAGCACACGACGGAGCCATTCCTCAGAATCGCGGCGAAGGCATATGGAGTTGCTTGAATCTGCTGCACATTCTTCAGCTGATCTTGGACGCCACTGCTGTCCCCGCCGCAGCGGGCATTGCCCCAGGTCACGACCGAGCCATCCCCCAGAATCGCAGCAAAGGCAAATCTAGTTGCTTGAATCTGCTGTACATTATGCAGCTGATCTTTTACAGCACGGCTGTCACCACCGGACTCAGCGCTGCCCCAGGTCACCACAGAGCCGTCCCCAAGAATCGCAGCAAAGGCGCCGCTCCCAGTTGCTTGAATCTGCTGCAAACCCTTCTGATGTCGCACAGCACTGCTGTCGGCACAGTAGCCCCAGGACACAACTGAGCCATCCCCCAGGATCGCGGCAAAGACTTCTTCGCTTCCTTGAATCTGCTGCACATTCTGCAGCTGATCTCTTACAGCACTGCTGTCACCACCAGTGTCAGCATGGCCCCAGCACACGACGGAGCCATCCCCCAGAATCGCAGCAAAGGAACACTTAGTTGCTCGAATCTGCTGCACATTCTTCAGCTGATCTCGCACAGCACTGCTGTCACCACCGTCGCCAGCACAGCCCCAGGTCACGACGGAGCCATCGCTCAGAATCGCAGCAAAGGCAAACAGAGTTGCTTGAATCTGCTGCACATTCTTCAGCTGATCTTGCACCGCACTGCTGTCACCACCGGACCCAGCATCGCCCCAGGTCACAACGGATCCGTCCCCCAGAATCGCGGCAAAAGCTTCCCTGGTTGCTTGAATCTGCTGCACATTCTTCAGCTGATCTTGCACAGCACTGCTGTCACCACCTAAGTCAGGAACACCCCAGGACACGACGGAACCATCACCAAGGATCGCAGCAAACGCAAATTCAGCTGCTTGAATCTGTTGCACATTCTGCAGCTCACCACGCACAGCACTGCTGTCACCACCAGAGCCAGCATGGCCCCAGGTCACGACAGATCCATCCCCCAGGATTGCAGCAAACGCCCCGTATCTGCTACAGCATATACCGACTTGGCGAACTTGAAGCGTTAGTGGCTCCTCCTTAGTTGCTGAATTCATAAGCCCCAAAAAAACTACACTTTTAGTCTTATAGTGGGTAATCCTACTTTTAGTTTTATAGTGGGTAATCCTAAAAAGTGTAAAGTGTATCCACTCAGCTACTAGGCCTCATTTTGCAGCCTGGCCTTTTTGAGCGGCGCCCCTCCACCAAGAACTCTTCCATTGGAGTTGACGAATCGACCTCTCCGAACCCCCAGGGCTTCCTGCGCACGCACCCTCAGCGATTCGACGGATTCGTCGCCGTTCGTCTGCAGCGACACAGTCTTTCCACTTATGAGGCTTACCTCCACCATCAGTGACATGACGAATACTCCAGCTTCGGATCAATCCATGGCAAAAATGCGGCCGGAGCGGTTCAAGTCTCCTGATGCACAAGCACGACTGAAAACGACTTGAGCTCTGAATTGCAAGACTGTCAAGGGCTTTGCGGTTTTGCTCTGCCTGGGACTTGTGTTGGGAGTTCACCGTTTGCAGGCCTAGCGCTCCAGTGCAATTTTGGGTGCTAGGGCGCTTCAATTTTGGGTGCCGGGGCTGCTGGGGTGGGACACAAAGTCCTGGAAGCTGGAACGGGTTTAGGGTTTAAGGTTTAGGGTTTAGGGGTTTGGGGTTTAGGGTTCCACTCACTCTCTATCCTATTCATCTAAGCCTACAGCTCATCGTGGAAAAGCAAGCACTCAAGGCTCACGGGGCTTCGTAAGTACGGTTATTATAAGGAGGTCGTAATTAGGACAACCCCACTCAGGGGACTGAAACCCCAACTACAAACTACTTACCAAGTCCCATGATCCTTTAAGTAACCTACATAAACTCCCCCTCATAGAACCCTTATATAGATCCCTCAAAGGAACCCTAGTTACTACGTCCCCATGATCCTCCAAGCAACTATTCCTATGAGACCATTTTTTGCCGAACAAGGAAGACTGCAATGCTTTGGATTCCTCACATTCCCGGGCCTCTGCACCCTTCAACTATACCCCCCTTAGAACCATAATAAAACAAACATGTTAATATTCTCTTGGGTTTTATATGAACAAAAAGAAAAAGTGATTCCTCAGGAGACGATAGTCAAAAAAAACCCAACCTTTCAGCTTGAAAGCCCATGGCGAACCCCAGAACATAACCAGCGAGTCCCGCATAATTTCAGGTATCTTGCGTAGTTTAGCGGGCATCCCAGCCCTCCTCCTTAAACCTAACCCCAAAGCCCTCAATCCTCAACCCAAAACCCTAATATAGGGGCCTTAATAATTAGAATAGGGTTTGGGGGCCCATTATAGTATAATTATAGTAACGAACCCCGAAAATATTGTAGGTGATTATTTAGACCCCTATACTAAGCCCTGTAGATCCCTTAAAGGAACCAAAACTCTAAACCCTTAACCCTGGACCCCAAAATCCCCTAAACCCCAATATCCTACATCCAACCTGAAATTCGTTTCAGGGAGCGCCGTGCAATCTCGTACGTCGTGTACCGCTCCGCGACAGAGCGCCCACCCAGTTCCCAAACGAGACGCCGAAGCCTCGATCGAAAAGGTTTAGGGTTCAGGGTTCTGGGTTAGGTACGGCCCCCTTACAGTGAGAGTCAAAAATAGGGCTACAATAACGTCCTAATATATCGGTATTATGAATATTATTCAAATATTTTCCGTACCCAAGTTCTGGGTTTAGTTGCATTGTGCGCTTTTTTGGGAGTTTGGTTTAGTTGTTCGTTTCGTGTTGGGGTGTTTTGGCATGGCCTTAACGAGTTTGGAGCTTGAGGAATCTATATATGTAGTTCTAGAAAGCTGGAAGAGGGGCTTAGGGCCTAAGGTGTAGGGGAGCTCTGGAAAGCTGGAAGAGGGGATAAGGAGATTGGTGTTGGGATTCATTTGTTCTCCCTCTCACAGGGGCATGAGGACATTAATGCTTTGGCTTCTTGCATACATTACCCTCAACGGCCTTTTTTGGTGGTAATCCTCACGAAACGTTCTACAAGCCTAACACCAAACAAATGCCTCCGTGTAAATCTCTAAGTGCCCTATAACTGCCTGCAGGCCACTACTTAGAGGATCATGGGACTTAGTAAGTAGGTTATAAATTGGGGTTATAACCTACTTCTAACCTTACTTACTACGTCCCATGAACCTTTAAGTAAACACCCCACCAAGACCCGGTTCCCCCATCCTCTAGGAAATCTTCACATGAAAAACACAGGGAGCAGTTTAGGGGTTAGCTAGGGCTTGGTGGCTTGGGGCTGTAAGTAAGGGTTTCTGAGCTTAATGCTTTAAGGTGAAAGGGCCAGTTTGGCGCACACACAAACGCGCACACACGTACACCATTCCTTGATAGCCTATGATACAAACGCCAATCCAAACTCTCGCACAATAAATCCGAAAAGACCGCTCTGCAGTCCAAGTAAAGCCCTCATGACCTTAAACCCCGGCGCTCAACCAGCAAACCCTCCACACGTTTGCATGCTCCGGAGACTTAGGAAATAGACAATCACTAGAGTTGTAAGTACTTAGAAGATCATGGGACGTAGTAAGTAGCTTAGAATTGGGGTTATAGGTCCCCTAAGTGGGGTTGTCCTAAATATAACCTACTTATAACCTTACTTACTAAGTCCCATAAGCCTTTAAGTAAGTAGACCCTAAACCCCTAAACCGTTAAGCTGGACCCTACTAGAGAACCCTATAGTACCCTGACGAGGAACCGTAAACCTTACTAAGTCCCAAGAGCTTTTAAGTGCCTCCTGCCCTACATCACCAAGAGGCTCCTCATATGCTACCATTATGGAATTAGGCCCCGAAAGCTCGTCCTTAATATGGTTTTAGGGACCTAATTCCATCATGGTAGTCTAGAAACCCTAGACACTTATAGTAACCCTTAGAGTAACCCTCAGAGTAGCCCTCATAGAACCCTTGACGGAGCCTGTTGGGCTTCTTGAGCTTTTAAGTACCTCCTATGGTAGTATACATGGAGCCACAGGGGTCCCTTCAAGCTTTCTTTTAAGGGCTTTAGGGTTTAGGGTTGAGGGCTTAGGCTCCTTTAAGGGATCTGCAGGGTTTAGGGCCCAGGGTTAGGGGACTTTGGGGTCCAGGGTTTAGGGTTTAGAGTTTTGGTTCCTTTAAGGGATCTACAGGGTTTAGGATGTACGGGACTTTGGGGTCTAGGGTTTAAGGTTTTGGTTCCTTTCAGGGATCTACAGGGTTTAGGCTTTGCACCTCCTGAAGTTGAACCCCTGCATCAGCCGAAAACCTTAACCTCAATCCAGGATCCCAAGCAACCCGGGAATAAAACAAGGGCTCCCCTTTTGGTATTGGCATTCGGTTGAGGATTTAGGGTGCACTTTGTAAGGAACCTAAGACGAAATACACGGAAAAAGCGCCACTTGGAGACCCACTAATACAAGCCCTGCTAAACTGTAAACCCTAAACCTTAAGCCCTGGACCTTGTGAAAACAACGACGGGAGGACAAAAAAAAAGCTCAAACCCTCGACTCTGGACCATCGAGTCCCCTTAACCCCCAAGATAGTATAGGCCTTTTGGGACCTAGCAAGGTTTAGGGTTCCTTTTAAGGGCTCTATAGGGTTCTCTAATAGGGCCCAACTTAAGGGTTAAGGGGTTTAGGGTCTACTTAAAGGCTTATGGGACTTAGTCAGTAAGGTTATAAGTAGGCTATAATGAGGACAGCCCCACTCAGGGGACTTATTACCCCAGCTATAACCTACTTATTAAGTCCCATGATCTTCTAAGCAGCCTAAACTCGCCCGTATAGCGCCCTTATAGCCTTATAGATCCCTTGAACCCTTTAAAGGAACCTTAGGGTTTCTTAGCTCTAAGTATGTTGGCCCCTAGACCCTAAACCGTTTAAACCCTATAGATCCCTTAAAGGAACCCTTAAGGAAAACTGTAACCCAAACCCTAAACACGGCGACCCAAGCGGCTCCGACGGCTTGGCCAGCTGCCCGTGTTGGGCACCGGCTGCCGTGGAGATGCTTTCGTTCCTGGGCGGCTTAGGACAGGAGGGTTTAAGGGTTTAGGGCTTTAAGGGTTCCTTTAAGGGTTCCTTTGAGGGTTTGGAGGATTTAAGTAAGGGTTCAGCAGGGAGAAGGGTATAGGTTTTAGGGGTGGGGGTTAGGGTTCAGAAGGGTTTAGGGTTTTGGGGGGCTTAGGGCTTCAGACGGTTGAAGGGGCTTTGGGACGTTTAGCGCATCTCTCACGCGTTGTTGGGTTTTGGTGTACCTGGTCATCCCCAGACAACCAAAACTTCACGGCTGAAAGCCTGAACTCATAGAACCCCCCTTACGGACCAAATGTCCCTTAAAAGCAGGGGCCCTATACCCTGATACTATGAAGCCCTATATGGTGTATGAACCTTAAACCCTTTCAGGGCTGATTTCGTCTTTTGAAGGCCAAGACCCCCTATCCCCAAGCCCTCAACCTCCAAGCCCTGAACCCCTCGACAACCCCAAACCGTACTTTCACCTACCAAAACCTACTTTTTCTGTAGGTTCTTATTGTAAACCCGAATATGAGTGGTTGTCAAAATTAGGGTCCCTTTTTGGGTCCCTGGTATAATACGGCACCCAATATTTAGGGTTCCCAAAAAGGGGGCCATAATTTTGACAACCACCCATCTGAAATCTATGGGAGCATGGGTTCTGGTGGGTTAAGGTAAACCATAGCACAGGTTCATCAGGGTACCGCCGAGATCGTTGGCCCCGGCATGGAGCATGAGCTGCGCCATGCGGAAGCCCTCCTTGACCCAACTGACCTGACTTCTTGGGTTTTAGGGGTGAGGGTTAAGAACCTACCCTGAACCACCAAACCCTAAAGGCCCTAAACCTTTATTAGGGCTTTGGGTTTGGGATTTGCATTCAGTGTTTAGGACTTGGGTGCTTACACGCTTTAGGGTGGGGGGGTTCCGGTGTTTCGAGATTTAGGTTTAGGGTTCAGGGTGTAGGATTCAGGTTCAGCAGCTCGGGTTGAACAGTTTCTAGACGAGTACGCTATTTAGAACATGGTATAATATCCACCCAACCCAGAGAATCCCAAAACATTAGGAAATAAGAAGCTGCATCATTACCCTCAGCTTCGTTCAACATCCCAAAACCTAGGCCCTAAATCCTAAAGCCCAAACATTCGGCCCTGAACCCTACTTGAAGGCTCATGGGACTTAGTAAGTAAGGTTATAAGTAGGTTATAATTAGTATAACCCCACTTAGGGGACTTATAACCCTAGTTCTAACCTACTTACTAAGTCCCATGATCCTCTAAGTAGGATTGAGGGGTCCCATGACCCCATAAGTATCAGCGCCCGTGAACCTGCAGGTTTTCGATGCCCCCGGGCAGCGCAGGATTCAGCACCAGCCGGGCCACAGCATGCGCACGAAGCACCTTGTCACGGTGCCTAAAACCCCAAACCCTAAACCCTAAACCCCTAAACCGTGTCAGGGCTTTCTTACAGGTAATGTAGGGGCCATAAAACGTAAAAAAAGTTTTGCGTTCCTTTCTAGTCTTCTTATAATAGGGAACCCCCAAAAAATAATATTGGTAACTATTTAGGCTTCCATATTGCGGTTCACACATCGGCCATATGGTTGATTCCCCTTTTGGCCAGCATCTCACTGAATGACAGAGTATTGAATTGGTAATGTCCTTCAAGACACCACAACCCTGCGAACAACAATCCCAACACCTAAGAGCGAATTAAAACCGATGAACATCGTTGATGAAACCCTTCTAGGGCACTGTTTAGTAGGCCGCTACACCCTAGCACAGCCCGAACCCATTCCACCTCCGCTCCAGTTGGACCCGGCCGTACGCGCACGCCAGCTCGTGTCTCTTTCCACATGGGCGCCTCTCAGTATCGATTAGCAGAAACTACTAGGCTTCTAAAAGGTTCGCGGATTTACTAAGTAGGATAGAATTAGGGCTATAAATCCCCCTACGTGGGGTTATCCTAATTATAACATTACTTGGGAGTTACTTACTAAGTCCCTTGAGCCTTTACGTAGGGCTCCTAAAAGGGATCTACTTTTTGGATCCTCCCAGTGCTCTGTGCTCCGAGTAACAGCAGAAGCCCCAAACCCCACAGGATGATGGATGGGGTTCCCTTAAGGGTTCTTTTAAGGGATCTATAAATGGGGTTTCGGGTTTAGGGTATAGGGGTTTAGGGTTTAGGGTTTATGATAGAGAATTTCGGGTTTTGGGCTCAACAGAACCCATCAAGGGACAAACAAGGTTCACCCAACAGATACCATTAAAAACTCTGCAACCCTAAACCCTAAAATCTAACCCCTCAAAACCCTAATGAACCCTAAACCCCAAACCCCTAAACGCTCGACCCTAACCCCTAAACCATAATACTAAACCCTAAACCCTAAACCCCCAAACCCGAAACCCTATAGATCCCTCAAATGAACCCGAGGCCCCTATACATCCCTTAAAGGAGCCCTACGCCCCTAAGATCCCTTAAAGGAACCCGAAGCCCTTCCTTTGAAAACGGAAGACTTCGCCGCCTCCGAGGCCACGAAGCCCAGGGGCACGAACTCTGTGAAGCCCCGTTGGCCAGCCTCCTCGGGGCTGGACCCTGCTTAAGGAATTTAGGGGTTTAGCGTCTAAGTCTCCTTAAAGGGTTTGAGGGGGGTTTAGGGTTTAGGGCTCCTTAAGGGGCTTGGGGGTTTAGGGTTTAGGGCTCCTTAAGGGGTTTAGGGGTTTAGGGTTTAGGAATTTAGGTATAAGGGTTCAGGGATTTAGGGTTTAGGGCTTGGGGTCCAGGGTTAGGGGTCAGGGGTTTGGGGATTCAAGGTTAAGCAGGTCTAGGGTTCAGGGGTTTAGGGCTTATGGTGCTGAGGTTTGTTTCGATTTGCTTAAAGGTTTTGGGTGTTTTTCGAGGGAGGTAGGATGTTGCATTATCACGGTTGTTAAGGTCTTCAGGTCTATAAGTTCTGAGGGCTTATTGTACAGTTCAGGATTCTTAGTTGTTGAAGGGACGACGGTGTGGGGCTAGTCCTAGTGAATCATCTTCGTTTGTTTTTGCGGCCTCAGGGGTAGTTTTTGCTATTCAGTCTGTGTTGGAAGCCGGACGTAAGGGTAACCGAACGGTCCGACCTCGAAACCCGACACGCTCGAGCTTGTACATTTTCGGGTTTCGGATGCAAGCTGTCAAAGTTCACGAGCTTAGAATCGCAGCAACGCTGCAGCCCGCTGTGTAGGTCGCAAGCTTTTCCTGGGTCCCGTCCCCAACTCCGGTTAGGCCACAAAGTCAGGCATCTTAAACCCATTCATCCTTAGCATTGGAAGCGAGCACTGAACGTGGGTCACTTGAGGATAATGACCGAATATCCCTTCACCCAAGCCCCCAAACCCAAAACCCTCGAACCGTAAACCCCCAAGCCTCAAAACACCAAAACCCAGAACCCTCAACCCTTGGACCCTGAACCTCAAAACACTGACCCAAAACTAAACAACAGTTCGTACGATACCAAAGATGAAAGCTGATAGCAATGATTATATAGAGGAAGAGTAACCAAAAAACAATAACAGTATCACTAACAACAATATCAGTAGCAACAAATAGAAACCAACAAGAAGTAGTCGTACGTACTGTTCGGCTTAGAAGAAGAACGAACGAACAGTGCCTGTGCCCACGCGCTAGAGGCCTAAAGCCCAATGCATAACCCTTACATAGGACCCATAAAGAAGCCCTAAACCCCAACAGCAAAATGCGCCTGGGTTCACTTCTGCAGTATTACGTGTAGCAATACGAATACTTGCAGTAACAAAAGAAGCAGATCATGATGACAGGCCCTAAACCGGAAACTGCAAACCCTAAACCTCGCTGGCCCAAAACCCAATAAAATGAAAGTTGAAACTTTCAGAATCGACTACCTTATAAGAGCCCCAAAAGCTGGAAACTTGAGTTTACAGCCTGTTGGAAACCCTGAACCCTAAACCCGACTTAAAGGCTCATGGGACTTAGTAAGTAAGGTTATAAGTAGGTTATAATTAGGATAACCCGACTTAGGGGACTTGTAACCCCAGTTATAACCTACTTACTAAGTCCCATGATCCTCTAAGTAACCAGAGTAAAAGCTCCTGCGCCCGCTTCTGGAGACTTCGAAGCAGCACCAAATGGCTTGCCAAATGCTTTGGCGACTCGCAGAAACCAAACATCCTGGGAGGGTTGGGGTTAAGGGTTTAGGGTTTAGGGTAGGGGACAGGCTTGGGGTTTTGGGTCCTTCAAAGTGTACCATGTTAGGATTCCATCCTTTAACGGCCCCTTCAAGGGTTCCCACCAGGGCTCTATAGGATCAGCGTTTATGGTCTGGGGCTTAGGGTCCGTATGTGTGCTTTGTTTTAAAGGTATAGGGTCTCGGGTTTGGGCGTATTCTTAGATTGTTAAAGCTAGAAAGTCTAGAGTTTCGGGTCTGGGCTCCATTTGTTTGGGGTTTAGGGCCTAGGGTTTAGGGTTTAGGGTTTAGGGTTTAGGGTTTAGGGTTTAGGGGTATAGGGCCTAGGGTTTAGGGTTGGGGTCCCCTCTTTTTTGAAACCTTGTCCAACTGCGGAATCTGCTGCCACAAGTCCTTTATGAGGATGCGTCAATGTTGGGGCCCAGTCATTTCGGTATGACCCTGGGAACCTGAAGCATCCAACCCCACCCCAGTAGAGTACACGAGTCTAGGGTCCAAGGTTTAGGATTTAGGCTGTTCGCTGTTTTGCTGTCCTTTTTGTATTTGTTGGTGTCTCTTGTATGGCGTCTAGGCCTTGTGATTCTTATGCGCTTTTTCATATATATATATATATATATATATATAACTGTATATACACAGAATACAAGGTTTAGACTGTTGTGCAGGGGTCGCGATATTCTTGCTAAGGCCTTAATTTAAGATCCAAGTGTAGATAAGCCTAGACGAGGTTCTCGTAAGGCGCTGTTGCAAAACATTTAAGAACGCCAGAAGACTTCGGGTTCTACTAATTTTAGGGGTTTAGGGTTTAGGGTTTAGGGTTTAGGGTTTAGGGTTTAGGGTTTAGGGTTTAGGGGGCAAAGTTTGAGGGTTGCGGGGTGCCCCTCAACCCCGCAACTCTCGTGCCCATACTCTCTGCCCAAAAGTTGAGAGAGAAGATGCTTAAGGACACTCGAAACTGCCGAGAATCATGGTGGCCGTGGTGGGCAGGCCCAACCGGTGCGCCGTGGAGATCACCTTGTCCGATTTCAATGGAGGTTAGGTGCATGTAAGATGCCTTCAAAGAGGATGTAAAGGGGCAGCAAGCTTCTAAGAGCATTTTAAGACGCCCAAATTACTATAGGGGCCTAAAAAAATATTAGAATAGGATTTGGGGGTATCTTTTATCATAGTTATAATAAGGAACCCCCAAAATAGTATAGGTATTTGTTTAGACCCCTGTAGTATCAGTCTGGGCACCTGCACCCACTGCGCCACCGACAGGCGCCCTTTGGCCACCTGACACGGGTTTAGTTCGGGATTGCAGGATGGTGGGACTTAGTAGGGGATCCTTTAGGGTTTAGGGATCTATAAGGGTTCTATAAGGGGGAGTTTAGGGTACTTAAAGGCTGATGGGACTTAGTAAGTAGGCTACAATTGGGGATATAGTCCCCTGAGTAGGGTTATCCTAATTATAACTTAGAGCCTGCAAGTAGATCTTGGACCCTGAACCTAGCAATGGTTAGGCGAGACGGAACGTGCTCGCTGAATGCAGGCGGTGCAGTTGGGTTCAGGGTTTAGGGTTTAGGGTTTATGGAACTTGTGAGACAGGGCCGTGCCTGTGGCAGGCGTTGCCTTGTGAAGGCGATGACTTCCTGAAGGACCAAATGACCCTTAAAAGTAGGGGCCCAATACCCATATACTATGAATCCCTATATGGTATATGAACCTTAAACCCTTTTAGGGTACATTTCGTCCTTGAGGTTGGTGGCATCGGTCGAACAGGCGACATCGGCACTGGCTTTGACGGCATTCCCGGTTTTTTGGGAAATCGCATCCAGCTCGGTTCGCAGGCAGTCGCCGGGTTCTCCGCATGTCTCTGCTCCTGCTCGCAAAACATCAAGAGCCGGTCCAAGTTCTCGAGCCTAAACCCTAAACCCTAAACCTTGTGCCGGACCCTCAGGCTGGACTTCCTGGTTGCGTTGCATGGTCACTGGTTGCCACAAGAAAACAAGAGACCTGACCTCTTCCGTGCAAAGGCTTTCTGGTGCTGTTTAAGGTTGTCTACATGGGGACCTAAAGCGTTAGCTATGGGGGCCTCCATGATTGGAATAAGGTTCCTTTAGCTTAAGGCTCCATGCGGGTTCTATGGTCGGGGCATATTGTAGCCTAGTCATATTGGGGCTATAAGGGGATTTTACTATTGATAAGTCAAGTCCCTATTGTAAGCCCCGACCCTGCATCTATGTTGGAATGTTCGTAGTAGCCCCTCAAGTTCGTGCGAAGTATGCACTCGCCAATTTTCACTTCTTCATGAAGCTATCTACATATAGTCATAGGGACCCTTAGGGGGGTAGGAGACTATACTTCCTTAAGTAGACCTTATTAAGTCCGTATTACTGGAAACAAGGCTCCCTACCCCCCCCCCCCCCCCCCCCCCACAACCCTAAGGGTCCCTATGAGAAACTAGAACCTCTTCCCCGAAGCCCTACTCTAATCATCAAGGCCACTGCCATGAAACCCTACAAAACCCGATAAACCCCTTATTGAATCCGGGGTTTAAGGGTTTAGGGTTTACGGCCTATAAACCTTTCGCAGCTCTACTGCACCTGATGGCGCAGGTCGTCGTCCAAGATCTCGGCACTGGTTCCCGGCAGACTGCCCACGCCGGCTTCCTTCAGCTGCAGCAAGTACTCCTCCGCTTTAGAATTGGACTACCTGGACCCTAAGGAAGCTACCTCTTTAGGGTTCCCTAATTTGATTTTTTTTGTATAAGTCCGTAAAAAGGTAGGTTACTTGGGGTTAAGGTAGGCATAGGGCATGTTGTTTAGGGTTTAGAGTTCAGGGCATTAGAATAGGAAGAGGGATTCTTGCAAGATTTCTCTCAACGGGGTCTAGAAGGAAGACTAACTACAAGGGCCACTGAGGACTACTACTTATAAAGGTTACTATAAGGGTTTATAGAAGTTACTATAAGCGTTTAAGTCAGGCTCGATACCTACCACGGTTCACCTGCGATGACGCTTGCGTTTTGGGGCTTAGAGGTTCAGGCAGTTGAGGCGTGGGTGTTTGGAGGAGCTTTCAGGGCTTATTGCGTTGCAGGATTTTGGGCTCAGGGGTTTGAGTTTTAGGGCTTCGGGGTTTGTGTTTCAGGGTGTGGGAGGGCTTGGGGGCTCGGGAACGACCACAGTTTAGGGTTTAGGCTTTAGGGTTTAGGCTTTAGGGTTGCACATTGACCAAAAACAGGCACAAGCGTAGCTTGCTTTGGGCAGCATTGCATCACAAATGACAGTCGAAGAATCACAGTTTGCCCCATGTTAGGGAATCCTCAACAAGGTAGGTTCCTTAGGGTCCAGGTACTACCAAAAGGATGACGAGTGCTGTGCTAAGACCAAAAACCCTAAACCCTAAACCCCTAAACCCTAAACCCCTAAACATTAAACCCTTAACCCCTAAACCCTACACCCCTAAACCCTAAGCCCTGCAGCTCCTCGACAGAGCAATGGGATCGCCGAGCGCCCCAGAGGACCTCCTCCGGGGAGAAGGCCTGGGCCCAGAGCACTGTTGCTTAGGGTTGGGCGGGGCGTCCTTTAAGGGTGCTATTAGGGTTCTATAAGGGTTCATTTATAAGGGTTTAGGGTTTAGGGATTTAGGGCTTGGGGTTTAGGGTTTAGGGCTTTGGGCTTAGGGTTTAGGGTGTAGGGTTTAGGGTTTGGGGTTTAGGATGCAGGGGACTCAGTAAGTAGGTTATAAATAGGTAGACTCATAAGTACCCTAAATGGAGTTACCCCAACTATAACCCTACTTATAAACGACTTACTAAGTCCCCTGCCCCTCCAAGTAGGGTTGAGTGTTTAAGGCTCAGGGTTTAGCCCTCGAACCAGACGTTACGCCGCACTCCGACCCCATACGGGTGCCGAGCATCCCATGATAACGTCCAGATCCGACCATATCCATTGCCAACCATGATAACGTCCAGATCAGACCATATCCATTGCCGCAGAGCATCCATGTGCCAACCATGATAACGTCCAGATCAGACCATATCCATTGCCGCAGAGCATCCATGTGCCAACCATGATAACGTCCAGATCAGACCATATCCATTGCCGCACAGCACAACCATGTGCCAACCATGATAACGTCCAGATCAGACCATATCCATTGCCGCAGAGCATCCATGTGCCAACCATGATAACGTCCAGATCAGACCATATCCATTGCCGCAGAGCATCCATGGGCCAACCATGATAACGTCCAGATCAGACCATGTCCATTGCCACAGAGCATCCATGGGCCAACCATGACCACGTCCAGATCAGACCATATCCATTGCCGCAGAGCATCCATGGGCCAACCATGATAAGTCCAGTTCAGACCCCATCCGTTTACGCGGAGCATCCATGGGCCAACCATGATCACGTCCAGATCAGACCCCATCCGTTCACGCAGAGCATCCATGGGCCAACCATGATCACGTCCAGATCAGACCATATCCATTGCCGCAGAGCATCCATGGGCCAACCATGATCACGTCCAGATCAGACCATATCCATTGCCGCAGGGCATCCATGGGCCAACCATGACGTCCAGAGACCATATCCATTGCCGCAGAGCATCCATGGGCCAACCATGATAACGTCCAGATCAGACCATATCCATTGCCGCAGAGCATCCATGTGCCAACCATGACAACGTCCAGATCAGACCATATCCATTGCCGCACAGCACCCATGTGCCAAACATGATAACGTCCAGATCAGACCATATCCATTGCCGCAGAGCATCCATGTGTCAATCATGACAACGTCCAGGTCAGACCATATCCATTGCTGCAGAGCATCCATGTGCCAAACATGATAACGTCCAGATCAGACCATATCCATGCCCAGAGCATCCATGCCAACCATGAAGATCCATATCCATTGCCGCAGAGCATCCATGTGCCAACCATGATAAATCGATATCCATTGCCCAGAGGTCCAGACCATAATCCAGAGACCATATCCATTGCCGCAGAGCATCCATGTGCCAACCATGATAACGTCCAGATCAGACAGGTCCATTGCCGCAGAGCATCCATGTGCCAACCATGATAACGTCCAGATCAGACATATCCATTGCCGCAGAGCATCCATGTGCAACCATGATAACGTCCAGATCAGACCATATCCATTGCCGCAGAGCATCCATGTGCCAACCATGATAACGTCCAGATCAGACCATATCCATTGCCGCAGAGCATCCATGTGCCCTCCACCCGTTCCCGCAGAGCACCCATGCCGGCAACGATGTCTGCACGGGGGTCCGTTCTTTTATCGGTAGATAGGAGCGGAACTACAGAATGTCAGGGATTGGTTTCACCTTTGGATAGCTTGGATTGTGATTTTGTCCAACTGGGCTGCAGTCACGATACAAATGATTTTTGAAGCTAGGGTCCAAGATGGTCCAAGCATAAGCACATCTAAAACTCCACCCCGACCTCTTCTTGAAGCCTCCCTCTTGTCCTAAACCCAGAAGCCCCAAGCCGTTAGGTCTTGCGAACCCCGTCCACTCCTTTCGGCAATCTTTTTGGCTCCCCCTAGTTCTGGGGTCATCGCAGGTGCAGGCATGGCTCGACCTCGGCTTGCCTCAGAGTCCGGAAGAGCCCAGTGACTCGCCGCAGGCTGCAAGGTGCAAACGCTGGTGGGCTCGACAACTGCAGAGTTTCAACGCGTGGCAGCAGTCGACAGACGTGGATGCGACGACACTCATCCACATCAGCGACGACGAGACGGAGCCTGCCTCTTCGCCTCCACCTACGGCAACCTCTGCAGCTTCAGGTTCAGCTTCAGCGCACTCGCCTTTGCCTTCCAGCAGTCCGACTCCGTCTGGTGCGTCCTGGTCTCCACACTGTCTTCGCACTGCGGCTGAGCGGTGTGCTGCGGCTGAGGCCGTGTCCGTGGAGGAGCCCATAGAGGATGTCCTCCCTGCCGACCCAGTCCGTGAGCGGACTCCACCTCCACCTCGCCGGTTCAAGTGGGGGAGCTGCCCGAAGTGCGGTTCTGCCACTTCTCCCTACATTTTCCAGTCGGGAAAGAGACTCTGCTGCACGGTTGTCCCTGTTCGCCTAAACCCTAAGCCCTAAACCCCGGCTAAACCCTAAACCCTGCAAGCCCTCCACTTGTCAAGCTCGAAGCCCCTGCTGTTCTTGCTCTCAGGCGTGCTGGGAGGGCAGTTCTGCAGTGCAACGCTTGGTGGCGCTACGACGAGGCTGGACGGAGACGTTGCTGGGGGTCGCTTGAGTTCCCGTGGCAGCGTTACGGTGAAGCACCGGACTGGTTTAAGACTGTGTACTCTGACGTACGCACGGGCCTGCAGAGGAATAGTCTCTAGGTTTGGTCCCCTTCTAGTTTCACTTGGGGTACTCTTGGCCTAGGCTTTCGGTTTAAGGGCTTCTACTTCAGATGCCGGCAGAGTCACGTCACACGTCTCTGCTTGCCTTGCTGAAGACAGTTTCTCTTGGATGTCGGGGTGCAAGGACAGCCCAGCATCCACGTGTCAACACAGGATGCTCTAGACGCATGCTTGTGCTTTCCTGGAAGTTTGCTTCCTTTCGTGCAGAAAGCTCCGAGCTCGAACCCAGACTTGTCTTTGGCAAATTCGGCTGTCCTTGAGGAGCGTTCGGTCCTGAAGCCTTGCAGTTTGAACAGCTTCTTGTCAACCGTTGTTTGGCTCCACCATGCGCAGTTTTTCCCCAGTTTCAGACCCTAAGAAAGACCACAGACCCCTCAAGTCCCGCCAGTCCCGCAGAACGCACTCCCTGAACACCTGAACACTGTAGCAGTTTCGTGGCTGTGAAGATATGGCCCGCCTTCGTTCCTCGCACTTTCAGAGACCTCGTACTTTCAAGACGCAGAAGAAGCCGGCTGCACGGAAGCGGCCTGCGGCTGCTCAACACTCAAGGGAGCATGCCAGAGAAGTCAATCGCACGCATATCCGGCGGGGCGTGAAGATACGGCAGCAGCCCGTGGGGAAAGCTCTGGAAGCTCCTCGCATGGAGCGTCTGCGTGATGGCAACTTGAGCTTTGCTGAAATCAGTCGCTTTTCAGAAACCAAAGCTCTCAGGTACCTCAAGGATGCCGACTTCTTTCCGGCATTGACTGGTCGCTGCTGCTGGTCCTGCGGCTCTCCCTACAAGAACCCGCGCAAAACCGTGAAGTTCGCTTGGGATGGGACGCTGCGCTGCTCGAAAAGGTCTTGCGACCGGCGACTGGCTAATGCTCGCTACACGTTGACGCCTTTCTTGAAGAAGTTGCGGCGCAACAGCGAGCGCTTGCCTGCTCGGCTTCTGCTCCAGTTGTTCACGCTGTACTCCACGAAGACACCTTTGGACACGGCCAGCAATTTGGCGGACTGCTCTGGCGCCAACCGCCGCAATGTCTACGAACAGGCTCTGCAACAAGTCAAAACATAGGGGCTTAGCTGTTTTGCCTTCCTGGACCCCAAAATTATGTAGAATAATAGCCTTATATAGGTGTTGGGCCATTCTTTTTACGTACTTTTGGGAGTCTAGGTTAAGCCGATTTAAGATTTAGGGCAGTCTGGATCTGTTGCCAGGCACGCCATGTCTACGACTGCTGCGACACAGTGGCCAGTTTCTCTGTCATGGAGTCACAGATCCTGCAGCCGAAGTTTGAGCATGACCTTGTGGATGTAGACGGTCTTGGCTTGGCGACATACAAGGGAGGACGTACGAGAGGCCCGAAGCGGAAGGCCGCCTTTGCAACTCTCTGCAAACCTTTGAAAGTTAAACCCTTCACAACCCTAAGCCTCGCAAGCTCTACTGTAGTAGCACTGAAACCATTCCCTCTAGGTGCCAGAGCCAAGCTCCGGGTCGAAAGACCCTCCTGTTGCCAAGCCCGCCCGACGTGTGAAGAAGAAAGGCAAGGCCTTCCGAGAGCATGCTGGACGATTCTTTCTCATGCGTTCCAGGAGAAGCTCTGCAGTTCAAACTACTGTACTTATACTCCGAGCCCAAATCTCGCTAAGGCGTAGACCAGCTTTAACCTTGACCCTTAAGACACCCCCCTAAGCCCCTGAAACCTGCGCTCCCTGTTCAGCCTCCCGAGGAGCACAGGCCGCTGCGTCTGGAGTCCTTTGAAGAATCGGAAAGCCGCCAAGGGCTCCGCTTGTGCTCCCGAACAAAGTGCAGAAGTTGTGCCCCAGATGCTGGCGCACGTGGACACTAGCTGCTTCGTCGGTGCTGACTCTGGTCCGGCTCTGCAGGCAGGGGCCAAAGCTGCTGGTGCTGTGGCCAGTGCTGCGAAGCATGGGCAGGAGATTTTTACCCCTCTCATGTCCTTGCGGAAGACAAACCTGACCAAGGAGCAGATCAAGACCATGAGAAAGTTTGCTGGCAAGACTTGGAAGCATTCTGTTGTCAAAGACAACAAGAAGACATTCCAGATCTTGGGTGGCGATAATGCGGCAGAGGGGGTTTTTAGCCAGGGCAAAGCCCAGCTCAGGAGAACAAACCGGCTCGGAAGAACTTCCGCTGCCTCAGCCTCGAGAGCTTTTTTGGCAGCTCAGTTTGTGCTCCACAAGCCCGGACTCAATAGTCTTTTGCAAGCTTTTCGCACCTTTAAAGCTTATCATTTGGATAGGCTTGGTGCTGATCCTTATGAGCAGCTGCACGACAAGGAGCCTTGGTCGATTCTCTGAACTTGACAAAAACGTAGACCAATTTATAGAGCCGAAATTTGGCCAAAATCACCCTACGAAGAACACATCAGAGAAATGCTCCGACATGCACGACGTCCCACGCCTGCCAGGCAAATCGACTTCAAGGCTGTGCAGGGCTCTAAGAAGGGCTTAAACCCGAGGTGGCTCTTTTTGAAAAAGTAGCCACCTCGACTTTAGGACGTTTCTGCTCCTGGGAAGCTCGGAAAGTGCTGCGCCTGCCAGTAAAAATGAGCTTCTGCCGAAGCACTTCGAACACTGGGCGCGGCACAACGCGCGGTTCGAACGTTTAGGGTGTAGGGCTTAGGGCTTTTTTGCTTAGGGCTTACGGCTTAGAGTTTAGGGCTTCGGGTTTCGGGTGCAGGGTTTCAGGCTTAGGGTTGAGGCGTTTAAGCTTAGGGCTTAGGGTGTTGAGACTTGCAATTTAGGGCGCTTTGTTTTTTCACCTTTTTGCGGCTGCTGGAGTCTGCGAGCAACGACTCAGAAGTTAAAGTTTAGAGATTGGGGCTTGCAGAACTGACTGTGATGTTTTACAAGGGATTCTGCTGGCTTTGTTCAAGGCTTTACACGGGTCTTGTAGCTTGTGTGTATAGAGTTAGGGCTTAAAACAGGGCCCTTACATGAGATCAAGGTTTTGTCAGCGTTGTTTTGTATTAAAACCTCCAAGTATAAGTACCATAAGGTCATACTGTTACTACAATGTAGCACTTTTCAGATTGACCAAAGCTACACCCTAACCCCTACTGTAAACCCTAAACCGATACCGATCTGACGAAGACCTGTTTTGGAGGACCCAAGCACAAAGCCCAACCGCACATGGGGAGTTCTTTCATTTAGTTTAGCGTTTCGAGGATAGGGTTTCGAGCACGTCGCACCTAGATGAAATCGGCATCAAAGGGCCGGCCTTTTACGATCGAGCAGTACTGGCATGGCTTCTAAAGCAACGGCCATGCGAAAAAGATGAACCCTACTTGCATGCTCATCGGGCTTAGTGAGAATAGTTCACGGCTAAGCACAGATTAGAATCAGAGGTTTGGTTCGATTCCTGGTTGCTTTCAGAGTCCAGGATGCAATTTTGTTGTTTAGGATTTAGAGTTTGTAGCTTTTAGTCGTGGTTGGCTTTTGGTTTAGGATTTAGGGTTTTGGGGTTAAGGATCTCCCCAAACCTTAACCCACACTGCGGAGGACTAAGCCTCAACTGACCCCAGAGCTTAGGATCAATAGACATAAACCCTAATCAACCCTCAACCCTACTTAAAGAGATCATGAGACTTAGTAAGTAGATTGTACTTGGGGTGTTAAGTCCCCTACAAGTGGGGTCCTCTTAGTTATAACCTACGTATGACCTTACTAAGTCCCACGAGCCTTTAAGTAGAGCCGAAACCCTAAACCCTTAAAAGGAGCCCTATTATAGAACCCTATAGTACCCTTAGAAGGCACTCCTAAACCTTACTTACTAAGTCCCTTTAAAGTCATCTCAAAGCCCGTCAACATGAACCCTCATCCCCCCACCCTGAAGCCTAAACCCTATCCCTAAACCCTAAACCCTACACCCTAAACCCTAAACCCTAAACCCCTAACCCTAAACCCCAAAACCCTGAAGCCTAAACCCCTACACCCTAAACCCTACACCCTAAACCCTAAACCCTAAAACCCCTAAACCTAAACCCCCAAAACCCTGAAGCCTAAACCCCTACACCCTAAACCCTACACCCTAAACCCTAAAACCCCTAAACCTAAACCCCCAAAACCCTAAACCCTGAAGCCTAAACCCTCATCCGCATGCCCTTAGCGCCAAACTGTTCCAACCTCTGATCCCTAGCTTAGGGTTTCAGGCTTAGGGCCTAAACCTAAAGAGCCCTTTACCCCCGAATTAAGGAATATACCGTAAATTATAGTAAGATCCCTAATATGATTTAAGGAATCTTCCTCAGTTAAGGGGTATTGGGCTCTCTGGGGACAGAATCCCCAAAGCCTGAACCCTCACCGAGAGGCATGGATGTGCAGAGAAGGGTACTCCGACTTCAAGGCCCGCGCAATGGTCGGGTACAGAGACCTTGGGCGTGGTGTAGGGGCACAAAAGACTAAAGATCACCGTCTCGATTTTGATCCAAGCATACTCAACAACTCGAAAGAGGTCTCGGAAGTTGTCAGAATAGAAACAAGGATTACAAATGGCTTTTCTTAGTCAAAAGGGTGAAAAGGAGGGACCCTCAATGGGGACCCCTACCCCTACCCTATAATGGGCTATATAATGGGTATATAATAGCTATATTAAGGGTATATACCTAGGCGTCCTTATTATCTGCACGGTCTGCACATCTGCATTTTGGGATGTATTCAGCATGTCCCTGGTCCATATGCTGCAAGGGAAGCATTCTGCCTGGCTCTGTAACATCCAAGTCTGGATGATGCTGTCTACAACAGCGCATGGCTGTCCAAACACCTCCCAGTCTGTGAGCAAATTTCTCTTTCTGGCTTCAAGCCAGGGTTGCCACAGTCGTTTCGTTGGATCCTCAGTTCGTTCAGGGTTTAGGGATAAGGTGTGGGTTCTGAGGAGGGGTTACGGCTTTAAGGTGTGATGCAGGCATGAAGCGGTGTGTCGACTGGAAAAGGGCTTTTTGCAAGGGATGCCAGCTGGAAGTCCTGAATGCTTGATCTTCGTGGTCCTGATCCGGGTTTCCACGTCGCGGCAGGTTGCCCATGACGGAAGGGCAGGCCCGAACATGCTTTTAGCCAGCACTAAGCCACGCAAACAGGCCTGATGTCCTGACCCTAAGGTTTAGCGAGCCTGGCCTGTGCAGATGTGCAAATAAGCCCTGGCAAAATACTGCTCGTCCTTCAGCCATCTGCCATTGTCGTCAATGTTGTTCAGGCAGACGACAGTGTGCGGCTGTTTTCACCACTAGAGCAGTCCCTCCTTTTACCCTTGGACTTAATATAGATGAGTAAAACACTTCGTATCCGGACCCTAATACTTGGATCTCCACTATCATCCGTATACAAGGGTCTACCAATCAGGGGTCTACGTTGCTGGCCATTCGGCAACCCTTAACCCCATGAATGAACCCGAGTAGTAAGCCTTGGGGGTTCTAGAAGGGTTGTCGGTACTGCTCTCTTCGGATTCAGCGGCGCTAAACATTAAACCCTACTTAAAGGCTCCTGGGACTTAGTAAGTGAGGTTATTAGTAGGTTATAATTAGGATAACCCCAGTCACTTAGGGGACTTATAACCCCAGTTATAACCTACTTACTAAGTCCCATGATCCTCTAAGTAAAACTTAAACCTTAACTCCTTAATCCCTGAACCCTAGGCTCCTAAACCTAAAGCCTAAAGCCTAGGCCCCTAACTCCCGAGTCCTAAACCCCGAAGCCCTTCTCCTGAAGAATAATAAAAGGTTTAGGGTTTAGGATTTGAGGGTTTCGAGTTTAGGGGTTTAGGCTTGGGGTTTACGGTTTTAAGGTATAACGACAGAAGAATCACACCTGCCACCTTCACGAAAGCACCCTCCGGGTTCTGCTGGGGGCCTAACCTGAACCGAAAACCCTAAACCCTACCTGGACCCCAAGGAACCGACCTTTTTGGATTTGTTTATATGAGTCCCCCAAACGGTAGGTTATTTGGGGTTAAGGTACAACCCTAAAACCCTGAACTCTACACCCTAAACCCCTACATCCTAAAACCCCAAATCCCTAAAGCCCCAACACGCCAAACCCTAAACCCTGATGTAGGGCCTAATAGTGGACCGAGATTTTGGGCTCCTTCATAGTATAGCTATAACAAGGAACCTTTGGAATAATGTTGGCATATATTTAGGGTTCTATAATCCTACACCTGAAGCCCCAAAACACTAAAACCCTAAAGCCCCTAAAGCCCTAAACGCTAAAACCTAAACCCTAATGCAGCAACCTGATTAAGAAACCCTGGCCTTATAACACCAAAACAGTAGGATTCACATAAGGAACCCTAATACAGGCCGAAGGTTTCTTAATCAGGTTCCTACATTACTTACAGGTCCCCTGAACCCTAAACCCCTAAACCCTAAACCTAAACCCCTAAACTCCTAAACCCTAAAAACCCTAAACCTAAATAGCTCCAGCGGCCCATCCATGTCAGGCGGCAGGCCAGCCTGGCTCAGGAATTCGAGACTTTGACCCAAAAGCCCAAGATGGGATTAGGGTTCCTTTAAAGGGTTACTACAGGGTACTATAAGGCTTCCTTTAAGGGGCTCTATAAGGGTTCAGAGTTTCCGAAAATTGGGGCGGGGATGCCTTATTTTGGGGCCCCTAGAAGAAGGATCCTACCATCTAGGGACTATCGGGTACCATATTGGGTTCCCTATTTTCGGAGACTCCCATATCCTTTAGGGGGTTCCCTCGACGGGTTCCCTTAACGGGATTTATTCGGGTATCCTAATTATAACCTACTTATAACCTTACTCACTAAGTCCCATGAGCCTTCAAGTAGCTCAATAAGGTCAAACTTTACGGTTCTGGTAGGATTATATAAACCCAAGAGGTTAAAGGTTACCTACTCAGCTACCAAGACCCCGTTAAACCCCTTAACGCCCTCATGTATGGGCCTTTATAATTAGAATAGGGTTTTGGGTCCCATTCCACTATGGTCATAAACAGGAACCCCCTATAGCAAACCCTAAACCGTACTGCGGCTTTTAACGGAGAGCCTTACGACCCCCGCACCTCCAACACATAAGCCCAAAAACAACACCCCTAAATTCTTAAGCCGACAGAGGTTTGGAATTAGGGCCCTATCTAGACAAAAAACGCATTCAGTTTTGTGCCGCTTATTGTAAGCCCCAAAGTTTTCAGTTCGCGAACGTGCATACTAAGTTTTCGAAATGATGTCCATGATACCCTGAACCATACATGCGATGTGGCGAGACCTCAGGGCATCTGTCAAAGCCTTGCTTGGAGGGTCGGGGGGCCCAGCAAGTAATTAGGTAGTAAGTAGAGTTATAAGTACCCAAAAAAAGACTTTAACTGGAGGATCCCTATTAACTACTTACCCAAGTCCCATACCCCCACTTTATAGAAGCCTTGTAGATCCATCTAAGGAGCTCTTTAAGGAACTCTACTTACCTAGTCCCCCGACGGGGACCCTTAGGGGGGTAGGGAGGGGACTCTACTTTCGTCCTTCTTATGGGCATAAAAGCCCCCTAACCCAAACCCTAAACCCTGACTCCAAGTAGTCTCCCAAAGGCGCTTCCGCAAGCCCTGGACCGTCCAAAACCCCCAAAGTCCTGGATACCTTAGAAGGGGCCCCCACCCTGTAATAGTGGTATAATAGGAAAATATTAGGGCTCTTTAAAAATCTTTATAGTCACTATTACAGGGTGGGGGCCCATACCCTTCCTTACTTGGAGGGTCACTATAGGGGTTCCTTTAAGGGTGCTTTGGGTTCTGTAGTAGGGCTCCCTTGAAGAGATACTACGGTTCTCGAAAATAGGGTTCCCTTTAAGGGTTTAGGGTTTAGGCTTTAGGGTTTAGCAGAGTCCCGGGAGGATCCAAAAAGTAGAATCCCTGAATGGGGATTCTTATATAAAGTAACCTTAGTAGTATAGGGCCCCATATTAGGGGATCTACTTTCCAGATCCTCTCGGGGGGCTGGGTATTTGGAGGGTCGGGGAACTTAGCAAGTCGATCATAAGTAGACTTCTAAGTACCCTAGAAGGGATCCTAATTTAGGGTCATGATACTTATAAGTCTATGTAATATCTACTTACTAAGTCCTGACCCTCCAAGTAACCCCAAATAACCTACCGTTTTAAGGACTAGTCTAAGAAAGCTACCATAAGGAACCCTAAAAAGGTAGGTTTCTTAACATCCAGGTTGACCTTAAATCATGACATTCATATAGGTGCCTTGTAATGACTAGAATCAGGCTTCGCCTAGTTACGCAGGGACGATCATGAAATACGAGAAAACGATTACACACTACTCGTAGCTATTCCCTAAACCCTAAACTCTAAACCCTAAGTTACTCAGATCCCTTTCTGAGATTGCGCGAACTGAGGCCGGCACTTGAATGCAGACTTCCGTCGCTCCCAACGCCTGCGCCTCCCCTGCAGTCGAAAGAGCAATATGGGGTGGTACGGGATCCTTTAAGGGATCCTTTAAGGGCGCTTTAAGCGGATCCTGCAATACTCTAGATGCTAGGGTCTAAAGATTAGGGTTTAGGCTTCGAGGTCCGAGGTATCAAGGGGTTGAGGGTTTAGGGTTTGGGTTTTAGGATATCCAGGGTCGTTGAGGGTTCTGGGTTAAGGGTGTAGGCTCCGGATTGATCCGAGCAAAACCTTTCCTATACTGGACTTGGAACCCTGGCAAAAATCATAATTTTAGCTGTTTCTTTCCTTAACCCTTTGCGCCGAACCAGAACCACAGGGTTTAGATCAACAAGGCTTATATGAAAGGAACCCAAAATCTTATTTTTGTATGTGGTTGGCTTTATTTGTGTTTAAAAGTGTTTTCTTGCATTTAAAAGTGGTGTTTTGTATTTAAAAGTTTTTTAAATATGTTTTTTGTGTTTTACAGTTGTTAAATTTTTTTAATTTTATTTTTGGTGTAAAAAAATACATGTTTGTGAATTATGAGTTTTTGTTTCTGATTGAGTCAAATGGCTTCCTGTTGTTCTACCTGGTTTCCTGCAGCTGTACGTCTACAATTTTTTATTTGTTTTTGAAGTGCTTATTTCATCAATATAAATATTTTTGGTTGTGATTGAGTCAAATGATAAATGGCATCCTGCTGTTCAACCTGGCTTCCTGCTGTTCTACGTCTACAAATTTGTTTGTATTTGTTTTTAAAGTAGTTTATCAATTTAAGTTGGGGGTTGTGATCGAGTCTAAGGGTTTAGGGTTTCCTTGAAATGCCGACCTTCCCCACATGGATTCGAGCGGTGCAGTGGTGTGTCGTACAGTAGTAGTACAAGTAATAGCACAGTAGTAATGCAGTAGTACAAGAGTAGTACCATATTTAGTAGTACAGTAGCAGTGCAATAGCAATACAGAAGTACAGTAGTAAGAGGGTAGTAGTAAAGTGGTAGTACAGTAGGGGTACATTACAAGGGTGTGGGAGTACCTGGAGCTGTTTAGCAGGGTGTGGGCACGACCAAAGTCCAAACCACGATCACTCCAAGATACCAACACTAAAACCTTTTATGTTGAGAACTTTTTCGTCCGGCCTACACTCCTGTACAGCAGTGCATTAGTATTGCAATAGTACAGTAGTAGGACAGTCGTAGAAGAGAAATACATAAAATCAGTCGGCCCAACAAAGAACGCACTAATCATTAATTAGGCCACCATTTTTTTGATACAGCCCGAATAAGCACGGGAAACACGCATCAACTAGGCACACCGGACCAGAAGGACCCCCACATTAACCTGTATTAGTGGTGTGATGCTATTAGTCAATTTCAGTATTCGCATGCGTTTGGCATGTTGCTACTTGTTTGTGTTTGCTTGGTGACTGTTTTGTGCAAGTCTGTTGTTGTGTGTCTTGGCTCAAAAAAAAAAAAAAAAAAAGCGAATCACAACGTCGCCTCCTGCTTGGAAGCAAAACAAGATATAGAAAACCTGGCTCAGTCTGGTCAAGTTTGTTTCGGTAATGTTTTTTTTCAAAAAAGGAGAGCCCAAATTTAGGAAAAGGGAAAAGCAATCCACACTGGGGTGATTGAGCCGGGGACCGGCCATCCGCCCCCAGCCCAGCCCAATTCCAAGATGCCGCATCGTCAGCCCAGCCAGCCCACCCCCACCCCAGCCGACCCCCCCCCACCCGACCCACCCCCTACTTTCGGGGGACACCCATTGCGATTTGATGATTTTGGTTTGGGGACAGGCACCGGACACCCCTTGCGAGCTGCGAGTTTTTGGACAGCCGTAGGGGGAGCCCTTGCGGTTCATGATTTGGGAACCTATTTTTTAATACAACCTGCAGGGAGACACTCTTTGCGATCCGTGATTTTGGGATCCGCGATTCTTCAAAACCTAATCGGACACCCCTTGCGGGCCCCAGCCCCCAACCCCAGCCCACCACCGCATCTGTTGGCAAAATCTGGCGGAAGTGAGCCGCCACCGAGCAGAAAGCCTGTAAATACCGCGTTAAAAAACGGTCAGGGATCCCACACATCTGCGGGCAAAATCTGGCGGAAGTGATCCGCCACCGAGCAAAAAGCCTGTAAATACCGCATTAAACAAAGGGCCAGGGATTTCACACATCTGTTGGCAAAATCACTTCCGCGTGATTTTGCCAACAGATGTGTGAAATCCCTGGCCCTTTGTTTAATGCGGTATTTACAGGCTTTTTGCTCGGTGGCGGATCACTTCCGCCAGATTTTGCCCGCAGATGTGTGAGATCCCTTGCCGTTGTTTTAACGCGGTATTTACAGGCTTTCTGCTCGGTCGCGGCTCGCAGGGAAGGCTGAGCGTGGGCTGGGGGACTGGCGGGTGGGGCCCTTCACTACACCCTCCCCCAACCCCTTTTCTCCCTGCCTTCACCCAGCCCGAACCGCCCCAACAGGCCCAACAGGCCCAACAGGCCCAACAGGCCCAGCAGGCCCAGCAGGCCCAGCAGCCCCAGCCCCAGCAGCATTTTATCATGAAGCCTTTTCCGGAAGATCGGCCCGGCAAAATCTTAGAAGACATTTGTGGCACTTGTGGCACGCCCCGGAAAAATCTTATTAAATCTTATTAAATCTTATTAAATCTTATTGAATCTTATTGAATCTTATTGAATCTTATTGAATCTTATTAAATCTTATTGAATCTTATTGAATCTTATTGGTTCATCATTTTTAAAAGGGACACGACTCCAGACCGCCCCAAAAAATCTTATTGAATCTTATTGAATCTTAGAAGACATTTGTACAATTGTGGCACGCCCCGGAAAAATCTTATTGAATCTTATTAAATCTTATTGAATCTTATTAAATCTTATTGAATCTTATTGAATCTTATTGAATCTTATTGAATCTTATTGAATCTTATTGGTTCATCATTTTTAAAAGGGACACGACTCCAGACCGCCCCAAAAAATCTTATTGAATCTTATTGAATCTTATTGAATCTTATTGAATCTTATTGCTCAGCCCTGTTGATCCAAACTTTGTGGTTTTGGCTTGTTGCGAATTTATAACTTTTTCCTTGGAAAATCTCAAATATTCGCTCCTTGGAAAATCTCAAATATTCGCTCCTTGGAAAATCTCAAATATTCGCTCCTTGGAAAATCTCAAATATTCGCTCCTTGGAAAATCTCAAATATTCGCTCCTTGGAAAATCTCAAATATTCGCTCCTTGGAAAATCTCAAATATTCGCTCCTTGGAAAATCTCAAATATTCGCTCCTTGGAAAATCTCAAATATTCGCTCCTTGAAAATCTCAAATATTCGCTCCTTGGAAAATCTCAAATATTCGCTCCTTGGAAAATCTCAAATATTCGCTCCTTGGAAAATCTCAAATATTCGCTCCTTGGAAAATCTCAAATATTCGCTCCTTGGAAAATCTCAAATATTCGCTCCTTGGAAAATCTCAAATATTCGCTCCTTGGAAAATCTCAAATATTCGCTCCTTGGAAAATCTCAAATATTCGCTCCTTGGAAAATCTCAAATATTCGCTCCTTGGAAAATCTCAAATATTCGCTCCTTGGAAAATCTCAAATATTCGCTCCTTGGAAAATCTCAAATATTCGCTCCTTGGAAAATCTCAAATATTCCCCACCGGGGGAAAGGGGGGGATACCCCCCCTTGAACCCCCCGTGGAAGCATATTTCTTGGATAGATAGATCGAGATTCCCTTTGCAAGGAGATTACATAAAATCTTGTCAGTGTTAGAAAGGAAAACAACCCAAATAAAATATTACTACATCTAACTATAAATCTCATTAAATCTTAATTCGTCTTCAAAAATTATGAAGTCCCGAGCCCGGTCCCCAGCCCTCGCCCTTGCGCCTTATCAGCCCACCTCCCAGGCCAGCCTCGCCCCCGCGCCAAACTCAAAGCCATGACCCTATAAGCACATATAGATACCAGATATGACAGCAAACAGCAAAACCTTTAAAAAGCAAAGTCAAAGCACCCACACAAAGCAAAGTTTACAGGGGCGCTCCCTGCTTGAGTCGATGAAACACACTACTGTGCTTGTACTGTGCTACTACTGTACTACCATTGCACCAATGTACTACTATGCTACTGTACTACTGTACTCTGTACTACACGCCACTGTACCGTACCAGGCCTCAAACTTGGTCGATCGTGGGGGTGGTTAGGTTGGAGGCAAAAGTCTTCAACATGAAAGGTTTGCAGTGTTATCGGGGCTTGTTTTCAAGTTTTTGGTGATCCCCAAGCCCCCCGATTGCGGCGTTCGCGCAGGTTTCAAACCGACCATGCGACCCCCCATTTCCCTTCTAACTTACCCAAAGCCATTCAGACCCTCAGCCAGCCGAACCCCGGTCCAGGGGGTCACGGACACCAGACTATTCAAACCAAGAACCTTTGGTCGAGGGGGGGTGGCTATTAAACGGCCGCCACATCACAGGTAGCAGAGATACAAGAAGAAGCTCGATGATGCACAGGTGAGTACATGTAATCGTCCAGTAGTAATGCATGTAATGGTACAGTAGTAATGCAGTAGTAGTACAGTAGTAACACGGTACGAGGTTTTTAAGTGTACTTGGAGCTGTTTAACGGTTTGGGGGGATCACCAAAGGCTGGAAACCAAAAGCCCCGATCACTCCAAGATACTACCAACACTGAAAACCTTTCATTTTGAAGACTTGTGCCTCCAACCTACACTCCCTTTCACAATCGACTATGTCTGAGGCCTGGTACGGTACAGTAGTAGTACAACAGGGTAGAGTAGTACAATAGTAGTACTGTAGTACGACAGTCGTACAGTAGTAGATACAGTGCAGTGTTTAGGGGTACTTGGAGCTGTCTAGCGAGGTTTGGGGACGACCAAAAGTCGAAGCCAAGACACGGTCACTCAACGAGAACTACCAAAACTGCAAACCTTTCACTCTGAAGACTTTTGCCTCCAACCTACACTCCCCTCCACAATCGACCACGTCTGAGGCCTGGTGCGGTGCAGTGGTGTGTCGTGCAGTAGTAGTACAAGTACTAGCACAGTAGTAGTACAGTAGTACAAAAGTAGTACCGTCGTAGTACAGTAGCGGTGCGATAGCAGTACAGAAGTATACTTGTAAGAGGGTAGTAGTAAAGTGGTAGTACAGTAGTATTAAAGTAGTTGTACAGTAGTGGTACAGTACGAGGGTGCGGGAGTACCTGGAGCTGTTGAGCGGGGGTTTGGGCACGACCAAAAGCCCGAAGCCAAGCCACGATCATTCCAAGATAACTACCAAAACTGAAGCCCATTCATGTTGAAGACTTTGGGACTTTGCCTTTCAGCCATTAGCCTTCAACCATATACCATGGCACTCTGCCTTCTACCCCTACACCCTAAAACCCTGAAGCTCTAACCCTAACCCTTTCAATACCCTCAAACCCCTTATACTATGGCACTCTGCCTTCTAACCCCAAACCCTAAAGACCCTGAAACTTAAAACCCTGTGCCAGATCTTCTTCATCCTCGTCTTCTTGGAAAAAACCGTAAAAATGTAGAAAAAATAGTTTTTTGTGTTTTAAAGTTTTTTAACAATTTTAAAAGTTTTTTAAAGTCTTTCAAAGTCTTTTAAAGTTTGTAAAAGTTTTTAAAAGCTTTTAAAAGTCTTTTAAAGTCTTTTAAAGCTTTTTAAATGTCTTTGAAAGTTTTTAAAAGTCTTTTAAATATTTTAAAAGCCTTTTATTTTTTTGAAAAGTCTTTTGAAGTTTGTTAAAGTCTTCTAAAGTTTCTAAAAGTCTTTTAAAGTTTTTAAAAGTGTTTAGAATGTTTTTTCTTGCATTTTAAAGTTTTCAAAAGTCTGTAAAAGTTTTTAAAAGCCAACTCTGTCGAACAAGCCCTGTGGATCTAAACCCTGTGGTTCTGGTTCGGTGCAAAGGGTCAATGATTCTTAGGGATTATAATAACCAAAAATTAACAATTATTTCTAAGTACGCCTAAGTTTCTTTAATGCAAGACGGAAGCTGAGGACCTCCAAAAATCCGAAACGGAATCGGGAACTGAAAAAACCGGAAGAGCCAGGGTTTAGGGTTTAGGCATTTAGGGTTTAGGGTTTTGGGGTTTGGGGTTTAGGGTTTAGGGTTTAGGGGGACACCCGGGAAAAGAAAACAGAAACGAAAAAGCAGCAGGCGATCCATGCTTGCCGCTTCGGAGCGCAACCCCCGCCTGCCCCCCCCAAAATTCAAACCAAACTGATCGATACAATTGCCAAGACTCTGTCGATTAAACGATCCCCAAAGCAGATACCCTGACAGGGGCATATCTTAACCAAGATTATGCTAAGATTTCTGTTTAGGTTCTTTACCGTTGTGGGTCCTGCAGAGTCTAAACCCTAAACACCAATCCCTAAGCTCCAGAAACCCCAAGCCCTAAACCCCAAGCCCTGAACGCTAAAACCCTTAAACCCCAAACCTTAAACCTTAAGCCCGAAAAAGTGTCTGGGTGGATCCTGCTCGACGCAAGATCTCCTCCAGTGGCAAGAAGTAACCTTGCGGGAGGCGAAGTTGGGTTTCCTTCATAGGCTTTTGGAGTTTAGTTTGAGGGTTTAAGGTTTCAGGATGTCTTTGATAGGTTCTTCGAAAGCTGCAAAATTAGGCTTTTGGAGTTCCGGGTTTATGGGTTTGGGGCTTTAAGGTTTTTAATCGGTTCTTCGAAAGCTGTGGCTTGACTGCTGCTGGATTTACTTACAGATCCCCCAAAGCACGTAAACTAAAAACCTGCCCAGAAGAAGGGGCTCTAGTTGTCTTTAGGGTCGTGAATGGGTTCCTTTGAGAGGTTAAGGAGTAGGTCTTGCGGTCTGGTTTTTAGGATTTACGGGTTAACCGGTTAGGGTTTAGGTTTCTGTAATAGGCTGCTTTTACGGTTCCTTGTAGGTTTTCCTTTTCGCGTTTAGGGTGTAGACTGTGGAGTTCGCATTTAGGACCTAGGGTTTAAGGGTTCCTTTCATGGGTTGCTCTAGGGGTGGTACAAGGGTTTGAGTGTCTAGAGCTTGCTTCAAGTTGGAAGTAAAGCTACAACTCGGATAACCCCACTCCCGGGACTTATAACCACACTTTATGGCCAATCTACCATCCTGTGAGCAGTGACGTACCGTGGAAGCTCTAAACCCTAAACCCCGGGTTTGACGATTTTGCTCTTGTTTCCCTAGGTTCCCCAGTAACCCCTTCAAAAGCAAGGATGAGAGTTCAGGGTTTACATTAACCCCAAGTAACCTACCTTTTTAAGGACTTATATAAAGAAATCATGTCAGGGAACCCTAAAAAGGGAGGTTCCTTAGGGTCCATGTAGGGTTTACCATTCCCCATTCTTCAGCTTGGCGAAGGAGATCCCGGAACAAAAGGACATACGGGTACCTTCGGAGAACGTAGGCACCCAAACAAAACTCCGACAACACCGTATAAACCAATATCAAGGGATTTTCGACAACTCTGCATGTTGGGCCTAGACAGAATTAGGCTATGAAAGTTACGAGCAAGTTACGACCGAAGTAAGCAGAACTGCCAAAAGATGACGGGAAACCCTGGACAGCCCAAACCTACACCCCAAAACGCACAAACCCTTCCGCATGGTCGGGCCTTCTTGGTCGATCCCGGTTCGGCTGAAGGCGCAGAAGCCGCAGCGTTTCACGCACACATTCCTGGCTGCTACCCAGAGCTTTGAGGCTTTGTAAGCTGGTTTTCTTAGTGCTTCGTAAGGTGCAAAAGGTCCTGGCTGTTAAACACTCGTACTGCTGACTACCTTAAACTACCATAACCTACCTTTTTGGAAGTTCTCATTATACACCTCGAAATAGAATTTTTCGGGGCTCAGGGTACGAAATAACGCTATAGGTAAGGTTCTTCTAATCGGGACAACCACGAAGGGCACAGAAACCCCAATTATATCCCTAATTACCTCACTCCCTTGAGCCCTTGAGTTTGGCACTAGTTCTGGTATTAGTACTGGTAACAATAATCTCCGACCCTAGAACCTGCGCCGAGAATCGTGAAGTTGATGTTGCGGTTGCGGACATACCTGGAACGGGAGTCAACTTGGGGATCCTTCCAACAAGGGCTACAGTTGACGATCTACACTGCAATCCGTTCCCAACCCCGCTATATGGGATTCGGCCTAATTCCAAAAGCTACAGTCCTCACGGAACCCCAGAAAGCAAAATTTGCAATTTTTCCGTTTAAACCTAAACCCTGGACCTTTAACCAGACCCCGTTTACTTTTTCGGACCAGGTCGCGTGACTTCCTGGCCAACATTTCGGGCGCGAACTTCATCGGCGACGCGAGCCAAGGCAGAGAGGTCCGGACCGTTAGTCCTGTTGCACTTACTGTAGAGTTTAGGGCTTTAGGGCTTTACGGCTTAGGGTTTTAATGGCAGCAAAGTTACCTCACTTATAAACCTATTTGTAGCTTTACTTTACCAAGTCCCATGAGCCTTCAAGTTGGGTTTCAAGGTATAGTGGCCTGTGGTACCTTTGGCTTTAGGGTCCAGTGGTTTGTGATGTTTGGAATGGGACGTTCGTATGTATCCTAGCATAACTATTCATTAGCAATTATCCAAACCTCTATGGTAGGTCAGGACAGGCTGGTCCTTGCGTAATATAGGGGCCTTGAGCGTGCGAATGGGGGTCTGAAGTACAGTATAGGATATTTATAAAGGGCTATAAGGTATGCGGTACACTATACTATCATACTGAGAACTGTAGGGAGCACCAGGGCGAGAGATGCTTTTGTAAGGGTCTTGGGGTTTAGGGCTTAAGGGTCTAGGGTTTGGGACTCAGGGTTCGCGCGTTGCTTTTGTTGAAGTATGGCGGACCCGATGATAGGTTTTAACACTTCGGCTTCTTTGCAAACGTGTTGGAATCCGCGGTCCTGAACAAGACCTCTGCATCCGCGACGCCAAGCTCTTCATTGCCTCAAGCGCTACCCATCATCTTCGCGTAAACCCTGGTTCAAGCCCTAAACCCTACACCCTGAACCGCGCACCCTAAACCCCTACGGCCTAAACCACAAATGCTGGCAAAAACGACAAACCCTGAAGACAAAGATCTCAAAAACCCTAGACCCTAAAATCCTGAAGCCCTAAACCCGTGCGAAAGGCCAGGGGTTAGGATTTAAGCGATAGGTCAGGGTTACTCTTGCACTGGGGCATTTGGACGTCGTTGGCCCACACCTTGTCCATGGAACTCCCTGGCAGTGGCGGTCCAACCGACGCGCCACATGCCAAAGTCATCCAAATGCCCAGCTGTCGCCCCAAGAACTCGCACAACAACTTGGAGTTTGCTGTTGGGAAACTCTGGGTGCGACCTGTCCTGCAAGCGACGCATCATCATGTGCCAGGTTGTTTCGACAAAGTCGGCTAAGAGGAATAACAAAAAACACACTGGAAATCAGCTGACAAAGAAACGGTCGGAAACGGAAACGCAAGACCTCCAAAACAGGTTTAGGAGTTTGTAGAATGAGGGTTCAATTTGCTGAGCCTTCTACGGTTTCAAGGCTCAGGGGCAAGCTCCTTGGTTTTGACTAGAAGGTCTCAAAGCTTCTTTATTTTACTCCGAAAGGTTTCATGTTTTTCGGTTATGGACACAAGGCAAGATGCAAACGAAAACAGAACCCATGAGACACAAGGGAGTACACATCAGACCAACACTCACTGCTGGCCTTGCTCTACTGGAATTTGCGAACGAGGATGCCGCGGCCCTGCTCCGAGAGGGGGCCAACTGCCTCCACCACAACTTGGGAGGGCTCGCACTTGCCCTCCTGCAGTGGGCGGTGTGAGAGCGGCAGACGGACGCGATGACTCGAGCCTGCTTCGACGCACAGGAAACGTGACGCTGAAGATTTGGAAGCATTGCGAAAGCTACGTCTGTCAACTGCATCAGAGTCTGACTGAAGTCCGATGCGTGCATCAGCGGGACCCATGCTACAAGTTGATTGATGAGGTCGATGAGATTTGACGTGAAGGTTCTGATTTAGCCAACGTCATCTGTGCGAAGTCAACGTCCCAAGGACCTCCCCAAGTCCTCTTTCAAAGACATTGTTCTACATGGCAAACTCATACTGAAAGCTTCTTGCCATGTTGTAGAGGAGAGCGACCCTAGCTCAGCAGAAGACTTTTTAGGCGCGCGAACTGCAGCCGTTGCGCGATTCAGAGAACTCCCGGCTGAACCCGTTCAGGTGGGACCTTGGCGCGAAGTTTTGTCAGAGAGCGGTTCTGGTTTCGATGTGTGCAAAAGGATTGCTGGGGTCTGTGCCCAAAGCAACCGCTGCAGTGGCACAGCATGTCTTTGCCCATGACTCGAAGACCTGGTAAAAAGAGGGTGAAACGTGGCAGTTATGAAAGCCGTGAGCTGAGCTTCCTGCAGCCTGGCAGTGCCTCCAGGGATGTGCTGGAAAAGGCATCGCCATCCTCTTCGGGATTCTGGTGCTATTCACCGGAATGCTTAACAGAGCCGCCCCGCTGAGATGAATAAATGCCGGCCTTCGCAACATCTGGATCCAAACCTTCAACCGATCGTTCGTCCTGGCACGAGATGTTTCAATTAGGAAATCGTGCAACAAGTGTTGGATTCCCGCCTCGACTTCGCTTTCGACCTCCCAGTCTGTATCCTCTTGGAAGTCGCTCCGGGTTTCGGATCACATTGTGATTCTCAAACTCTTTCGTCTCACACCGTCTGAAGAAGGTTTGGCCCTCGGTGTCGCTGTCCAACTCGGCGCGACTGTGGCCGCGCTGTTCAGCGCAGGTACGACTCGGAATAAAATTGAGTAAGGTATATTTTCGCCGAACACAAACTGAGGTTCCAACAGAAGAAGACTGGATGTTCGGACGTATCGTCCGGGTCTTCCCAGAGGAGACACTCGTCGCGGAAGCAGACCTCAAAGGGATTCAACGATTGATCACATGTTTTCCATAATTTGGTCTTTCATTTGAGACCTAAACGGAGCAAGCGAACCCGCCTCCTTTGCCACGGCATGGGGACGAAGGGGACAGTCTTGTTTCTTATCATGACCTCTATGCTTTAATTTTAAGCCCTACAAAACCCTGTTAACACCCGCCCCTCATACAAAAACAAATTGTAGAAAGGCCTTGTAAACCCTAAATCCTGAACCCCTGAACCCCAAACCCTGACCCCCCATGCCGCTGAACCCCTAAACCCCCAAAACCAAACCCCTAATCCCTCCCTGAACCCCTGGACCTGAATAAATCCCACCAACCTGGTCGCCTAAAGCCTCAAACCCCATACCTCAGTGCAGGGGAACAGGGGCTCCTTTATAATGAGCTCCTCTCAGGGCCTGGTTTACAGGTCAAGGGTTCAGGTGTTTTAGGTTTTGGGATTACGTAGGGTTTAGGGTCAGGAGTACTATATAAGGGTTCAGTACTGGGTCCCTTCTGTGTTAAAAATGTAAACCATAAAACCCTAAACTCTAAACCTTAACGAACCTCTAAAGGACTAAAGGACTCTTATAGAAAGCCGTAAAGGAACCCAAAACCAAAATCTATCCTGCAATGAGACGGAGTCGAGCAGCTCAGAGCGGCATCCAGGATGCGGCCTACCTGCAGATGTGACAAACGCAGAAGCCCTAACACCTACTTGGAGGGGCAGGGGACCTAGTAAGTAAGGTTATAAGTAGCTTATAATTAGGATAACCCCACTTAGGGGACTTGTAAACCCAATTATAATCTACTTACTAAGTCCCATGATCCTTTAAGTAGAAGAGTGTTCCTTCATTCGTTCCTTTAACGATTCCTTTGAGGCTGTCGAGGTCAGGTTTAGGGGCCTTGCTATCGAGTTGTGCCATACCTACATGGGGACCATATGGGAATTCTATCAACTCCCGTCATGCAGAGCCCAAAATACGGTTGATGATGTAAAGCCGCATAACCCATAATCAGGAATATACCATAACTCCCATAGTTTAGGGTCCTCAGGGTAAAGCAGGATTTATATCACCAACCGCATGAAAGGGACCTAGTTCAGAGAGCCCACGGCCAGCTGTGGTCCCTACTTAAAGGCGCACCTCGGAGCTCGTGGAATTGAGCACGGAGGTGAGGGCACTGCTCAAGCGGCGGCGCCCTCTGCGAAGACCAGGGGGGCGTAGGGTTTGAGCATTTCGGCTTTAGGGTTTGGGGTCGGGGGTTTAGGGTTTAGGGTCTCGGATTGAGGGTGTAGGTTTTTGGGTCCAGGGTTCGGGGCAGAGTAATAGCAACGGTTCTGCGAGGTTGTTGTAAGGTTCGGGGCTTGAGGGTTGAGGGTTCTTGGTATGATGTAAAGAACTGTTCAATGGGTTTGAAAGGGCTCTTCTTGCAGGCAGTTGAAGGTTGTCTACAAGTACCCTACTTGGGGGTTATAAGTAGTTATAACTATGGTTACCCTATATTACTAAGTCCCATGATCCTTCACTAGGATGCCCAGTAACCTAGGAATAAAAAGGCCTCTCTTTTTGGTATTGGCTAACTTTATAAGGAACCTAGGACTACAAAAAAGGAATAAGGGTACTACTGGGCATCCTAGTCTATGCTTCTCGATGGGTTTCCGAGGCTTCCCGGTCTTCGAGAGTTTGAAGTTTATGGGCCGCTACTTAAAGGATCATGGGACTTAGTAAGTAGGTTATAACTGGGGTTATAAGTCCCCTAAGTGGGGTTATCCTAATTATAACCTACTTATAACCTTACTTACTAAGTCCCATGAGCCTTTAAGTAGGGGTTTGGGCGTAGGTTTTCAGATGGAAGGTTTGGGATATGGGTGGTTGTCAAAATTATGGTCCTTTGCTGGGCACCTTAAATATTAGGTGCCGTATCAAAATAAGGACCCCAAGAGGAACCCTAATATTGACAACCACCCATCTGAGGTAATTACTTTAAGCTTCATATCTACGGCTGTAAGGGTTAAGGGATACTATGACTATAACATGAGGTAAGGCCCTAAGCCCTAAAGCCGAAAGCCCACAACGCGAGACTTCCGAGAGGAACCGCTCCAGGGAGAAAAGATAAGGGCTCTAGTAAGTAGAGTACGGCCTTCACAATGCTTACAAAATTTCTACATGGGTGGTTGTCAAAGTTAGGGTCCCCTTTTTGGGTCCCTAGTATAGTACGGCTCCTAATATGTAGGGTACCCAAAAAGGGACCATAATTTTGACAACCACCCACATGGTTTTATAGCGATTTCAGAAGGACTTCCTAGACCCAAGAGTAACCTAGGAAGAAAAAGGGTGCCCTTTTTGGTTTAAAGGGGGTTATAAGGGAACCTGAACCCTTTAAAAAGGGAATAAGGGCCTACTCTGGGTCCTAGCTTCAGTACACGGGCCTTTACTTATTGGATTCGGATTCGGGAGTGCATTGTGCCCTACCCTAAACCCTAAACCCTAACTTGACAAGAAACCGCAACGAATCCTAGAGGGTTTAGGGTTTAGGGTTAGTTTACTGGGTTGTAGTTTTGGGGCTCTGAAAAGTATTTATGATTAGGTACCTCTATAGGAACCATGAGGGAAATTAAAAAGTTTCCCAGGTTGCCATCTAGTTTATCTTATTCAGGCTACCTTGTTGGATCTGGCAGTTACTTCTTCGGAACTCTGAAACCTATAGGGCCGAAACCCTGATCCTAAAACGGCGTAGGGCTTAGGTTAAGGGTTCAGGGTTTAGGGTTTAGGATTCAGGGTTCAGGGTTTAGGGTTCAGGGTTTAGGGTTTAGGGTTCAGGGTTCAAGGTTTAGGGCTTATTGTTTAGGGTTTGGGGAAGGAATGTGCTTGGGGGGCGCCTTTGAAGGAAGCCAGCATCCCACTGGCGCAGTGGCCGCCGACGAGGGCGCATGGCCGCAGCATTGGGCTTCTATGCGCTAGAAGCGTCTGGGACCGGAATCAAAGTTGGGCTTCGGGTTTAGGGTTTAGGGCTTAGGGTTGAGGGTTTAAGGCTTGGCCTCTTCGACCAACAATCTAATCTAACTGGACTATACTGAACTTAGAACCCTAGCAAAAATTAACATAATTTAAGGAATATTCCTTCCTTCAGGGATATTGGAGTCTCTGGGTTTAGGGCTTTAAGGGTTTTAGGGTTTGCAGGCTTACGGGTCGCTATGTACTGCGTCCCTCGATCCAGGTGCTGTTCGATTCTTAGAGTGTGGGGTACTGTTGATGGACAAAATCCGGCATTACCCACTATAAGGAATATACCGTAGCTCCCATAGTTTAGAGTCCTTAGGGTCATGCAGGATGTATATCATCACCCTAAACCCTAAACCCTAAAACCCTATAGATCCCTTAAAGCAGCCCCTTAAAGGTAACCTTAGAGATCCCTTTAAAGGTCAAACCCTATAGATCCCTTAAAGGTGCCCTTATAGATCCCTTTAAAGGAACCCCAGGATTTTGTCCATCAGCAGTATGTCGGGCGCCAGGGCTTCAGTTTTAGGGCTCAGCTCTTTAGCAGTTTAAGGTGTAGGGGTTTGGGGTTTGTGTCCAGGGCTTCGGGTTTGGCGATTTCAAGTCATTGAAGGAACAGGATTTGAGATCTTAGTCTGTGGGTTTAGGGTTGAGTTTTAAGGGTTGATTTAGGCTTTTTAAGCGCTTTAAAGACTGGGCCGCGGCGAAGCCTCGAGGTGGTGCTGCAGCTGAATTTACAGATCTTCGATGCCAGTTGCAAAGCGTATCCTTCGCGAAGTTTAACCCCAAGATGCGCGAATTCCAATTCCTCTTCAACTCGATACTCTAGGTTTCCCCCCTAACCCTAAACCCCTGAAGGCTACATCAAAGGTCCTGAACCTCAAGAAGCTCTAGACCGCGAACCCTTAACGGATCATCCCACTCCCAAGTACGATGTCTTCACCCTTGTCCATCAACACACACATTCCCGTGCTTCTTTTCTGCCCGCCAGCTGCATTAGGCGCCCCTGCCCGTTTCTGGCATGCAGACCTGATTCCCCGAAAGTCTAACTGTTACGACTCAAGGGCTTAGGGCTTGGAGCAGGGTGGATTGGGGCGTCGTGTCGGGTAGCTGCCAGACCAGTTCGTCACATTTAAAGATCTCCGTACGTAACCAGCCCTTCCAGTCGAAACAGCGCTCGCTGCGACTCTCACTTGTGGAAGAGTCCTGGCCGAGATCAGCGTGGATGTAATAGGTATAGGTCATCAGTATAGGGCCAATACTCGGACAAACACACTTTTGGTACTGGTGCGCCTCGCTTAGAGGACCATGGGACTCAGTAAGTAGATTAATTACACTTGGGGTTATGAGTCCACTAAGTAGGGTTATCCTCATGATGACCTATTTATAACCCTACTTGCTAAGTCCCATCAGCCTTTCATTAATTCAAAGAAACCCTGGGCCTAACTCCCTCGCACAACCGGTTGAAAAAAAAAAAAACATTAAAAAAAACATTTTTCAAAGCCCCAAGACCCTCAAACAACCCTTTTCTGAGGGCCATTTGGTAAAAACCCTCATAACTTCACCCCTTACCAACACCGTTATGAAAAAGGATTCACAGTAGAAGCCGAAAAGTTGGAAACCCGATAGCCTCGATCCTTGAGAGTAATGTGTAGGGAATAGCACTATTTGGCCTTAACCCGGTTTCCAACTTTATGGGGTTTACTAATTATACATCCCTGAACCCTTATTGTACCCTTATAGAGCCCTTTAAAGGAACCCTTATAATCCCCTTTAAGCTACCTACCTTCATCCCACCTTTTGAGGCCTCCGAAATACTCCAGGATCGGCTCCTTCAGCGGCTCGCGCCGCGAATGAACATCGGCTTCTCCTGCCCAGGAATGCCCTTCAAACTTACCTTTGGTTAGTAGGGAATGGAGAAATGGAGTTTAGGGTTTAGGGTAGTGGGGTTTAGGGTTTAGGGTTCAGGGTAGTAGGCAATGGAGGAATGGGTACAATTATAACTACTGTTACTACCATTCTTCGATTCCCTACTAACCAAAGGTAAGCAAAGTCACCCATGATCCGCCACGGCTTCTCTTTTAGAAATATCATGGTGAACCCTAAACGCCCTAAACCCTAAACCCCAATTTCATGGTAAACCCTAAACTCCCTAAACCCTAAACACCCAAACCCTTGCTACAGGATTCCAAAGGATTGTCGGGCTCATAGGGCTTTTAGTGTTGAGCGTTTAGGCTTGAGGGTTTAGCTAGTCTCGGTTTTTGCTTTTCGGATTTAGGAACTAGAGTTGACAGAGTGACCGCGCTCCAGCCAGTAGCATCAGTCTGCCCCCCCCCCCCAATTTTCAAGGTACTAGCAGTTCAAACGTTCAGACTGATATACGTTCGTACTAGCAGTTCAAACGTTCAGACTGATATACTTTCTAACTTTTCAGGACCAGCAAAGTCGCAAAAGTTCGAGGACACCGACAGTTGTGGAACTGATATTATCTACCGAAAAGTCTCAAAAGTTCGAAGAAATCGAGAGCTATGGACCCTTAACCCTAAACCCTAAACCCTAAACCCTAAACCCTAAACCCCTAAACCCTAAACCCTAAACCCTAGACCCTAGACCCTAAACCCTAAACCCTAAACCCTAAACCCTAAACCCTAAACCCTAAACCCTAAACCCTAAACCCCAAACCCTAAACCCCAAACCCTGATTCTCTTCTCTGCCTTGCAACTCGAAGGCCCCTCCACCCACATCCCCTGGGCCAAGCTGCCCAGAGACTCCAATATCCCTTAACTAAGGAATATTCCTAGGGACCTAGGGTTCCTTTAAGGGGTCCTTTTAAGGGATCTATAGGGTGGAGGGTTTAGGGGAGTCTAAGATCCCTTAATTACGGAATATTCCTTAAATTATGGTAGGATCCCCAGTATGATTTAAGGTATATTCCTTAATTAGAGTCTCTGAGTGATCAGGCTGAGGGATTGTTTAGGGATAGTTTAAAAGTGCCCCTGTTATCTGGGGTTTAGGGTTTGGGGTCTACGGTTCAGGGTTTAGGGTCTTTAGGGTTTAGGGTCTATAGGGGTCTTTAGGGTTTAGGGGTTTAGGGTCTATAGGGGTCTTTCGGGTCTGTAGGGTCTAGAGTCTGGTCTCATGGTAGGCCTTACTTTCAACTTATGGGACCTTAAACATACACCAGGTACTCAGGAAACTCTGCACCTTGACGGCCCTTGGGTGCTTGGGGTACAGTTTCTTGGCCTGGCTTGATAAAGAAAGTTCAGGGCTTGGAGGCGTATGGTTTTGGTCCGACAACCTAAAATTTAGACTCAAAATCCGAAGCCTTGAACCCTCAACCCTGGACCCTAAGCCCCTAAACCCTGAACCCGCAGCTTGAAACTGCAGAGATAGCTTAATGCTCTGGCAATGGAGGTAGTTGTCAAAATTCGATCCCTTTTTGGGTACCTTAAATAGTAGGTGCCGTACTATATAAAGGGACCCAAAAAGGGACCTACCTAAGCCCCTAAACCCCTAAACCGCTAAACCCCTATAAACCCCTAAACCCTAAACCCTAAACCCCTAAACCCCTATACCCCTATAAACCCCTAAACCCTAAACCCTATATTAGGGATCCAAAAAGGGCCCTAATTTTGACAACCAACCATGGAGGCCTCTTCCTCCGGAGGGGGCGGGGTCGCGTCCGAAACCTCAGCCGGCAAGCTTTCAAGGTGAAGGGCATAGGGCCTTTAGGGGTTCCTTTAAGGGTTCCTTTAAGGTTTCCTTTAAGGGATCTATAGGGTTTTGGGGTCTATAGGGCTCAGGGTTTATAGGGTTCAGGGTTTCGGGGTTTTAGGTTCAGGGGCTTCCGGTTTAGGGGCTTAGGGTTTAGGGGTCTAGGGTTTCAGGGCTTTGGGGTTTCGGGCTTAAAGGTTAAGGGTTTGGCCTTCTTCAGCGGTCTTGTGAGGTTCGGATAGGGTGCAATACATGGTCTTTCCAGTCAGAGTAGGGTCTTGCAGGTCATATGGGGGTTCCCGAAAATTAAGGGTCCCTTATTGGGGATCCTTATAATAAGGATCCTACTATTTAGGGTACTACATTAGGGTCCCCTATTTTCGGAAACTCCCATGTCAGTATAGTGCCTTGAACAAGGTATCCCAAGGAATAGCACTATCCGCCAAATATGGAGAATCAAGCAGGGCGTTTATGCCCACCACATACCTCATCTGCCCTGGGTGCTTGGAGGGAAGTTGGGCAGCAAACACTGACACACACTCCAGGCACGCGGGTGGATCCACACGAAGGGTGACGCCCTGCGGCAAACTCTTTCCTCGTGCAAGCAGTCGTTCACCGACTGTATCGTGGCCTGCCACCTCCAAACCCTAAACCCTAAACCCTGAACCCTAAACTCTAAACTCTAAACCCTAAACCCTTTAGTTTAGGGTTTAGGGTTGTCATCACGCGGCCAGGAGGGTCCTTCTTGGAGGGCGAACTTCGCTGGTCCAAAACCCCGGAACCCTGCACTAACTATCGGTTTAGGGGTTTAGGTTTAGGGTTTAGGTTAGAAGGGGCCAGGGTGTAGCGTGTTGGGGCTTTAGGGATTTGGGGTTTTAGGATTTAGGGGTTTAGGGTTTAGAGTTTAGAGTTTAGGGTTTTTAGGGTTTTAGGGTTGCAGGGGTTGTAGGAAAGAAGGGGCCCCCACCCTGTAATAGTGACTACAAGGATTATATTAGGGCCCTATTATATTCCTATTATACCACTATTACAGGGTGGGGGCCCCTTCTAAGGTTTAGGCTTCTGACTTAAAAGAACAGCCAATCCGAAACTCTGGACCTTAGACACAATGCAACAAGAAGCGCAAAGCTAACCTAGACAAGAGCCTTTCAGCTTTCCCCATGGCCCCGCCATGTTGAACTTTTAAACACAACCCTAAACCCTAAACCTTAAACCCTAAACCCTCAACCCTAAGCCTTAAACCCCAAGCCTTAAACTGGGCAAGGAGCGTCTGAACCTCGCCCGGGTGGACCGGGGGGCATCGCGAAGGCACCTCAGCCGAGGACATGTCAGAAGGTCGGAAGGAGTTTCAATATAAACGATAAACTCTAAACCCTAAACCCTAAACCGCATTAAATTCCAACTTGGAGGAGATTCAGGGCCTTCGAGTTTGCCCAGAACCCCCAGGAGGATCTAGAAAGTAGATCCCCCAATTTGGGGCCCTGTACTACTAAGGGTACTTTATAGGAACCCCTATTGCACTTTTTGGATCCTCCCGGGGGTCTGGGTAGGAGTTAGAGTTACTGAAGAGAAGGTTGGAAGGAGTTTCATGCTTTGGAGTTTAGGAGTTTTGGTTAATTTAGGGTTTGAGGTTTAAGCATTTACTACTATTTGCTTAAGAACCCCCAAAAAATAAAAATATATATATATTCCTTATGGGGGTAATGTAGGGATGATTATTCTTATTTTTTGGGTGTTTCTTAATCGTAGTTTAAGGTTTAAGAGCCCCAAGCCCCAGAGCTTATAAAAGTCAGAGTTGATTTAGGGTTTCGGGGCTGAAGGTTCAGGTTTAGGCAGTTTGGGTTTCAGAGCCCTAAACCCTAAACCCTAAACCCTAAACCCCAGAAGCCCAGACTACCCTAAACCCTCAGACCGTGAACACCTGCCCGGGGTTGTATCGGGGGCTTTGGTGTTTTTGGGGGTGTCAGCGTGGTTTTAGGGGCTCAGCCCTTTAGGGCGTCAAGCTTTCGGGGTAAGTTTGGGTTTAGGGTTTAGAGGTTTGGGGTTTAGGGTTTAGGGGTTTTGGGTTTAGGGTTTAGGGGTTTTGGGTTTTGGGTTTAGGGGTTTAGGGGTTTGGGGTTTAGGGTTTACTGTTTAGGGTTTAGGGGTTTTGGGTGGAAGCGAAGTTGGCCATAGCGGAGCGTCTTTGAAGGAACCCAAAAGTAAACCGCAAAGCATACAGCAGCCAATCCGAAGCTGTGGAACCCTTGCGGGGACTGAAGGTTCCCAGAGACTCCAAGATCTCTTTATTAAGGAAAAAACTTTTAAAGGATAGTAGGATCCCTTATATGATTTAAGGAATATTCCTTATCTAAGGGATATTGGACTCTCCGGGTTGGGGTTGTGCGGACTACTACGGCGATTACGACTACGTATCATCCTGGGGCCCCCGCCACAACCAAGGTCTAAAAGTCTAAAACCTTCGGTTTCGGGGTTTAGGGGCTTAGGGTTTCGGGGTTTAGGGGTTTAGGGGTTTAGGGGCTTAGGGGTTTAGGGTTTAGGGGTTTAGAGTTAAGTGGTTTAGGGGTTCAGGGTTCAGGGCTTCGGGGGTTTAGGGTTTGGGGTTCAAGCCTAACACCCTAGAAGAACTATTGAGCTCTGCCAAACCCATCCAGAAGCTCACAGAAGCCCAAACAAACTTGGGCAAAGAAAGGCGCCATCAAACCGATCCATACTAGTTGTAGAACAGCAAAAAAGGCCCCCATCTCGCGATAGAGCTGTTTCCACTCCATGTCACTGGTCGGCTGGGGCAGATCACACAAACTCTTTGGCCTCCTTCTGGAGTGCCCCGTAATCGTCCCTGCGCTGGTTGTTGGCCGCCTTATTCTTTTCTCCCCGCTTGTGGGCAGAGATTGTGATCGGCAGGTGGCTCCACTCTGCATACAAATGCCGGAGTCTCTGGGAATGGCCGAAGTTCGAGAAGCGGCTCACCAGGTCCCAGGTCTGCACCTCCTTTGCCCACTTAGAGGATCATGGGACTTAGTAAGTAGGTTCTGACTGGGGTTATAAGTCCCCTAAGTGGGGCTATCCTAATTATAACCTACTTATAACCTTACTTACTAAGTCCCATGAGCCTTTAAGCCGTGAAAGTTTCCAGCATGGAAAGGCCGCACTCTACTGTAATTACAACAATTTATGAGGAGCCTCCGAAGTAGTATAGGTAATTATTGAGGTCCATATATCAAACTCCTTGTCATAGCTCTTACAGTAGCCCTTATAGACCCCTTTAAAGGAACCCAAGGAACCCTAGGTAATTATCTAGGCCCCTATATTACTCCCTTCTCCAGTACAGATCCTCTCTTTCCTCTTGGGCTCGAACCCGTGCGCTCCTGGCGTCGCCAGACGTGCTGTGTTTTTGTTCGTGCTTTCTTTTCTTGGTGAGGGTTTAGGGTTTATAGTAGCCAGAAAGTTGGAACATCATAATCCTCATAACCTTACTGCAAAGTATAGCGAATTCCCGCACCAGGGGTTCACTGTAGGGGTTAAGGTTTAGGGTTTAAGGTTTAAGCTTAGGGTTTAAGGGGAGGGAGGGGGGGTTGAGTGGTCTACAGTCGGGTTTAGGGTTCGTTGCTTTCGGTGGCCATTTCTCTACGGACTTCGGGCTTCAGTGGCTTGGGGCGGGCTCGGTTTTGGCTTTAGAGCTGTAAGGCTTTTGTGATTTCGGCTCGACGGCTTCTGCGGTTCAGTGCTTCGTCTCTGCAAAATTCTGAACATCTCAACCCTGGGGCTTCATAGGGTTTAGGGTTTAGGGGTTTAGGGGTTTAGGGTTTAGGGTTTAGGGGTTTAGGGTTTAGGGTTTAGGGTTTAGGGGTTTAGGGTTTAGGGTTTAGGGTTTAGGGGTTTAGGGTTTAGGGGTTTAGGGTTTAGGGTTTAGGGTTTAGGGGTTTAGGGGTTTAGGGCTTAGGGTAAAACCTGATTAGGATCATTCATGCAGTTAACAGGTGTCGTAATTGTCTATAATCTACCTTAACCTACCGAAACCGATCTTCTGTAGGTTCCTATTATAAACCCTAGCATGGAATTTATAGGGGCCCTGCCAAAAAAGTAGGTTCCGGCGGGTTAACAGTTAACATATGCCCTAAACCCTAAACCCTAAGCCCTAACCCCTAAGCCCTAGACCCTAAGCCCTAAACCCTAAGCCCTAAGCCCTAAGCCCTAAAGCCCTACCTAAACCCAAACTACTGGTCGACCCAAAGGCTCGCAGTCTAAACTTTAGAGTCTTGAGCTTTAAACCCGATACCGAAACCCCAAGACCCAAACCCTTAATCTTAAACCCTGAACCTTAAGCCCGTTAACACTGAGCCCTTAGTCTTACAACTCAAAGCCGCAATATCAGGGTGCGGGTTTAGTCTTCTGAAGCCGATACATTTCTTTACAAACCTGCTCAAAGGAGCCCTCAAAGGAACACCAGCTGGACTTTGAAGTAACCAGGGAGAAAAAAGTATATAACTTTCATTTCATAATGGTTCCCTGAAGGAACAGGTACCAAAAAAAGTATTCAAGTATGGTGCTCCAAACCCCAGGCCAGTGTACCGTATATTACCCTAGACCCCAAAACCCAAAACCCTATCCACCAAACCCGTTTAACCCCCGAAACCCCGACCCCAAAACCCCTAAACACCAACACCCCTAAACCCAAAACTCTAAACGCCCAAACCCTTAAACCCCTAAACCCAAAACACCAAAACCCCTAAACCCAAAACTCTAAACCCCTAATCCCTTAAACCCCTAAACCCGAAACACCAAAACCCCTAAACCCAAAACCCTAAACCCTTAAACCCCTAAACCCTACATATTCCTGAAGGCCAGGGAAGTCGCGTCCGTGGGAAGCGCCCGCTTGCTGGCGCCTCCATCGCTGCTGGCGGCGCACCGACGTCGCTGGCGCAGGCGCCGCGCACCAGGGCGTAGATCAGAGGATGAGACCTGCACTGAATAAGGTTCTTGTTAAGTGCAATGGATAAGGTTTAGGGTTTAGGCTCCTGCGTAGATTAGAGGGTGAGACCTGCACTGAATAAGGTTCAGGGTTTAGGTTTCCTGCGTGGATCGGAGGGTTGGTTTCGGGTTTAGAGGCTTAGGGGTATAGTGCGAGACCTCCACTGACGGCTCGGAGGGTTTCCCGCTTCAGGTATGCACTACAAGCAAGACACAGTATACGCACCGAAGCCACGATGCAATGCCTGCCGGCGATGTCAGGTCACTCACGACATCAGCGTTCTGCGCACGTGGGGCCACCAGGTTGGCCAAGTGCACACCGAGCCGCGCTCGGACTGGCAACAGTGACGAGGGGCGCAGAGTGAAACCTGACGGCTTGTCGGCCACCGCAGTGACACTCAGCCGAAAAGGGTCAGTGAAAGTGTAGGGCTCCACCTCCTTGCCCACCACATAGCTTGTCTGCCTCGACGAGTTGGCAACAGCTTGCAAGCTGTCTGGAGCCACCGGTGGCCAGAGCTTCCGCGGCATGGCCACGGCGTGCGCCCAATACGCGCCGCCGGCACCCACGGATGCGTTTGTGAGATGTATCAATGGGACTTAGTAGGTAGGCTATAATTGGGGTTATAAGTCCCCTAAGTGGGGTTATCCTGACTATAAGCTACTTATAACCTTACTTACTAAGTCCTCTGCACCTTTAAGTAGGGTTTAGGTTTCCTGCGTAGATTAATTAGAGGGGGCGACCTGCTCTTGCGGTTTAGTTTCGGGTTTATGGGCTTAGGGGTACAGGGCGAGACCTCCGCTGAAGGCTCGGAGGGTTCCCGCTTCAGGTTTGGGGTTCAGGGGTTCAGGGGTTCAGGGGTTTAGGGGTTTAGGGTTTAGGGTTCAGGGGTTCAGGGTTTCAAAAAGCATATGTATCACTGGGGTTCGGCGTTTAGCGGTTCTAAGATGGTCTACTGAAATTTTAAATGAGTCACTCGAGAGATATATGTGTGTTTTCAAGGGTGTCATAGTTCACAGAGACTGCGAGATCCTGTCAGTGAGCATCGGCATCCCTAAACCCTAAACCCTAAACCGACAGCAGCAGTTCAAGGCAATACTGGGGTTGATCTGATTCAACACAGGTATGTGCTGCCCTGGGCACAGTGGGGGACTTCCCAATGTAGCAGTCGGAGTAGGGTTCCCATAAGGGGCTCCTTGAAGGGATCCTTTAAAGGGCTCCTTCAAGGCATCCTTTGGGGTTTAGGGTTTAGGGATCTATAAGGGTTCTATAAGGGTGAGTTTAGGCTTAGTTAGTTAGAGGATCACGGGACTTAGAAAGTTAGTAGGCTATAATTGGGGTTTAAATCCCGTAAGTCCTAATTATAACCTACGTTTTAACCTGACTTACTAAGTCCCATGAGCCTCCAAGTATGTTGGAGCATTAAAAAAATGCGAACCTCACGAGATCCACAACCCCGAAACCCTGAATCCACAATCCCCAGACTTGAAACACTGCTCGATGAAATCTAAGCCCTTTATTAAAGCCCAAAAAGACAAGATATCTGTGAAGTCGAAATCCCGAGCCTTCGTATAAACCCCAAACGCTTTGAAAAGGGTTTAGGGTTTAGGGTTTAGGGTTTAGGGTTTAGGGGCCCCGCAACCTTCAAACCGAATACCGCTAAAACCCTAAACCCGAATGTCTGTAGAAAAGCCCTGCCACGAACAAACCCTAAACCCTAAACGGCCTAAACTCTGCAAACCCTTGCCGACCCTAAACCTTACGGGCTGAGTACCCTCGTCCATGAAAGCCTAACCTTTTCAATGATGGTAGGATTTTAAAACCCCAAAAGGTTAAAGGTTGCCTACTCAGCTACTGAGCCCCCAAACCCTAAACCCTAAACCCCTAAACCTTAAACCCTTGACCCGAAACCCCTAAACCTTAAACCCTAAACCCCTAAACCCCTAAACCCCTAAACCCCTAAACCCCTAAACCTTAAACCCTTGACCCGAAAGCCTGCAAACCCTTGCCGACCCCAAACCGATCTCCAACCCAGGCTTCGCCTGCTTCGGTCATCCTCACGGACTCGGAGCCTTCTCAACAGGGATCCACAGCTGCAGGGCTTTAGGGCAAAGGGTCGAGGGTTTAGGGTTACGGCTTAGGGTTTAGGGTTGAAAATGCGGGGTTTAGGCGTTTTCTTGGTCTTGGTTTAGGGTGCAAGGCTTGAGGCTGAGGGTTTAGGGATGTAGGGGCTGAGAGTTTAGGCCGTTTACGCCTAGTACGGCTTAGTGACTCGAGTGTTCCATGTCGCTAGGTTTCAGCCTCTAGGTTCGAGGTCTTTGAATCTACCTGAAACTACCAAACCCTACTTTTTTGTAGGTTCTTACTATAAGCCCTAATCATGGAATTTAAAGGGACCCTACAAAAAAGTAGGTCTCTAAACCCTAAACCCTAAACCCTAAACCTTAGGTTAAGGTAGATGTTAAGGGCAAAGCAACGAAGACTGTCAGACGACAGTTCTATGAATGTTGCCCTGGACCTTAAGGGTTTAGGGTTTAGGGGTTTAGGGTTTAGGGTTTAGGGTTTAGGGTTTAGGGGTTTAGGGTTTAGGGTTTAGGGTTTAGGGTCCTATGAATGTTGCTAGACCCAAACACAACCGAATCCGAAGTCTGAATGTTGCCTACTTGCGCGTTCAGGGGCTTCATAACTAAGTCAAAAGGAAAGAGGGTTCAGAGTCAATTGGCGTTTAAGGTCTATGGATATTCAATTTAATAGGATCCTTTGTCCGTCGAGTTAACTAGCGATGGAACTTAAGGCAGTCAGTCAGCTTGGACGCACAAGTCCGACCAAGCGATCTGCAAGGTCACGGTTAGTTTCATAATAGACGGCTTGGATGACGACAAACATCGCCGAAAGCGCTTCTTTGAGGAACACTTGGTGTCTCTCGCTCCCCAAGTGCCCCCTTTTTCCCATGCCTTCTATCAAATCAAGGATCCCCGCGCGACTTAAGATTAATTTATGCAAAACCTAAACCTTAAAACCTTGACGCTTGGAGCAACCCTAAACCCTAAACCCTAAACCCTTCCCTTAAAGCCCTAAAAACCCCCGAAAGAGCCTTTGAAGGTGCCCAGGTCTGAACCTTTAAGCAGTTGCCGGAACCCTAGCGGGAAACCTCAGCTAACGGAACCCTTAAAGTAAAAGCCGGAAAGTTGGAATATGATTATCCGAAGCCCTTTATACGGAACCCTTAAAGTAAAAGCCGGAAAGTTGGAATATGATTATCCGAAACCCTTTTTGGTAGATTATGAGGTATCCTACCCTGAAACCATATTCCAACTTTCTGGAGTTCCCTTTGTAGGAACACTAAAGGGGAACCCTCCGGAGGAAGTCCTCAAAGGAACTCCTAAACCCCTGGGCCCGAACCCTAGACCCCTACTTGGAGGGTCGGGGGACTTAGTAACTGGTTGTTTTAGGGACTTTTAAGTACCATAACCCCAATTAGGGTCCCTTTTAGGGTACTTATAAGTCTACTTACTACGTACTTACTAAGTCCCCCGACCCTCCAAGTAGACCCTAAATAAACCCCTACCAAAGCCTGGAGCAACCCCAAAACAAGCGACCCTTAATCGAACCCCTAAAAGCCTTTAACGGAACCCTAAAAGGAACCCTAAACCCTAAACCCTAAAAGGAACCCTAAACCCTAAACCCTAAAAGGAACCCTAAACCCTAAAAGGAACTCTACACCCTAAACCCTAAAAGGAACCCTAAACCCTAAACTCTACACCCTAAACCCTAAAAGGAACCCTAAACCCTAAACTCTACACCCTAAACCCTAAAAGGAACCCTAAACCCTAAACTCTACACCCTAAACCCTAAAAGGAACCCTAAACCCTAAACTCTACACCCTAAACCCTAAAAGGAACCCTAAACCCTAAACTCTACACCCTAAACCCTAAAAGGAACCCTAAACCCTAAACTCTACACCCTAAACCCTAAAAGGAACCCTAAACCCTAAACTCTACACCCTAAACCCTAAAAGGAACCCGTGGGATCTCGCTGAACCGAGGCCCTGGCTCGGAGGCGAGGAAACGCCGATCGAACTGGGGCTCCTCTGGGCTTATGACTCTTTTAAGAGGTAGTATTATTAGGGGGACCCCTTAAAGGGTACCCCTTCTGAACCCTACTTCTGGCTCTCTTAAAAGGGGCCTTATTGAGAGGGTCTATGTCCCCAAAGGTCCCCCTAACCCTAACTCCCAATTTAAGCGCTCTCGATGGCTTCGGGCTTATTTGAAAGGTTCCCTTTGAGGGGCTTCTTCTGAACTGGTACGCCGTGGCGAAGTCTGTTTTCGAGGAAGTTAGTGAGTTTGCTCGAAGACTTAAGGATCCAAATCTTGCATTCGTAACAAAATGTTTATTCGGATTATGTACCGCCACAGTGACTTTGCTTTCATTGTAGTAGAGACTTATAACGTAAAGACAAGACCGCCGACGGCCCAACCACGACGATGCTCAGAATCGGACCTGAGCAATCGGAGTTTTCCGTGCAGCTTGGTCGCCGTCTCTGTCGCAATCGTCTTCAGCTTCTTGTCGAGGGCTGTAAGCTTCTTCTGGGTAGTCCGCTTGGTAGAGTAGGCTTCTGCTGCGGCTTCTGGGCGCATTCACAACGGTCGGCTCCCCATTTTCCGCATCGGTGGCACTTTGAACGTGCCATGCGGTGCGCAACGCGTTTGGGGCAGCTGTCCACTTGAGGGGCCCCGGAGTGGAGATGAGGCCAGTAGCTGAAAGATAGTACTGATGAACGTGGATTGGAAAGGGGGAGGGGGACGGGGAAAAACGACAACAAAAATCTGAAGCCTTTTATGTTTTGACACCGGGGAAAAACGACGACAAAAATCTGAAGCCTTTTATGTTTTGACCCCCGCTCCCCCTCTGTCTAGGCTCACCAACCCATCTATGGAGTCTAGGAGTAGGGCTCCTTATATAGGAAGGACTTTCGAGTGGTGTGACCAAGACTTCCACATTGGTCTGGCAAATGCGCAAAGATGTACATAGTGATGTGAGACAGATCGGAAACTGTAGCAATCACACCTACCGATACAGCAACAGACTGTAAACATGATGGTGCATGTGAACTACCTGCAACCCTTCCAAATGCATTCCTCGAAAACAAAAGTCGCCAGGGCGCACCATGCTGTTCTTTAAAAGTATCCTTTAAAGGGCCCCTCTGGGTTTGTGGGCGTAAAAAAGGGTTCTCTTGAAACTGTTCTTTAAGAGTTCGTCACTCAGCTGCTTAAAGTCCCCTTGAATGGCTGCAAGGGCTACTATGAGGGCACTATTAAAAAAAAAGGCTCATAGGACTTAGTAAGTAAGGTTATAAGTAGGTTATAATTAGCATAACCCCACTTCGAGGACTTATAGCCCCAAGTAGAATTAACCAACTTACTAAGTCCCATGACCCTTTAAGCACGAGGGCACTATAGGGATTGTTAGTTCCTGGAAATCGGTTCTACAAAACTTGGAAAAGGATTCCCCTAGGACCTAAGCCGTAACCCCTAAATCCCTATAAACCCTAAACCCTAGGAATATACGTTACATTGGTGTTCCTTTAACTGCTCCTCTTCAGGGTGTTGCTCAAGTTTTTAGGGGCTTTGTTCGGTTCTCCATAATGGGCACCCACAGTAAACAATGGTAATTTAAATCCAGCTCCTTAGCAAGAACCCTAAACCCTAAACCTAAACCCTAAACCCTAAACTCTAAACTCTAAGCCCTAAACCCAAACCCTAAACCCTAAACCGTAACAAGAACCCAGAAAAGGCTTCGATTCTCCTTCCAAACACCCAAACCCAAAGAGCCCAATACCCCTTAATTACCTGAAATTATAGTAGGATCCTAATATGATTTAAGGAACATTCCTTAATTAAGGGGTATTGGGCTTTCTGTGAAGCTCCTCGGGGTGGCCACTCTCGGCCAGTAGCACTGACAGTGCGTGGTAGTACCTTCCATGGCTTTTGGGATAGGTGCCTTTAGGGGTTCCTTTACGGGCTCCTTTAAGGGCTCCTATAAGGTTCCTTTAAAGGGTTCCTTTTAGGGTTTAGAGCGACAGACGATGGCTTTTGCGGGGTGCTTTCAAGGGCTCCCTGAAGGGTTCGGGGCTTAAGGCCTTAGATTTTCTAGACCCAAGAGTAACCCAGGCATAAAAAGGATGCCCTTTTTGGTTTAAAGGGGCTTATAAGGGAACCTGAACCCTAAAAAAGGGAATAAGGGCCTACTCTGGGTCCTAGTTTTCGGGGGCTTCGGTCCCGAATCCTCATGGGCCTCTGCCTCCTCGATAGTATGGTTAGGGTTTAGAGTTTAGGGTTTAGGGTTTAGTGGCCCGGTCGCGCCTCGTACTATCCGTACTTAAAGGCTCATGGGACTTAGTAAGTATAGTTATAAGTAGGTTATCATTAGGATATCCCCACTTAGAGGACTTATAACCCCAATGATAACCTACTTGCTAAGTCCCATGATCCTCTAAGTAACGTAACGTAACCCTAGACACCCAGGGTTTACACCCTAAACCCTAAACCCCAAACTGCTTTTTGAAAGTGCAGCGGCCCTGTCTCCAGGATTTCGGGTCCAAGGATAACCAGCAAAGGATAGTAAACGTTTGTCTTGCGGCTTCCTTAGTGTAGCCCTCGAAGAAAAAGCGCCATAGAACCCTCGCATACTAAACACTTACAAAACACTGACAGACTCGGATAAAAAAGCCGTGTATAATCCTAACTCAAAGACCGGAGCAACTTTAAAATCCTAGACCCTAAGAGGGCGCCCGTTGTACTCGAAGTACTCCTTGATAAGCTCGTTGATCAAGGCATTCTCGCGAGGCAGCTGTGGGCGCTGGACCTACGCAAGCTGTATAGGGACCTTTTTTGGCTTTATACGGAGTTTCCTTACAGGGTTTTGTGTTGGTTTTGTATGGGTTTGTGTCAGTTGATTATCTCCACGCCCCTTAGGAGGTACGCCGGAAACATATGTTCGGCGATCCTTACAAAACAGGCAATAAGCACAAACAACTAAACACAAGTCCCCAAGAACAGTCGAATGCACCTAGGGTCCTTACTATGACTTGGGGTTGAGGATTGACAGCTGAAGGTTTGAAGTTAACGTGTGAGGGCCCAGCACTTTTGATGTAGGCTTCAGGGCTCAAGGCTTAGGGTTCAGTTCTTAAGATTTAGGGTTTGGGTTCGGGGATTGTGGTGAAGGATTCAGAGTTTCAGCTTTGGTTGAGGGCTTAATTTGATGCAAAGTTCAGGTTTTAAGGCTTAGGGTTCAGGGTTTCAAAGTAATAGGTTATGGGCTTAGAGATGATGGTTAAGGGTGCAGGGCTTTGCAAACATAGGATTTCTATGAGACGGTCTCAGGTAGAGGCATAAGGATTCAGGAAATTGGTCGGCCTTGGTACCCAGACTTACGTCTGCTGGGTACACCTTCTTCAGCAACTCCTCGAAGCGCGCATGACTGATGCGGTCCGGCTGATCCGCTACTACGTATGCCAGACTGCCAAACGATTGAATGTCGGCAGCCAGCAACTTTCCGGCGTCTTCTGTCCCCAACAGCTGTTGGGCCCTAGACTTAAACTTCGCGACGCTGTCGACCAAGCTGGACATGGTCCTGTCAGGGGCAGACCAAGTCCTCCTTCAACGATGTGCCAACCAGCGTGAACATAATAGGGGAGTTTCAGAAAATCAAGGGGTACCCTTATTTTGGAGTCCTCATAATAAGAATCCTACTATTTAGGGTACCATATTAGGGTCCCCCTATTTTCGGAAAGCCCCATATTCTGCTGATGCTCTAGAAGTCAGAGTCTGCGGAATCCTAACACCAGTCATCCTCTGCAGCAAGTAAACCGAAATGCCTGAACCCCTAAACACTACAGACCCTAAACCACTAAGCCCCGAATAGAACCCCTAAAGCAATCTGCAGCCCCACACAAAGAATTACTCAAAACGCCCCCTTGCGCCATGGTCTACCAAGCTCTTGGTGGCACACTGCACGCAGACCCCCGTGAGGATCCAAAGAGTACATCTCTTGATGGGGGTTCCTATAAAGTACTCCTAGTAGTATAGGGCCCCAAATTAGGGGATCTACTTTCTAGATCCTCCCAGAAGTCTGGGCACATACCATCGATCCTGTCTAAGAGGCCGTGTGCTGGAGGGCGGGGCACCCTAAACTCTATACCGTGGTTTAGGGTTTAGGGTTTTCTGGGCGTTTAATTTAACCCAGGAGAAAAAGTATAAACTTAGATGGTTCCTGTAAGGAACAGGTACCAAAAAATGTCAGTGCATGGTACTCCAGAACAAGAGGTGTAAAGGACTTGTCTCAGGATCGACCCGAACTTTTTTCGCACCTTCAGCACTTAGCTCTTCACTGTCATCGGGGTTAGGGGTTAGGGTTTGGGGTTAGGGCCTAGGGTTCAGGGGTTTGGGGTTTAGGGTTTACTTTTAACCCCAAATAACCTATCTTTTTAAGGACTTATATAAAGAAATCATATCAGGGAACCCCAAAAGGCAGGTTCTTTAGGGTCCGGGTAGGGCTCAGAGTTTGGGTTTAGGAGTTTACGGGTTTAGGGGTTTAAGGTCTCCAAGAAGGCTGTGGTCTGGTGCTTTGCCTCTCTCGCCATGCATCTTCACGAACAACTTCTCACAGTTACTTTTCGTTCGTGGATCTCCCTAAATAAGCAGACAGAAACCCAAGACGCGAAACCACAACCAAAAAGACGCATGTAACCCTTGAATCCTCATCCCTGAGTGCTCATCCCTAAAGACCAACCCCTCAACCCTAAACCCCAAGTCCTAAACCTCTGTAGCTCTATATTGACTCTGCAAACCATGTAGAGAAGGCTTGCAGAACCCTGGTAGGTCCCCTTAAAGGCGCCCTTTTGTCCAAACCTCATCCCTCAGATCCACAAACACCAAATCTGAGTTCATAAGCCCCCAAAAGTGTCCACTTTTAGTTTTATAGTGGGTGATATTATCCCAAAAAATGTAAAGTGTATCCACGCAGCTGCCAAGAAAATCGTGCCTGTTCGTCGTCCAGGGCGGCAAAAATCTCTGCACGCACCTTGGCCTTGACCTGGCAGGGGGGGTACTGAACTTAGAACCCTAGCAAAACTTATAATTTTAGCTGTTTCTTAGGGATTGTAATAACCAAAAAATTAAACCTTATTTCTAAGTGCCCCTAAGGAGGGGTACTGCAATGTAGGAACCTGATTAAGAAACCTTGGGCCTTCACTGGGGTTTTCCTTGTATGAATCCGCCTTTTTTTTTTGGGGGGGGGGGGTATAGGCCCCAAGATTTCTTAATCAGGTTCCTACTTTAGGGGTTTAGAGGTTTGAGGGTTTATGCCATATTGCAAGGGCTCTTCTCCAACTGCACGAAGTCAAAGCTAAGGCTTGTAAGTTTTTACTTTTCAGAACGCGGTGCGTGCTGTTCTAAACGTATTTCGCTACGGGGGTTTCAGACGCTTCCTCTGTAGGCGGTTTACAGGTTTGAGAAGGGTTTCATAGGTGATTTAAAAGATCTATCCACGTTCGGCTCGTTAAGGGTTTCTCTTAAGAGTTCTAGAACGGGTAAGCGCTCTATAACGGGTCGACGAGGGGTTCTAGGGTGCAGGCTTTAGTGCTTTAGGGTGTCGGGTTTCGGGTGCTGAAGCTCAAGAGGAGTTCAACAGCTCGGGAGCAATCATCCGAAGCTCCCCGCTATCCCTGCAACGAAAAAAGCATCCTTTTCCATTCCTGTTCTTGAGGAACTGCGCAAACAAAACGGGTCAAGGTATCTTACTGCGGGGTCTGGCAATCGTCAATTCGCTCATCATCAGCTGCTGCTTCTTCTTCGTCATCAGCAGTGGGTTCTTGCCCTGAACCCTAAACCCTAAACACTGAACGTTGAACCCTGAACCCTAAACCCCACCCTACCAACCCTAACAAACCCCTAAACCCTAAGCCCTAGACCCTATGGAGATAGGCTGCCTTAACCGTAAGGACGAAAAGAACCCTAAAAGGGCTTAGGGTTCAAATACCTTCTTAGGATTCATAGTATAATTGCATAGGGCCCCTCTACTTTTCAGGCGCAAACTCGTAAGCCCATAAACCCCCTATAGACCTTATAGATCCCTTAAAGGAACCCTTAAAGGAGCCGCTAAAGGAACCCTTAAATGGAAGCCTTTAAAGGAACCCAAGACCGCCCTAAAAACGCCTGAACCAGGCCTGGCCAAGGACGCCTCGGGACTCCAGGGTCTCGATGAGAGCCTCTACGTGTTCTGGGTGCTTCGGGGTTTAGGGGTTTAGGGGTTTAGGAGTTTAGGGGTTTAGGGGTCTCGATGAGAGCCTCTACGTGTTCTGGGTGCTTCGGGGTTTAGGGGTTTAGGGGTTTAGGAGTTTAGGGGTTTAGGGGTTTCGATGAGAGCCTCTACGTGTTCTGGGTGCTTCGGGGTTTAGGGGTTTAGGGTAGAGGGTTTAGGGGTTCTATAGGGGTTTAGGGTGTAATGGTTTAGGGTTTAGGGTCTCGACGAGAGCCTCTACGCATTTTGCGGCGCTTAGGGCTTTAGCTTGGGGATTAGGATTAGGGTTACTTAGAGGATCATGGGACTTAAGGGCTCCTTTAAGGGATCTATAAGGGTTTAGGGTTTAGGGATCTATAAGGGTTCTATAAGGAGGAGTTTAGGTTACTTAGAGGATCAGGGGACTTAGTAAGTAGGTTATAACTGGTGTTATAAGTCCCCTAAGTGGGGTTATCCTAACTATAACCTACTTATAATCTTTCTTACTAAGTCCCACGAGCCTTTAAGTGAGGATTAGGATTAGGGTTACGGTTTAGGGTTTACAGCCTCAGGGTTCTAGGGTTGTTGGGGGCACTGGCAAATTACGCACAGGTCTAAGTAGATTCTTCACCCCAGTTCCCTAAGTAGCTCCTCAAAAGACAACCGAACGGGGCCTTGTCCCTCCGGTTCAGCTAATACATGGAGACAACAACAAGAACAAACAAAGGGCACAAGGGTAGTTGCTTGCTTGGAGGGTCGAGGGACCTAGTAACTGGTTAGTTTAGGGACTTATAAGTACCATAACCCCAATCAGGGTCCCTTTTAGGGTACTTATAAGTCTACTTACTACCTACTTACTAAGTCCCCCGACCCTCCAAGTAGGAACCTAGCATGAACCGCCGCCTGTGAAAACTTGTAAAAACCCTGCAAATAAGAACCCTTATAAGCCCTTTACAAAGGCCGCATAAAATCCTGAACCCCAAACCCTAAACCCCAAAGCCTAAACCCCAAACCCTAAACCCCAAACCCTACACGCAAAGATGCTTAAGCCCGCGACCTGGTCGTCAGGGCTATTGGCTTGGCGGTCTCTTGGGAGGGTAGGTTACTGTTCCCACGACATTTCTAGGTGCCTCAGTCACTAGAAGTTCTGTCTTACAGGGTTCCTTCAAGGGTTCTTGTAAGGCTTTCTCTCAGGCCGCAATATGGGGGGACTTGAGATTTAGAAAGAGGTTTATTGGGGTACTGTAGCAACTACAGTATAGTTATGTAGGGGACTGTACGGGAATAGTGCTACTAATTGCCCAGAGACTCCGATATCCTTGAATTAAGGAATATACCTTAAATCATATTAGAGAACCCTCCTATAATTTAAGGTATATTCCATCATTAAGGGATATCGGAGTCTCTAACCACTCCGATCCCCACACCCTAAACCTTATGTCCCTACTCTCTAAACCGCGAGATCGAGGCAAGGCCCTTAGGGTTTGGGGTTTAGGGTTTAGGTGTCCAGAATAAACTGTAACAGCTACTTGCAGGGTCAGAAATGGGTTCTTTAATAGGGTTCCCCTTATGTGTTTATGGTGGTCTTAAAGGATCATGGGACTTGGTAAGTAGGGTTTAGGGTTTCCTGAAACCCTAAACCCTACTTACCAAGTCCCATGATCCTTTAAGACCACCATAAACACTTAAAGGGAACCCTATTAAAGAACCCTATATAGTACCCTGAAAAGAAACCCAAAACCCTACTTACTAAGTCCCGTGATCCTTTAAGTAGTGGTGGGTCACAGCTCATAAGTCGCCTTAAAGGAATCCTAATTTGGGCTATGATACTGAAAAGGTCTATACATTTACTGTTTACCGACCCTCCAAGTAGCAGGTTCCAGGACAACCAGGAAGCGACGGAATTCACGACTTGACGCACAATCCCACAAGTTCGTGTCGCTGCATTTTCGACTGTCTGTCACCGCACTCGTTTCTTGTCAGACTGTCAACCCCGAAACCCTAAACCCTACCTTAACCTGGAAGAACCTACCTTTTCAAGGACTTATATAAGAAAATCATACTAAGGAACCTGAAAAAAGGTAGGTTCTTCAGGGTAGTTACTTGGAGGGTCGGGGGACTTAGTAAGTAGGTAGTAAGTAGACTTATAAGTACACTAAAAGGGACCCTAATTGGGGTTATGGTACTTATAACTCCGTAAAATGACCAGTTACTAAGTCCCCCGACCCTCCAAGTAAGGTAAGGCCTGAACCGTCTCCAGAAACCTCGGTGCGCTTGACTCGCCTGCTTCAACTCATCCAGAGACGCCGTCATATCTCCGCGGCACGGCCAGTTCGAATCTCTTGTCGCTTCTTTGCAGAGGTGACCCAGTTATACGGCTTAGGGTCTTTAGGGTCTGGGGTTTAGGGATTAGGAATCAGACGGCTTAGGGCTTCTAGGGCTTAGGGTTGGATGCAAAATTGCAAGCTCACACGAACAGCAGATAGTTGTGTCTTCTTTGCTTCGATGCCAAAGTCCCTCAGTAGAGCTACTTACGTCATCGTCAGAGTGGAGTTGCGACTACCGCTTTCGCTGCATTGAATACACCCTTGAAGCACATTACTTTGGGCTCAGGCTGAAAGCCTTTTCAGAGTCGCGACTTGAGCCAGAGGGTTGCGTGTAGTTGGGTCCAGATTTGAATTGAAACTTCCATCTGCAAACTCGGGTTCAGTCTAGCAGGTTCCCGTGTTGTTCTTGTCTACCAGCCACACGAGGCCTGTTCGAAGTTTTTGAACCCCAAACTGCGGAAACCCTAAACCCTAAACCCTAAGCCCTAAACCCTAAACCCCCTACACCCTAAACCCTACACCCCTAAACCCCTAAACCCCTAAACCCCTGAACCCCGAAACCCCTAAACCCTAAACCCCTAACCCCTAACCCTAAACCCCTAAACCCTAAACTCGAAACCCTAAACCCCTAAACCCTAAACTCTAAAACCTAAACTCTAACCTCCCTTCAACCATCCCTAGCCCCAGACTCGGCAGCACTAAATCCGCGCGCGACTGCCCGCATCAATTCTGCAAGATTGCTTGGAGGATCATGGGACTTTAGGCTTTCTTTTGGGACTTAGCAAGAAACCCTAGGGTTCCTTTAAAGGGCTCCTTTTTAAGGGATCTATAAGTCTATAAGGGTTCTTTAGGGTTTCTTTTGGGACTTAGTAAGAAACCCTAGGGTTCCTTTAAAGGGCTCCTTTTTAAGGGATCTATAAGTCTATAAGGGCTCTTTAGGGTTTCTTTTGGGACTTAGCAAGAAACCCTAGGGTTCCTTTAAAGGGCTCCTTTTTAAGGGATCTATAAGTCTATAAGGGTTCTTTAGGGTTTCTTTTGGGACTTAGTAAGAAACCTGAGGGTTCCTTTAAAGGGCTCCTTTTTAAGGGATCTATAAGTCTATAAGGGTTCTTTAGGGTTTCTTTTGGGACTTAGTAAGAAACCCTAGGGTTCCTTTAAAGGGCTCCTTCAAGGGATCTATGAGTCTATAAGGGTTCTATAAGGGGGAGTTTAGGGTACTTAGAGGATCATGGGACTTAAGGGCTCCTTTAAGGGATCTATAAGAGTTTAGGGTTTAGGGGTCTGTAAGGGTTCTATAAGGGGGAGTTTAGGTTACTTGGAGGATCGTGGGACGTAGTAAGTAGGTTACAATTGGGGTTATAAGTCCCCTAAGTGGGGTTATCCAAATTACAACCTACTTATAACCTTTCTTACCTATTATTTGCTTAAGAACCCCCCAAAAATAAAAAATATATTCCTTATGGGGGTAATATAGGGATTATTATTTTT